TCTGATTAGCTATTGGCCACCAAAATGGATGGGTGCTTGGCAACGTACTCAAAGCCGAGTCTACTGAGAATAATACGGCAAAGATCTGTTCAGGAGTGTCAATTAAGCTCGGTAGATTATTCAGACCTTTTCATACCGTGGCAAGAATAATGAGAGCTGCAGGCTGTCAGTAACATGACCATGATAGATGATGCTCACTCACTGTCGTCGACATGCCACTTGTGAACGACCCTCTTGCTAGTCCAAAGACGCAAGGCGACAATGGGTATACAGAATATGGGCATAAGGACCGAAGTCCAAAAAAGCTCTTTGCTTGGACCTTTTGTGTGAGAGAACAAACCCCCGGAGCTCGCAGTATGAGGCATGGGTAGGGGGAGGCCCGACCCTTGATGACCGTCTGGATCCATGATGGGTGGGTCCGCTCCTCACTTCAGGAACAGGATTAGTTCCAAATTATGGAAAACTTGAAAGAAATGCAGTAAACCCTCTTGGCGGGCGATTTTCTAGGTCGTTAGCTTGGGCACGTCACAGCAGCCAAAAGAAAGACCACGGGAGAGAAATGCCCTGTGGGAGGGCCGGTATTAAGAGAACAATAGGGCTGAGATGCGTAGGACGAAAACATGGGGGACTGGAACATACGCAATACGAAACGAAAACAGCCAAGAGCCTGGTTGCCGTGCCTGTTCTTCGTTAGACTCACAACAAGGTTCGACAGCATCACCAAGCACCAGAAGGGTTGAGACGACCACAAAGCCAGATCATGACGCTATTGGAGCCACAACTGCCGACCAGCCAACGGGACAGACAAAAAACGGGGACGGGAATGTCGTGGCGTCGTCTAGTCCCAGGGGCTGTGACCCTAGCCCGATCTGATCGACAGTATGCGGGCGCTGGGGTGTCATCCCCGAGATGACGGGTAGAAATACGATGAGAATGAGATGGAGATTTCCGGGGAGGTCGAGGAATAGGGCTGATGGGTTGTATTCAGCATCTGCATGTCGCATCTTCGCTGTGAGATAGACCCGAGATGTTGAGACCTGCAAGGGATGCGTTAGGTATCAAGGATCGGCACGGAACGGTTAGATACATGCCGGGAAACAAGGGACCACATCCGATTGGCAAGTCACATTTCGAGTTTGACTCGCGTCAGGTCTGTTCTCTGATCGAGGCACCTGAGTTGACACACAGCCCCTAGTCGTGGCGCCAATGACAGATGTCCCGAGCTCTCTCTAGCAACGAGATGGGAGAGTTGATCGAGGAACGATGTTGCCCAATTATCTCGATCGATTTGAGAGTTGCCAAGGTACCGGGGGGGCTAATGGAGGCGCGTAAGGATGAGCTAAGCGGAGGTTGTCTTGCGGACAATGCCGCCAATCAAGAGAAAGGGGAGCAGAAGGATGCTACTCAGTGGCCGAACTCTCGAATGGCGTTCCTAACTTCTTTGATAACGGCCTTGAACGGCAAGCCGAGCCGTGATTTTCTCAAGCCTAGATACCAGTCCGCCTTACAGGGCAGTTGTCCACAAGGCGCCACACGGGTAAAACATAGACAAAAGCATGGGAATCTCCATGGAGCATTGTCGCTGGTGAATAAGTATTATTGGTGGCTTCTGTAAAACTATCATGCTATGGGCCTTTCATCCGTCATAGGCGCCCGAGGCGCTTCCGCTTCTAAACAAAATTCATCCTCTACATCTCTTCCTTGCCCATCCCCTGAGCAGCAGCCTCGTTCTGGACCTCAGCCTCAGTCTTGTACGACTTGAACTTCCTCGCGGGGACACCCTTGGCAAACATCTCATCAAGCTCCTGGTACGATCGTCCAGCGGTCTCGGGCTGGTAGTACCAGAGATAGGCGAGCGAGAACAGGCAAAGACCGCCAAAGATGAAAGCAACCTTGGCGCCTAGGTTACCCTGATCAGGGTTGAACATGAAGGGGATGACAAACTGCCACATGACATTGATGCAGTTTTGCAAGGCGTAACCAATGGCGATGGTCTTGACGCGGAGACGGGAGGTGGAAACCTCGCAGAGCAGGGAGAAGGCCGTTGATCCAATCGAAACGTTGTACCACCAGCTGTAGATGAGAATAAAGGCAACTGTTCCAGTAATGGCAGGCTGTGAGGAGCCAAGACCGAGACCACCAGTGATGAGAAGGAGGATGGTAAGAATCACCAGACCCCAGAAGGTGAGAGCACGTCGACCGACCTTGTCAACCATAGCAGCGGCCATGAGGTTGCCGACGATGGAAAGTACAGGCTGAGCAATCTGAATCTGGTAGCTCTTGGTGGTTGAGTAACCCGCAAGCTGGAGATAGTAGGTGAAGTATCCAGCCACAAAGGCGATACCTGAGAAGGCCTGAATGCATAGGGGCATGATGCTGATGATGGTTCGGCGCAGGTTTGACTTTCTCAGGCATTCCATGTAGGTGACGCCCTCGGTTTCCTGTCGAACTTGCTCGAGTGTGAGCTCAATGAGAGCAAGCTTCTTGTGGCCGGATTCGCCGTCGTGGCCCAGCTTGCGAAGACTTCGAATAGCGCGATCCCGCTTTCCCTTGGAGATGAGCCACCATGGCGACCTAGAAGTTTGTTAAAACGGTTCAACGGTTTTTTTCGGTTGGTAAACTTACTCAGGCATGAACGGGAGGAGAATAGTGGCAACACCAGCGAAACCAAACTGGCAGCAAAAGACAGTTCGGTAAGCCCAGCGGGTCTGGACATCTCCAGTGTAGTTGATGACGATAAAGGCAACCAGAGGGCCAATACCGTAGGCCACACCAACGCAGCAAGTGAAGACTCCACGGAGAGCCAGAGGGGTGATCTGTGGGATGTTAGTTGAGTCCTTCAACCAGAAATGTCCAGAGTCGCTCTACCTCTCCAATGTAGCTGATCATGGTGGTGGCAACAGCACCAATCATGAAACCGTTGATCAGCTTTCCGATAAAGAAGACCAGGTTCGTTGTAGCAATAAACTCGACGGTAACGGCGATGAAAGAGATGACGAGGGCGCCGGCGAGAACGTTCTTTCGACCAACCCAGTCTGCAAGTTCGGCCGAGATGAGCGAAGAGATAACCGCCCTGGGCAAAAATTGTTAGTGGCAGAACAGACAACTCAAGAGGCTAGAAAATACATACGTAGCAACGGGAGCACCGCTAAAGGCGGACTGCCACTCAGCTGGGATCACATAGTCTTCACCAAACTTGAAGCCAAAGTCCTTGCGGAATTGAGGAATACCGATAACGCTGCCAGCAGCCTGAAGATCGAAACTGACAAGGATGATGCACCAACATGCGTAAATGCACCAGGCAGAAGCCCAAGGGTACTTTACAAAGGAACCCCAGATGCCAGTTTCGTGATCCTCTTGATCAGCAAGATGACCGAGCTGCGCATCCTGAGCAGCCTCAACCTGCTGAGCTTCGATCTTCTCCTCGCCGAGAGACTTGTCTCTGGTATCCGCCATGATTGTTAAGATCTTGCGAGTAAAGAATTGATCGACAAGAGTGGGTAACGGATCTGGGGAATAGAAAAGAGAATACGAAAAAACGAGGTGGACACTTGAGTTATTATAGTAACTTTTTCCTCTGGGGGACGAATGACTCGTATCTTGACTCGGTAGCCAACGCCCCCCAAGGACCCGACTATTGACATCTGGGGACCCCAGATTCCGCCCTTTGATCGTCGTGTGACGTCCCTTCAAACGGAAAAAACCTGGGAAATTAAGAATAACCCATGTCCTTGAGTGCTTGCGATTGCCTATTCCAGACCTCTGCCTTCTTAGCATCACCAACATCCCAAGATGCGGAGTCGTTTGCGGGGTCTTTGCCTAACCGAATAGTAAAGCGGGCCGACTGGGCTCGGTGAAGTTGCGAATTGGAGGTAAGAAGCCAAGCTCTGGATCACGTTTCTCCAAGAAAGAGTCAAATAAGTGAGCAGAGCTGACTCTTGGCTTCAAACCCTTGGCCATCAGCCCATGCCGAAACACACAGGTACAGACCATTAAGCAGCTAGAACGGGAAAACAGTGCCTAATGTTGCCCGTGCCCAGCCAACGTCCATGATGACATGAACATTTCCAACACGACGCTAGCCCGAGACGGGTCAAGAGGAGGCGGTAACGGGTCCAAGGTTCGGCATGTGCCATGAGCAAATCGGAGTGGGGGAGCGGTTCGCCGATGGAACAACCGTTTGCGGCGTAGAATCTGCACGTGTTTCTGCGGTGTGTGTAGGGTATCAGGTGAGCCCAGGGGAGTGGTTCACGGCGGAGACGGTCAAGCACTGTCACGGTGATGGGTGATGGAGTGTCTAGCTAAACAAGATAGCAAAATAATAAGCTTGAGCCATTCTAGTCTGTCATTTGCCCTCGTCATTTTTCTGTGTAGTGATGCCGATATCAACAACTGCTGAGCATTGCGCAACCTTTCTCTTTCTTGGTGCTTTCGATTGACACTCGGGTCCAGATTTGGAGCCCAACTTCGGGGCACGTCGGCAAGGGCAAAACACATCAGAATACGGGGTCCCCAATCTGGGGGCGGAGAAGTAAGCATCTTGTTTTTATTCTGGGGAATTAATCAACAGTTGAACCCATTTCCATGGTCGTTGCGGTCGGGGAGCTCAGCTCACGGAGCCGCCAAGTACCTACTCGTGGCAATCTCGCACTTAATCCAAGACGGGAATGGGCTCAAACTCTCCAAAGGGAGGGCGTCGTCCCAAACAGGCAAGACGAAGCACTCGCTAGCTTCGGCTAGGAGGAGAAAAATTGTTCACAGCATCAGACCTTCAAGTTGGAGACCCCCGGCCGGAAACAAGGCATCATGTTGGAACACGATGTTGGTGATGTCTGATATCCTTTCTTCTTTTGCCGAACTTTGCCGGCAACGCGGCAAGTCCAATTGTATACTATTACGAGTGCTTCTAGTTTCCTACAGAGATTAAGGTCGGCCATTATAACTACAACAACCAGCTAACAAAACAACAATTACCACGATATTCCAACCCATCTACGCCCCTATTTAGGCCCCTGGTGTTCTAGCCCAGCCTCAGATGCCTTCTTGTCGGCAAGCTCACAAAGCGTGTTCCACTCATCAGCACTGACCTTGGTCACACTGAGTCTCGACTGTTTGATCAGCTGCATCGCCTCTAAAGGCCCACCAGACTTCCCAAGCTCACGAAGCTCCTTGAGATGAATCGGAACGGCAAACTTCTTTCGGAACTCGACATGCACGAGGTCCCAGATGGGCTTCTCTTTGGTCGACTTGGGATCGTAGTAAGGTGCGCCTGGTTGCCGTGCGGATTCTAAGATGGGGTGTTAGGAGGTCCATGGAGAATGTATTGGGCTGCTTACTGTCTTCGGAAAACTCCTTGACAATCTCCATGGTGCCCATGATGCCGGGCTCTTTGCAGTTGCTTGCATAGAAAAAGGCTAGATCACCAACGTTCATGTTTCTCATGTTGTTGCGAGCTGTGGAGGGTCAGTACTGCGGGGCTAGAAGTTGCCGTGATCTAGACAAACCTGCGTAGTTTCTGATGCCTGTAATCGTGTAAGCCGCTGTGGCATTCTCCAGAGATAAAGATTAAGACCTACCATCCCATCCTTCAGGCTCATCCTTATCCCGCAAGTCATCAATGGAGAACTTGACATCGATTCCATTCACGATGCGCGTCTCTGGTTCAGCCTTCAGCAGCCAGTACCACTGGCCATCATGTCTGGGAGCTTCAGGATTGATCGCTGGGATCGAGTCCACATCAGAGTCTTCAGACGCGGCACGAGCACTGTTCTGAGCCTCCTTTTTAGGTGCATCTTCTTCCTGAGACTTCTTCGTCTTTGGCGCATCAACCTTGCTTGCTGTTCGACTCTTGGGAGCTGCCTTGGGCTTCTTGGGTTGCTTCTTCTCCTCTACTTTGACTGTTGTCTTCTTGGGGGGAGTTGGTTCCTCACGGGTTGGCTCGTCGGGTGGCTGGCGGCCTTTTGATGCCGCCTGACGAAGAGATCGTCTTTTTGGGACGGTTTCATCATCGGCGCCAGAGCTAGGCGCACTTCTTTTTCGAGGCGGCATCTTATTCGTGGGTTGATGGTTGAGGGACAGAGTTGACAGCTCCTAAACCTTGATGGTACGCGACGTGAGGCGACGCGTCTGTGGCTGAGTAGCAATTTCAGCCATACATCACCAGCCACACCCAGGACTCGATCTGAAGAACTCGATCAGGCAGCGACTGAACTGTCAAGACACAAGATAGTGGATAATTCCATGAATGATTGAATTTCTAACTCAGAAAATCTGGGCAAGATACTCAACAAAAGCCTGAAAGTGGGTGGCTAGCCCGTAGTGACCTCGACGAATCTGGGAATCTGCTCAACGACAAACATCCACCCATATCCATCATCCCATCCATTGGTATCATACTCCTGTTCCTTTTAATTCAAATCCAATTCCCATCGTTCTGAGTATCCTTGATCAACATGGACCATAGAAACTCAATCACGCCCCGCAGCTCGTTGAGTTGTCCACCCTCAAGCAGGAGAAAGACCTGGTGATTGTGAATCATCTCGGGGGTATACAAGGAGGCAACCCGTTCGCTCTTCTCAATATCAAGCTCCTCTTTGAAATTGTCCAGGTGACCGTTGATGTCGTGAAGAACGTCTGGATCAAGTTCTAGGAACTGTGTGTATGAGATGAGTCCCTGGGGAGTCGATCTCGTATCTGACTCGATCCATTCTGAGCCATGGTTTGTGAGAATTGTGGTGATGGCCTCGGAAAGATCTACCAGTGATCGCGTGACCGTAGGGTCGATGAGGCCCGGTGTTTGGTGTGAATGGCAGAGCTTAGAGAGAAACACGACAATCATCTGGATGTGATCCTTCAAGTCGTACAGAGCCCGGCGAATGCGGCAAACAGAAGGATGGGGCGGTTGTCGTCGAGATGATCTGGGCGACTGAGGCGGTTCAAGTTCTTTCTCGGGTTCCTTGACCGGGAAACTCATCCATTTAGTACGGAATTCGTCAAAGTCACTATTGATTCATTAACATTATATCGCCACTGGTAGCGCCGTAGCGGGGATGAAGACTCACACTTTGAAAATCGGCAAGAAGTCTGCAAGGGTATTTTGCATGTCCTCTAATTTTTCTAGACAAGAAGCCAGTGCCATGTTGGTGCTGAGAGGGATGTCCTTCGCCTCCAAGGGGGGTGGGAGGTTGCTATCTGTCGAGTCTGGCGATTTTCCCAGGGGCTTGAGGTGCTGCATTTCGCCTTGAGCACGGAGGAGCTCATCTCTGAGGTTGGAAATCCAGTCCCAGACGCTTGCGCTGAGAGGCATCTCGTCAGTGTCGACGTTGGAGCCTTGGGCGACCCAGTGCTTGGCGTAAGCACCTAGCATGGTCTCGAGATCCTTGGTCTGTGTCAAGATGCCCTTGCATGTGGATTGCAGGTGCGATAAAGTTGAAACTCGAGGGCCTGCAAGTTCGCGAGCGAGCTTTGCGACATCGTCGAGTGACGTTATCGCTGTGCAACAAGACTTGTGGCAGTCGATGGGGGATGCAGAGAAGGTGTCGTCATCCATGGACGTCTCTTCAATTGAAGCCGACGGTTTGGCTTCGGTAGCTTCGGTAGCTTCATTGTGGGGTGTCGGCGATCGTTCTGATGGCTGGCGCGGACTCTCAGGAGTGGGTTTCTCGACAGCTAGCTCGACCTGGGGTGTGTAAGACCCAGGGGAATGATGCGCTTGCGCGGGGAGGAGAGGAGATGTTGGTTGCGAGTGGTGGTACAGATCATGGTCATCGTCATCCGGAAGCGACAAGACAGAGGCAGCGCTCTCGACCTCCAGCCAATCGTCGGCGATGGAGTCTCGACGCTTCTCGGCCATGGCGACGATGATGCGATAGAGGATACGACAGCGACAGCGACAGCGACAGCGATGCGATGGCTTGGAAAAGGAAGCAAAAAGAGGAGAACTCAAGAGTTTGTATGTTGCCTGCTCCAGGCAGACGTCGCGGCCTCGATTTAACGATTGGGCGCCCGAGGTGCATGCCACAGGACATGCGTGGCCCCCAGAACGCTTAGGTCAGCGCCTGCGTCGCCTGTGAATGGACATTTTCCCAAAAAGCGCCATCTTACGTCGAGACATTCGCAAGCTTTCTTACCTGCAGCTGCCACCTCATTTTCAGCCTTGAACAGGGCATATTTTGCGCTTTAGCGGGGATATGTTTTTGTAGGGCTGGAAGGTTTTTGGTGGGGGCTTGAAAATGAAGCCATCGCCAGTTGGACTGGTAGCGTCAATTGGCAGTACTGGTGGGAATGCGTGTTTGAGACCAAAGGTGTTCATCCCGGCATTGGACCCCTGTAATCGCATTTGAACCTGTGCATTATTTTGTTCATCCACAGTCAGAGCATTAAACCAGAGCTGTCACCAAGGGATGGAGGAACAACATCTTGGTACGGAGTCACAAAGTAGCTTTCTATGTTGGTGAAGGAGTAAGTACACGAAGAATCGTTGGCGCAAATTACGCCGAGATGCGTGCACGACTCACCTGAAATTGACAACAGGGTGCTGAACCTGCACAGGTCACGGGTAGATCCGTAGATGATATTTACGTCAAACGATCAAAGTGTTGTTGCATGGCTGAAACTAAACAAAGAGCAAAGACACCTATTTCATCCCTTTGAAGATCCCAATGACAGCTGGACCTGCATAAATGTTTATCCCTTAATCACTCTCTCCCAGGATGAGACAAGGGCGCATATGAGAACGAAAGCACTGAATAGTGATCAAACTGACGACAAGCAAGAAAAAAATTAAACTTTTTCCAACACGGGTCGTGCTTTTCCTTCAAATGGACCCATTCGCTACGCCGTACGGAGTATATGTCGTTTAATCTTGATTGGACCATGGCTGGCTGGCTTTCTCGTAAGATGAATGGGCGGGCATGAGCGCACACTCTCCCATCCCGCACCGACGCCGACCCTGATGATTAATATCGTCGCGCGCGGTTATGACAAGGCCTAGCATAAACACTCAACTTCTCACACCACATCACCCAATCACCACCCCCAGATCTCCCCAAGAATGGGGCTGATCTCGTGGTATATCCGCTTCCTTGCCGTCTTGGCCGATCTTGGTGGCTGAGACAGGCCTCGGCAGTTCGGAATTATCTCTGTTATACCTAACAGGCGAGATAATGAGCCTCGATGACGGAAGTCAGGTGGCTTGGTAAGACAGCCATTTGTCAATTGGAGACGTGCCGGTGGGGCTGGTGTTCCTGTTCCTGCTTGAGGCCATGCTACCTTGTGGATAAGCTTGTCTTGAGATGAACTATATATCATGTAGGCCTCTCCTTTTCATCTCTCTCTCACCTCATCTCATCACCAAGACACAGCTTCGCATTCACATCCACAACAATGCTTCGTCAATTCCTCCCTCTCGCCTTCCTGGCTTCTCAAGCTGTGGCCTACGACCAGGTCCTCGGCTTCAAGGCTGCTCCCGAGTACGAGACTCGCAGCCTTGACGAGATCTACAAGGCCGCTCTCAAGGAGGGTGACACCGTCACCCTCTGGCATGGAGGTGATGAGAAGAACCAGCAAGATGGTCTGAAGAAGGCATTCGAGAAGCGATTCCCCGGCATCACTCTCAATGTCACCGTCGACCTGTCCAAGTACCACGACGGCTTCCTCGACCAGCAGCTCGCCGCCGGCAAGGATGCCGTCTATGTCGACAGTGTCATCCTCCAAACCCTCCACGACTACCCTCGCTGGGCTCAAGAGGGAGCGCTCCTCAACTACGCCCCCGTCGGCTTTGAGGAGATTGAGCACTCCTTCAAGGACGACACGGCCGCCTGGTATGGCGTCTACGTCTTTTTCTGGTCGGGCGCCTGGAACACCAAGAAGCTTCCCGGCATCAAGGCCCCCGTCGAGTTTGAGGACTGGCTGCGACCCGAGTTCAAGGAGAAGCTGGTGTTGACCTACCCCAACGACGATGACGCTGTTCTGTGGGCTTTTTATATCATGTAAGCTCTACCAAATCTGATGAAAGAACGACGCAAGGCTAACACGGTGTTTTCCGTAGAATGCAACAGTATGGCGTTTCTTGGTTTGATCGCCTGGTCGCACAGAAGCCTCGATGGGTTCGTGGAACTCAGACGCCCTCGACTCTCATCAGCGACGACAACAGCACCTCTGCCGCCTACTTTGGTGCCTCCGGCGGCTTCACAAACTCCGACCCCCTGTCTTTCTCTGTGCCTACCAAGGGCAAGTTTGTCTCTTGGCCTCAGACCGCCGCCATTCTCAAGGATGCGCCCCATCCCGAGGGAGCTAAGCTGCTGCACAACTTCATCCTGAGCCCCGAGTACCAGCAGAACTCTGGTCTGTGGTCTGTCCGTCACGATGTTCCTGCCCCCAAGGGATTCCCCAGCCTCTGGAACGAAACTGCCACCAACCCTGCCGAGTTTGCCCGCTTCATGGCCGACCGTAATCTGGTTGAGAGACTTCGATTCTTCTTTGAGAGCCGCATTGGAAGCGCTCAGGGTGACAGCCCTCTTGAGGATGACATTTAAGCGGCTGTAAATTGTGGTATGGGCTGTTGGAATTGAGCAATCAGTTGTGGCAACTCGGTGGAAGGTGGATGTAGAAAAATAGTTAGGTCCTGTACATATATAAAACTCACATAGAATAAAATTCTTGACCTCAAACTATGACCTCTATTTTTGCCCCTGGGTCAGTGATCTATTAGAACTCATCCTGGTAGTGGCACTTTGACCCTTGGTTCATAGAATGCCGATTGGCTAGTCCCAAGACTGCGCAACAGTCACTCATATCCCAAGATAAGCCCATAGAAATATCTGCAGTCTATTCAGAATTATGGCAGTCAAATCGTTTTACTAGGACCTGATAAAAAACGGGACCAATCGCATAGACTCTTCCAAGCCACTGCGAGTAAGACATCAACAGGCTGCATAAATCAGGTTTATCCTTGTGGTCGCTGATGTTCGAAAGAGGCAGTGCTTGATCGAGCCAATTGAATAGGCTCTTTCAAGCCTTGACTTGACACAAGGTGTGTTGTCGACAGGCAGCCACTACCATGACATATCTATACGCTGAGCCGTAACTCTCGTGAGCATTTGCTCTGTGCGAAGTGTCCCTCAATTTTCATTTATTTACCCCATATTTCGGGTTCTCTCTAAAGTTCTCACCTTGTTGTGCACATTACTACCCCTATGTTGCCTCGACAAGTCATCAAACTGAGGGCCCCTCAATCACGGAGCACCCTCTGGACCCTCTGGAGGGGTCTGCGCCGCGGCAGGATGATATCCCTCCTCACCACTTCTCGACGTCTTCCTAGCCAAACATACGCAAAACCAAGTATACCCGACCCTCTCAGGGCTCAGATGCAGATTGCTAAAGTGTTCATCTCAGAATCTCCCCAGAACCCTTTTTGCACGCCCCGTCGGTTTTCACAAACCACTCCCCCCCCTCCGTGGACCTGGAAAGAAATCTTCGCGATGTTTCTTATGATATGGCTAAGTCCTGGATATACGTTACTATATTGTCTTTCTTACGATGATATGCCTCACTCTATCCGAGAAGAACATGACCAGGCGAAGGCGCTCAAGCGACCCAGTTTCTTTGCGCCGGCGTATTGTCGACTTGGAGATGGCGAGTTCCGGGTCATGATACTCGAGGCGGGAAGTGGGAACGATGAACTAAGTTGCAGGTTATGTATCTGCAAGCATTCCGACAGAGTATCTTACCGGGCACTTTCCTACGCCTGGGGCGATCCCGTCAAGGTCAAACAAGTGCGGTGCAATGGCCAAAGGATCGGAATAGGATCGAATCTTCATCAGGCTCTGATTCATCTACGCCATGCTCGTTTCGAAAGGGTTATCTGGGCTGATGCATTGTGCATCAATCAAAACGACTTCGATGAGCGCGGACATCAGGTTCGAAACATGAGAACCATATTTGCAAATGCTCAAGAAGTTCTCGTCTGGCTGGGCGAAGCGGATTTGCATTTCAGAAGAGTTTTCGGATATATAAACCTATCCAAATGGTACACATCTCAGACCAATTGGGATACTATTGGTTTCAACCTCAATATGTCTCAAGACATAGAATTCCCCAGCCCAGCGACTTTGGGCTCCCTAGGTGAGCTTCTAGAGAAACCATGGTTCAGGCGCGTGTGGATTCTCCAAGAAGTTGCGCTGGCAAACCGAGCCACCCTCATGGCTAGCCGTTATCGCATTAGCTGGGAAAGCTTTGCTTCGCTAATTCACAAAGTTCATCGCTCAGGAGCATCTCGGAAAGATTTTTCAGCATCGGCCCAGACCAGTGTGAAGGCGGTTCTTGAGATCGAGGGTACACGGCAGTCTATTCAGTCGTCATCAGCCAAACATCAGCGACCCCTATTGTCTGTTCTATTAGCCACAAGCTCAGGAGAATGTTCAGATATTCGAGACAAGATCTTTGCCGTTTTCGCTCTCGCAGGCGACTACGACTTGGATCGAGATGCTGATGATTTCGGACCAAACTATCATCTGAGTCCGCAAGAGATTTTCAAAAAGTTCGCCAAATGGTGTATTTCTCGAGGCAACTTGAATGTACTCTCATGCACAACAAGGACTGAACCAGACCTTAGTGGCGAACTTGGAGAATTGCCGTCATGGGTACTAGATTGGACGAGAATCTACAACGACGCCCCATTCATTCGATACATGGACCGTTTGCCATTCAACGCTGGGCAAGTTGGGCTTCAGGCCAATGAACCGATTATCGATGCTCCTAGAGTAGTGGGGGATGACGCACTCATTCTTTCAGGGGTTACTGTTGACGTTGTCAAAGAAGTTGCGCCCCTTCCTCCTTCGCGCATTCATTCAGGAGCACCGACGAACCTTGGGTCAATGTTGCTTCACTACAAAAGGTGGCTGTGCGATCACCATGGCATGGGCAGTTTCCAAGCTGGGACGAATGACCAGAACCTCGGGGAACTCTTCTGGAGAACCATGACGGCTGGGTTGGATGCAGAAGGCTGCCTAGCAACTGACCACATCGGTAGGTTGTTCCATGATTACCTACGACAGGTGGAACAGACTGAGTTACAGAGCCAGGGAGTTGGTCCAAACCACTCCACAGTCTTAACCGCGGGATATGATCCAGCATATCTCCGTCACGGCAAAGTTATGTCCGCCGTGCTAATGTGGTCCTACAAGAGACGACCCGCAGTCACTAAGCGTGGAGCAATGGCATTAGTTCCAGAGAACACGCAGAACGGAGACATTATTGTCGTTGTGGCTGGAGCGAAGGTCCCGCTTGTGCTTCGGAGGGTTCAATCTGGCTCAAGTGAAAGTTATGCCGTGCTTGGAGAGGCGTTTGCTAATGACGTGATGGATGGGTCGTTTCTTAAGTTGCTGGTAGAAAATCAGATGAAACTAGGAGGACAACCAGATGGGTTTGCTTTGCGGAGGTATGCTATTAGATAAGAAGGGAGGGTAGTTCATGGAGCCAGATATTCTTGGTCACAACAGGGTCAGGCCAGAACTTGGGACGATTACAAATGCCCGTACCTACGGAAAACGGATCCTCCCGAGCCCGAGCCCGAAGGAATGTACAGGGCATGTCCCGTGTAGAAGCCATATCCGTATAAGCTTAAAACGCAACCCCGCCTTGACCTACCGGCGCAGACTCCAAGAAGGGAATTCATCCCTGGGATGGGGTAGCTTGCGTACTCCGCAAGTTTTGAGTAGCTTCAGTCCGCCTCTAACCAGGTTCTCGGTCACTCATGGCTACTAGTGAGGCGTCAGGAAGCACCACAACATGCACGACATACTCCGTTGGACCTAACGAGGACTCCCGTGAAGTTGGCGGTAGTTGGACAGTTTAGTCTGGGACCTCTATCTCTATTTCTCTAAGAGTGGCCACGAGTCCGGGGAAACAATCTAAGTTATCATACTGATATTGGAGCCTATCAGAACCTCCAAGAACTACACATTCTGCCCAAATAGGCAGCCTTTCGGCGAGGGCAGTCAAACAGTGGCACCCAATGTCAGCAAGGAGTTCCTTGCCCTTATATGTACAGAAGCTCTGAAATGTAACGATGAAAAACTGGTAGCTGGCCCACCTGAGTAATGCAACGTCGTCTCCAGGCGGACTCTCGGGGTCTATATGCTCCTCGGCTAAGTATCCGAGGATGTCAGGCGTCGGCCCCAGCATACGGCACGCAGTGTATAACGTTGATCTCCCTTAAATATGTATAATCGAATGTTCTTTCCGCGCATTCCACGGGGATTACTGTTATCGCCGGCGGTCTAGACGTCAAGGTTAGGTAGCATCAGACTGTCAGAATCTAATCTGTTTCAAGTTCTGTTGAGGAAGCCGGGGTTCCTAGCGATCCCCATATTCTCCCCAATCATTACCTCACCGCTTGGACTTGAGTGGTTTCGAAAAGCTACTGCCTAATCGTCGCGAGTCAGTTGACGTTCTCCAACAGGAAATCTCGTCCGTCTGGGGCCCGGCAATTGGAGAGCTATTCGGGCCTGTTGTGCGTGCCCCGGGGTCGCACGGACTCTATTACTTTGCGGAGTCTCCGCATCGTCTCCAACAGGAGCACCTGTCTCATTTGGAGAGGATCTTCGGCCTCCTCCACTGCGGAGGTTACCATGCAGTGCCGCTCCCCAGCCATTTGCCGTCGAGTGACGTTTGAATTTTTCACAAGAGGTTGCTTCGGCAGAATTATCGGCTCTTCTAGACCAATAATTGTGGCCTCATGAGGGACTAGAGTGGCGGCTAACATCCCCATTCTCCACGTTTTGGGGCAGTTTTTGGGGCGGCTCAACGTCTGCTTGGTGATGTAACCATGGGGGGGACGGACCTTGATTTTTGCCCCGTCGCGTCGGCTTCGGAAAAGGGTTCAGGATAAAAGATGGTGTTTCCTAGTAGTGGATATCATGTATTAAACCAGCCCTCCAGCCATCAGCGTGTCAGCGTCTTGCTTTTGCGGCATGCTTGAATAATCCGACACCGACGACACTCTACAGTTCAGCATCAATCCATTACAAGTCACAGAGTCACGATGGTCGACACAAAGCCCCACGACGAGCATGTGGACGGCAAGTCCAGCCTCGAGTCCAACGCCGAGGAGGCGATCCCGACTGGCGCCCTCGCGATGGACTCGATTCACAGACAGCAGGTTGAGAAGAAGTTGAAGCGAAAACTGGATGCGAGATGCAGTCTGTTCGTTCTGATTTATATCATGAACTACCTGGACCGCAACAACATCGCGGCCGCACGACTCAAGGGTCTCCAGGATGACTTGAAGCTCGACGACACACAATACGCAACATGTCTGAGCATTCTTTATGTTGGATACATTCTCATGCAGGTTCCTTCCAACATGTTCATCAATCGCATCAGCCGGCCGTCGCTGTACATCGCCTGTGCCATGCTTCTCTGGGGTCTCGTCTCCACCCTCTCTGGAGTCGTCCACAACTTTACCGGCATGGTTCTCATTCGATTTTTCCTTGGATTTGTCGAGGCTGCGTTCCTTCCCGGTGCTCTTCTGATCCTTTCCAAGTGGTACACACGTCGGGAGCTTACTACTCGCAACGCCATCCTGTTCTGTGGTAACCTCATCTCCAACGCCTTCTCGGCCCTCATCGGAGCTGGAGTCTTGTCCAACATGCAGGGAGTGTTGGGCCACGCAGCTTGGCGTTGGCTCTTCTGGATTGAGGGAGCCATCACAATGGGTGTTGCTATCTCTGCAGCTGTTATTCTCCCCGATCTTCCCCACAACTCTCGAGGCTTCACCGAGGAGGAGCGACAGGTTGCACAGCTCCGCATGATTGAGGATGTTGGAGAAGCCGATACCGACTCATCTGAAGAGGGTATCTTTTACGGTTTCAACCTGGCTGTCAAGGATGTCAAGATCTACATCATGATGCTCACCTTTACGGCATATGTTGTCGGTCTCTCTTTCAACGCCTTCTTCCCCACCCTGACCGGAACTCTTGGTTTCGAATACGTCCCTACACTGCTCATGAGCTCTCCTCCTTGGTTGTTCTCTTGCATTGTCTCCCTGATCAATGCTTGGCACTCTGACAGGACAGAGGAAAAGGTTGGTACCGCAATAACACTGTCGTGTAAACAAGCTAACAATTCAACTAGTTCTGGCACATCGTGGGACCTATTTGCGTCGGTATTGTTGGTTTCGTTATCAGCATGTCCACCCTCAACGTGGCTGCTCGTTACGTTGCTCTTTTCCTGCAAGCCAGCTCATACGCCGGCTTCATCGTCTTTTATTCGTGGATCAGCTCCTCATTCCCCCGACCTCCAGCCAAGCGTGCCGTGGCCATCGCTATGATCAACGCCTTCAGTCAGCTGGGCAACGTGGCTGGCTCGTACGTGTGGGATCTTCCCGAGAACGGCTTCCGCAAGAGCTACGGCATTGTTCTGTCCATGTTTGGCGTCACCATTGTCGGCTGCTGGATCTTCCGCATGATCTTGGTTGACTTGAACAAGAAGCTCGATGCCGGCGAGTCGGCCTGGGAGACGAGACGTGATGTGGCTGCACAGACGGCTGCTGTGGAGGTTATGGATAACCCTGACGAGGCTCTGCGCATGAAGAGGGATTTCCGATACTTGATCTAAGCGGGGATATGCTGCCTAGACAATGGCAAAGAAGAACAATTGCAGTTGGCCCAAGGTGCTTATTTGTTCATTAGCCTTGGTTTCAATGTAACATGAGTCTCGCCAACACCATATCTCTCACACCCTTTCGCGACGTCAAGATAGGGTTTGTCGGTTGACTAAGGTTACGAGAATCTTACTATACCCTGTACTTTAAAATGACAAAGAGATAGTTCAGAAATGACTAAAACTAGGCTTCAAAGTATCCGATGTTGCCAAACCATGGGTTGGGTGAGAAGTTGATGATCTAATATGGATGCTGGCAGACTCGCGATGCAATCGATAAGACCTCAAACAGCAATGATGGGCGCGTCCAAACGCGAACACGCGCCTTGCCGGACCGACATGGGATTTATCATGCACCGATAAGCAATTACTCACAGCTTAGCACGACGCGAACAAAGCATATCTTGACAATTAGCGGCCGCCCATGCACAGCATCTTCCGCTGAGGCCCGTCAGCATTCGTCTGGGCTTCTTGTCCCCCTCACTTCATGTTGACACGTCGACTCGAGCTAAGCCAGACGGGTCACCTTTCCGGATTGACCCAACCAACGGGCGGTCGGTGAACCCGGCGGTTTTGCGGGGGCTCTCAGCAAGGATACGGGCGGGCAAGACGAGAGGATGACGCTGGATTTATCCAACAAGGTGGGGTTACGGCGGGCAGTTTTGAACGGGGAAGAAATGAGTGATAAACAGTGAATTTGCATGGGAAAGGTGTGTGTGTCTGACATGGACAGAAAAGCCGCAACCGAGCGTTGTGTAAGAATCCAATGCAACTCTCCCCGCCCTCGGCAGTCCTGTACGTGTTCATCAGTGCCAATTGGGACAAGATGAAGGCCTGACAAAGCAGGCAAACAGTTCCTCTACCCCCTGTCGTTCGGTGTGAGCCGACATGGGTTCATGCGTTCCACCCGGCGTAGTCGGCAACTGCACGACGCCTCTTGTATCATGCTGCTTGCGCGGTACAGGAGGAGGGGGCTTGCAGGATGCAGCAGTCTTTTTTACCATGCGTAACCCTGAAAACGTCTTGCGGGAAGAGAGAGGAATTCTCCATCCGGGCGTGGGTCGCTTCCATCGGCCGCTCGCAGAACCTTCCACTCAATGGCTGGCGCAGAAACGCTTGGCATGGAGATTGGTTGGATGGGTTTATCAGCCATGTCATTGCTATTGGACCTTGGGTGTCATGACATCACTGGACCCGGTGTTTGGGGTGGTTGCTTGCTTGCTTTCTTGCTGCTCTCAGGCTCAAACGGCCCGCGTCAGGGAATACAAATAGTTCTTTTTGCTCCTGGCGATCGATCAGTCTCTTTTTTCCCCTCCATTCTACCCCTCTGTCGATCTCACATCTCTTTTCGAAAAGTCAATTCACTCAACATCAATCACAATGGTCCAGCAAATCCCCCAAGCCTCCCGTCTCACTGACCTCTTCAGCCTCAAGGGCAAGGTCGTCGTCGTCACCGGCGCGTCCGGACCCCGCGGCATGGGCATTGAGGCTGCCCGCGGCTGTGCCGAGATGGGCGCCGACGTCGCCATCACCTACTCTTCCCGCAAGGAGGGCGCCGAGAAGAACGTCCAGGAGCTCGTCTCTGACTACGGCGTCAAGGCTCAGGCTTACCACCTCAACACCACAAACTACGACGACGTCGAGAAGTTTGTGAACCAGGTTGTTGCCGACTTTGGCAAGATTGACGCTTTCATCGCCAAGTGAGTCCATTTTCCACCCGTGTCTCACCCATCGCTAACAGTTACAGCGCCGGTGCTACCGCCGATGCCGGTGTCATTGACAGCTCCGCCGCCGACTGGGACCACGTTATCCAGGTCGACCTCAACGGCACCGCCTACTGCGCCAAGGCCGTCGGCGCCCGCTTCAGAGAGCAGGGCCACGGCTCTTTCGTCATCACTGCCTCCATGTCTGGCCACATCGCCAACTTCCCCCAGGAGCAGACCTCATACAACGTGGCCAAGGCCGGCTGCATCCACATGGCCAAGTCCCTCGCCAACGAGTGGCGCGACTTTGCCCGTGTCAACAGCATCTCTCCCGGCTACATCGACACCGGTCTATCCGACTTTATCGATGCGAAGACTCAGGAGCTGTGGAGGAGTATGATCCCCATGGGCCGCAACGGAGATGCCAAGGAGCTTAAGGGCGCCTACGTCTACCTTGTCAGCGACGCCAGCACTTATACCACTGGTGCTGATATCGTCATTGACGGAGGTTACACCTGCCGGTAGATGTGTGTTGGTTCAAAAAGGTGTCGGTACCCAAGTTTGGCGCATTTGATTAAAGGCCCGGCGCAAGTCTATAGCAGATTTTAATGACATGAACCTTGATGATTCTACTCGATGCGCGTCTTTTGATTGTTTCTTGTGTGACGTGAGTCTCGGGTTATCAAGGACCGAGCATCCTACCTCGGGCCGAAGCACCGCCAACATCATGCGATCCGATCATCTATGATGACAAAGTCGCCTTGCAGATTGAGACCGGGAGGAATTATGGCTAAATACCAGTCATTTCTAGTTTTCGGTTTTCAATAATCGAATGTTGAACTTGCATATGAGCAACATTGTCGTATCCTGGAAAGAGTAAACTTCCGGGGAAGCGAAAAAAATCAATACGACGTCATACATGCGTCCTGCGCTGATAGGTGCGCATCTCAACCCACTATGCGGTCGAATGAACGGAATAGGGGGTACAAGGCATCGATGGTGTCTTAGATAATGAGCAGTTTGGCTTCTTAAGAGATCGTATCCAGGGTGTTGTATTCCGTATACCGGATTTCAAGCCTGAGTCCGGCCCTTCGCTAAGGAGCAAGCATAGGACAACTCGGATGAAACGAACAATATTCAAAGCATCGGCTCTTTTAATCTCCGGGCATGGTTTCATTAAGCTGCCATCTATCTGCTATGGTTCAGGCGGGGAAGTTGGTTCTCCTTGGTTCTCCGTCTGTTTGCTCTCTCCCCAAGAACCTCATCCATCACTGAAAAGCACCCTTTCAACGCAGTTATAACGGCGTCTTCGACCCTGTGCAAGATTCCAGGGTGGAGAGGGTTGTCCATGTCATTGTTCAATTCCCTCTTGGCTAGGGCCGGCAGGTGGTTCATAAGGAGGGTTCGATAATAGCTGTGAAGGTTGAGCGGCTCAAAATCTAGAACAAGGTAAGTTTGTGTTGGCACTCTGAGGTATGATGTTGAAAATTAGGTAGGTATTGCATACAAGGACTTGGAATCACTTTGGCGTCTGGAAAGATGATTTTGTAAGTCGCATTCCATCTCCATTCATTCTCAAAATATCTTCCATACATATCTTGATCTCTCAGTTGCTGCTCTTGTTGGACGTCAATCTTGGTTGTAACCGGTTTCTTCTCACACGGGTTATCTGCCCGTTGATGGCCATGTAATGCAGTCTCAGTCGAAAACTCGTCGTAGCATCGATGGCATTGAAGCTTTGAATACACGTGTCTGCGGAAGATATGGTCACTGGAAGAAATTGAAAATCAGTACCTTCGCATGATGCTTGTCAACTTGATTGCTTAGACTTACTTGACTAGGTGAGCGCTTGTCAATCCAGGGGCTACGCATTCTAGAGACTCTTGGGGCTCTTTCGGGTAGCGTTTGTAGAAGGGACAGGCAAACTTTTTGGCATCTGGCTCTTCCTTCCGCGCCCGCGTCCGAGTCTTTGATTTGTCACCATCCTGATCAGAGTCGTCGAAATCGTCCCATGTGATGTCGACCCTCTTCTTCTGTTTGTTTCCTGCTCTCGGCGGATGTGATACACCGCTGTCGATACTGCCATATGAAGATGCTACAGAGGGCGGTCGGGAACCGGGAGAGGGTGGATTGAAAACGTCGGGGTCGGCCTGATCGGGGATGCCGCTTGGTTCTCTCCTTACCCCCTCTATGCACTCTCGCAGCTGTGGATCGCCAGGATTCATTAGTCCTGGTACTGCTTCAGGAAATTCTGCGCCTAGGACTTGGTCTGTTTGATTCTCCGTAACTCGTTGTCGAATGCGAAAGCTCGTGAAGAACGAGAGCGGGGTTCATGCCCAACGTAAACAGTTGGGCGACCTGCATGAGGCTGAATTTCAAGCTGGCGAAAGCCCCGCAGGCTGCCTTGAGCTGCCTTTACCCATCACCTCTTACCTCTACAGCCTCAACCCCCCTTGCGATCAGATCGGCATGGCCAAGATACCTAAGCTCGAGGACTACACCATTATAATTTTTTCTCCACTGGTAATCGAGCAGAAGGCGGTATTTCTTATGCTAGATGAGGTTCACGATGGAATCCCAGAACGTTCTGCCGGTCAGACTGTGCTCTACACCCTTGGTAAAATCGCCTCATATAATGTGGCTATTGCCGGATATCCTGCTGGAGAAGTTGGAATAGGTGTGTCGGGAAGCATGGTCTCAGAAGCCTTCAGGGACTTTCCCAATCTTGAAGCAGGCGTTCTAGTCGGCATCGCAGCAGGCATCCCGTCCCCAACTCGGGACATTCGTCTCGGAGACGTTGCGGTTGCTGTCCCTAATAGCGACAACCCAGGGATTATTGGCTATGACCTTGTCAAAGTTGAAGAAGACCATATTCGACTCAAACAGTGGCAAAACTCGACACATCCCCTTCTGCGGTCTGCCATCGCCAGCATCCAAGTCCATGAAAGCCGCCCTGAGTTCAGCTTCACCCGCCACTTGGATGTCTTATCGAGAGCAACGGACTTCAAGAGACCGGGTCCTGCTTTACCCAGGAGCGAGTCCTTGACTTCAAATGAGCGCGATGAGCCAATTGCACATTACGGCACCATCCTCTCTGGGAATGGGGTAATGAAATCCAAGAAAAAGAGAGACGAGTTGAGAGATAAATATGGCGGAATTGCTATTGAGATGGAAGCTGCTGGAATAACAACTAGACTGCCAGTGGCTGTGGTTCGAGGCATCAGTGATTTCGGCGACTCCGAAAAGAACGATGACTGGCATCGCTACGCTGCTATAACTGCGGCAGCATACGCCAAAGAAATGTTGATTAGGCTTGGCCCAAGGAAGGCGACTGGATCCGGTACGTTGAAAGTTTGCATAGATATAAGTTGTTGGATGCTATTGACGTCGGAACTTGACTCGCGCACGTATGAACAAGCTGACGAAATGATGCAGAGTCGCGGTCTCTCATCTCTCCAGATATTGACTCCAGCTTGAGACTCTCTCTGCCAGAGAAATGCTCATTTGTGGGCCGAGAGACTGAGCTCTCAAAGTTGGAAGAATGGGTCGGTTTCTGCCCAAAGAAGACGCCACAGAGGTCCATGGTCACTCTCTGGGGCTTTGCTGGCGTTGGAAAGTCACAGCTGGTGTCCGAATTTGTAAAACAGCAGCGGGAAAAGTACCCGGACTATGACATTTTCTGGATCGCGGCGGCGACTAAGGAGGCCTTTGAGCAGAGTATCCTCAGCGTTCTGAAGCTGGCCAACAACTCGGAGGCGACAATTCCGGAAGGCGGTGCGAGCTACGACGAACGCCGTTCCGTGCTCATAAATTCGTTCTTCACCGAGTTGAAAAACACGATGCGTGCCCGATGGCTGCTTGTTATCGACGGGATACCTGGTGATCCATCTCTGCAACAGCATATTCGGAGCTATCTGGATGGATTGCCTTGGGGATCTATTATCCTCACAACACGAAGCACAGAGGTGGCGAGCTGGTATCATGGAAGTATGGAAATCAGAGGGCTGCCTGAGGTAGATGCAGTTAAACTTCTTGACCTGGATATTGAAGAGAGGTTTAGATCAGGGGAGAATGGTATGGGCTACTTTTCCCTTCAACTGGTTCAGCTTATAGTAAAAGGACTGACAAAGCATATAGATTTACTTGAGATGGTGAGGATGTTGAACTGCCACCCTCTCTCGCTGCGCCTGGCAACGTCTGTCATATCCTGCTATCATCTCAGCGTGAGACAATACGTCGACAAATGGAGAACACGGCAACTCTATGATGAGTACCCTGCCAACATGGCACTTTTCCGGTCCTTTGAACTTAGCTTCAAGGAGCTCGAGAAGGCCAACCCGGTAGCAGCAGAACTCCTGATGCTGTTTGGATATCTCGATCACACGGACTTGTGGGCCGATCTTTGCTTAAACGCCACTGATGACGACCTTCCAGCGTGGCTTCGTGAGATAGGATCGTCTAAGTCCTTTCATGGCTGTTATGCTAGTATGCGCAACTTGTCCCTTGTTGAGGCTAAGTTACATGGGAGGAAGCAAGACCAAGCCTACGAAATCCATCCTGCAATCCACGAATTTGCGAGGTGGAAGGCAAGGGAGAACGAGGAAGAATATGTGAGAACTGCGATATCCTTGGTCGCTGCCAAAGTTCCGCGATCTACAGACAGGGACTTTCTAGAGATCGTGAAACGATTGGAGCCTCACGCCGACCAATGCAAGATTCACATGGAGCAAGGCAGGGCCGGATCCAGCTTGGACTTGCTGGAGCTTGAACGATTCGGGAACCTGTTCCGCCATCTCGGACGTTACGATGAAGCGTCTCGGTTCTATAAGAGGATTCTAAATGTTCTAAACAGGGAAGATGACCCTGATGAATTCACTCTGGAAATGATAGCCGGGATCGAAAACAATCTTGGCTTGATCCATCACGCACGGCGACAGTACGACCTCGCCCTTCAAGCTTATGGCCAGTCGTATCGAAGACGCCTGCAAATTGTGCCCAGAGATGACGACTCTCTTATGACGACCCAGTACAACAAAGGGAGAGTTTTTATGATGCTTGGGATGTTGGACGAGGCTCTGCAGACCCTGCTGGAGGCCGCCGCACACTTTTCTCAACCAATATCCCCGGGTGCTTTGGACAACCACGGCTTTGAGAGTAGCAACGGAGCCACGGCACAAATATACTTTCGAATCTTGAATGATGTCGGCGAGATATACCTTCGGAAAAACGATGTGGAGCAGGCGGAGCAGAACTTCAGAACGGCATTCGACGGGCACAAGAAGTATTTCCACGAGATGCATCCTACAACCTTTGCAGTCCGGCTAAACATGGGAAGAGTTTGTGTCGAGCGGTCTCGGTTTGCAACTGCAAACAAGATATTCGAGTACATCATCGCGACATATACAGAGTGGTGGGGAAGGCGACATTCCGAGACGATGCGAGCGGTTGTTGAGCTTGCTGAGTCACATATGCGACACGCTGAGCAGAAGCGTCTGATGGGCGATGGGGGAGACTGGGAGTTGAATATGGCAGCAGACCTTTGGGCCGAAATCCTGACCTTTCATCACGATGTTTCCGGGCCAAGTTCAGATGCTGCGAGTTTTGCGAGGTCGGGGTTGCAACAGGTGCAGTTGCTCCGTTCTGTCACCCCTGAGGATCCATATAGCATGTATTTTTCATAGAGATCTCGAGATCATTAACAAAAGCGAGGCGTTATTTATGTAAGGTATTTCAGGTTTTAGCATCTTCATGAGACATTTACAAGCTTTCAAGTCAACTACAGGTATACAGGGTTTCCCCTCGAATGGTTCAATACTGACTCTAGAACAGATGGTGGAGTCTGGATGGTTACTTAACGTGCGACAAGATGTAGCTGTAAAATCAAGGGAATTCTCCACGCAGTCATACGGGTACAGGTGCTTAGAAGTAGTCAAGGAATCTGTACGTAAGAAGGGCATGTGCCATTCAGATCTTACTAAGTCAATCCCACTCCCCACATGGTTGTTGCTTGGCTTCACCCATGTGGCCCCCTTGTCAAACGATGAATTTCTAAGCAACTGCTGCTGCTGACGGCTTCCCTTCGTTTCTTTGTATCTACCAACAACACGACTAAATCTTCCCTTTGCTTAACAATGCTTCAACTTCTCGACTCGGCAGCAGACGCCATTGGCGGTACACCGCTGGTGCGGCTCGTTCGTATCACCTCATCTTTGGGCCTCGACGGAACTATTCTTGCCAAGCTTGATTATCTCAACCCCGGCGGCTCAAAAAAGGATCGTGTCGCACTCGGAATCATGGAGGAAGCCGAGAGGCTAGGCACACTCAAGCCTGGCCAGCCAGTAGTTGAGCTTACGAGCGGCAACACAGGCACCGGGCTCTCGATTGTGTGCGCCATCAAAGGCCATCCATTCATTGCCGTCATGTCACGCGGAAACTCGATCGAGCGTGCGCGCATGATGTCGGCCCTGGGCGCGGAGGTTGTTCTTGTTGATCAGATGCCTGGATCAGTACCCGGGCAAGTTTCTGGTCCTGATCTGGCACTTGTCGAACAAAAGGCCAAGGAGATCGAAATTGAACGTGGTGCCTTTCGTGCTGATCAGTTTACACGAGATGGAAACTGGATGGCACATCGCGATGGAACAGGAGCTGAGATCTGGCAGCAGACCGACGGCAATATCGATGGATTTGTCGACTTTGTTGGCTCTGGAGGCACATATGCCGGCGTGACGAAGAAGCTCAAATCCTTGAAACTATCCGTCAAGTGCTTCATTGTCGAGCCGGTTGGCGCTGCCGTACTAGCCAAGGAACAAGTCACGCAACTAGAGCATCCTATCCAAGGCGGCGGTTACGTGATGCCCGATCTAGTCTACCTGAAAGACGTGCCCGTTGATGGCTACGTTCAAGTAACGGGCGACCAAGCCAGGGAAGGGGCCCGTCTCTTGGCGAGAAAGGAGGGTATTTTTGGTGGCTTCTCGAGCGGTGCCAATATCAGTGCTGCTATCGAGCTGCTGAAGGGCGGGATGGCGGGGAAGACGATTGCCATCATGATTTGTGATTCAGGTCTCAAGTACCTCTCAACTGACCTCTGGCTAGAGTCTTGAGGTGGGCTCACTTGGTTTATATCGGTAGTATAAGAACTAGACTATAACTACATTATTACATAATTGAGCGGACCGAACAACTTGAATTTGGCCCATACTATGCTTGCTTACTGAACAACACAGAAGGAGCAAGAGTTTCGATTCTGCCGAACTAAGGGGGTCATTTCAGTCAAGTGCTAGTCTCCAGTTGGGAGATAAAATGTGACTTCTAGACAAGGCAAACCTCTTCTTCCTCTCCGTCCATAGGAAAGGGAATTCGAGGGACTCCTAGTCCATCCACGATATCCGAAAACACAAACACCCCAATGCGTTCCCACGAGTCTTGACCGTTTGCACTCTTCCCTGCTGGGACCACGACTAACCCTGCACACTGCCAAGAAGTAGCTGTTTCGTCTCCAGATGGAACATAGGTGTCGTATCGATGATCTATCTTGTCTTTCAGAACCCATGCTTCAAACGCTGTCAGAATCATGCACGCCCCGTTAGGGACTGCAGAGCCAGGTACCAAAGACACGTCGTCGTTGACGTATTTCATGGGATTCTTCGGCTCAAGATACTTTTCCCCACCACGCACATATTTTCCATGGGGGAGAAGCCGAAGAACTGGCCCATCCCATGCCAGAGCGCCCGGTATCTTCCTTGTCTTGAGTGTGATGCTCATGTTTTCCAAGTCGTGTAACAAAGCCTCGGGGTTAAAGGCGAGTTTGGGATGGTTGAAAGAGAGAACCCGGGCTTTGTAAATAGTATGAAATGAGCGGTTGTATATCTCGGTGCGGATACGGAAGTCGACCGTGTCGCTGTCCGTAGACGCTGACTGTAGGCGAGGAGGTACCGAAAACCACGACCACGACGGGGCCTGCTTTCTCATCTCATTCCTTCTGTTGTAGAAGTCCCCCAGAGGAGACGGAGGATGAAACACCCATAGAAGATCAAGCTCAGCGAACTCTTTCCAGATGCCTGCCAAGTACGTAAACCTGGTCTGCGACTGAACAGCCTTGACGATGCCTGCAAAAGCAATGACTCGGTCCTTTTCAAAGGTCAGATTCGCCAGCCGATACTCTTCCACTAAGAGACTCCACTGCCCCTTGAAACTCTCGTCGTGCTCTCGACCTTGCGAACTGCCCAGGATACCGGCAAACACAGAGTGAAATCGGCTTTTGGAGCGAGGAGAGTCCATCAAACGACCCGAGAACTCGTCCTCGAGCCCTTCACAGCACTCCCATAGCAGTCTATCCTGCCCGTAGTAGATATTTCGAGAGCAGAGCAGCCGCTCTTGAAAGACCCAAGCCCTGCTTAGAAGAGGCCAGATATGCTTGTAGGTGGTAGGAGACCAGAACTTGTTGACGAAACCTGGAGCACTCTGGATGATCAGAGGGGTCGAGTCTGAACAGCTGCTGTCGCTACCTGATTTCAGATGCTCCATGGGTAGTTCGCATGGAACTATTATTCTAGGATCTCGGAGATGGTTGTGGCTTGCGCTATCAGATGGCGGGTACACATATGAAATGTTAAGAGAAGTTCGACCGTATACAGCAGCCATCTTCAAAGCCTCTTTCTTCCAATCCTCGTCCGAATCTTGAATGATGCAGAGTGAGTCAATCCAGATATATCGAAAGCCAAGAGCCTTTGCGATACGGATTGCTTCAAGATATTTGGTCGGTAACAGAGACGAAGGGATATCAGACTCAAAATCATGAAGTCGAGCCTGGGTCAGCTGAAGACATGTGTCGGGATCAGGACCCCACATGTGGCTCAGCGTCGTGTATTGCAGATGAGGCAGACTCTTGACGTTGCATTCTAGTTTGATCTTGTCTCCTTGGAGGTCCAAAAGACGGGATGGTAACTGGCTGCCTTGCGTGACCATATTGGGATACGCGGTGCACTTTGTGTGGTTCTCTGAGCATTCCAAATACCATGACTTGATCTGGGCCAGTTTCATATCATTCTTGGAGGATACAGGCTCGTTTCCGTGTCGAAAAGTGGCCGAGTTTAGTCGTCGATCTGGACTTGGGTTAGCAACCCCAGGCTTTCCACTCTTCAAGTAGCGTGCTCACTCGAAGATGGATAGATGTACAACTCATACATCTTATTGCCGATATCAGTAGAGTTACTCTTGCTAGCATAAACCTTGGATATTGTCAAGACGACCACCCCGAGTTCCGTTCTATAACTTGTCAGTCATCCCGGACTCAAGCAGAGGGCAAACACGTACATGAAAGGTGGGACCAGATCATTCCACCACTTCTGAAGACCCGAGGTCTGATACTCTAGCGCATATTCTATTTCAAAGTCCCTTGCTTCCAGGCACACAGTGATGTCTGGCTCTTTGATCATACCCTTGTCTGGGTCGAAGCGGTGACCCCCTCCATGAGTCCATAGCAAGGCACAGAGATGGCAGCTGCTAAGATATCCATCCTTCAGGTCCTTCACTGAGCATAGCTTGAATGTCTCTTTGGTGTGGAGCCGTAGCTGCTCTCCACGGGACAAGCGCCGGAAGAGGGATGACTCTCTTTGGAACCTTGAGCAGGCAGCGCAGAGCTGGTGGAGGGTGATGACTGTGTCTTCGGAGACTTGTCGCTCGTAGATGGGGCTCCATTTCACCGAGCTCATCTTGTAGATTAGAGGCTTGGCCGTCGTGTAGTGTCACATGTAGGATTACTCGATGAGTTGACAAAGAGAGCGTATTTTGCGCTGTCAGTGAGATTTCAAGTGGGGCTTTGCATAGCCTCGTCTCTGATGGGGATCACACCTTAGTGGCGTTAGTAGTACTAGGGGCAGGGATCTGACTCGAGATATTAAGCAGCAGCCTTCCTGCTGCATACTAGAAAGTGGCAACAGGAGAGAATTATTAGCTCCGACAACTAGCTACAATAAAGGGACCTGAGCAAAGCCTCTGTACAGCTAGGTACCATATGTGTCACTCAACTACAGGAAACGGCCTTATCTAAAAGACAGCCAGAAAAGAAATCGACTCGCAAGGTGATCTCCGACAACCGAGCGCTCCATGTGACGTTGGCATTATTGCTAGGAACTGATGAAATGTGACGACTGGGGTGCCATCGGCTGTATTGCATGTGTGTCCACCGAATCTACATAAAAAGTCATGATGCGGTATATCGGGCGGCGGGGGAGCCCGCAGTCAAATAGACTATTATGGTGCAGGGAGGTAGGCTTTGGTGATCAAGCCTCGCAACCGGGCCCCTAAATTTGATACCCCCTCTTCAGCCACGATTGGTATCAGTTTTATCATTTTCACAAGTAGTCTGGCCCTGCTATCCTTTTTACTTTGTGGGCCTTTACTGTAATTTATTGCCTGGAAATCATAACGTAAATCTTGCCTAGTAAAAAAAGAAGAGCAACCGCCAGCATTCTCACCATCCAAAGTCTGTCAAACTAAGAAGTTCAGATAGCACTACATAGCTTGCTCGGTAGTTCCAAACTCGAGATTAGCATCTTTCATTACCCTTGTCATCATGTTGCGCAAGTTCCTGTTGCCCTCACGAAACCTCTTCAACCGGTCGCGGATGAGTTCTTGGCTGTAAACAGCATCGGGCAAGGCATCTGTGTGAACTCCGAGTGTTGCGAGAATGTCCTTCTTTTTATGCTCGGGCAAAGTTTCGTCCAACCTCTTCTGCATCACTTGGGCACAGAACACCATCGCAATGGCTTCTCGGGCTTCGTTGGCACATCTGTTTATCTCGTTGATGGCGAGGCCAACTGCGCAAGAGTTGTTAGCTTAGGCTTTCTGGCTCCAAATTGAGTGGTAAAGAGTTGCTTCGGTAAACGTAGGCATGTAGTTTCCAGCACACGGCAAGATACCCAATTCTCAAAGGGGTCGACATAAGTGAAAAGCAGGTCTTACACTCTCTAACTCCACTCTTCTTGATGAAGGCTTTCCCACGTTCTGCATCCATGAAGGAGTGTACCCCAACACCTGTTGCACCCCCCGCCACGAAGCCACCGCCGTAGGCACCCAATGCGACCCAGCCTGCGGGGTTCCAAAAGAGAAAGACGGCTCCGACCGCGATAACAGCAGTGGCAATCCCCGAGATGTTCCTGTTCGTATTGTATTGATTTATGACCGGGCTGTAGTCTGCTTCAAGTTCTCGAACCAGTGGTTGCGCTGCTTGTTTCAGCGCAGAGAACAGGAGTGCCCCATGGTGGGCATCCTGGACGAGCTCATACAGGTCCTGGTTGGAGAGAGCTGCAACAGTGTTTGTGAGTGCCCTAAGCCATAAGCGATAGATGGAGTTGAGACGAAAAGAGTGGGAGGGAAAAACATAGCATTAGGGTGATGGTGGGTGGGAGGTGGCCTTGAAAAGGAGACTCACTCAGATTATTTTCTAGTTTTGTTAATCTGCTCTCCACGCGGTTCGCAAGGCGCATGTATTCCGCGAAGGGTCCAGCGGCTGTATTCCAAGCAACTTGCAGATCCGCGACATCCCTTGGTGGTTGGCCGGCGTGATGCCCAATGCCTTCACGGAACTTTGCCCCCAAGTTAGAGATGATTTTTTAAAAAAAAAAAAAAGAAAGAAAAAACCTCGAAATGCGCCTTGTGGGTGGATGGAACCTGGGGGATATGTTGGAAAGCACCTACCCGTTGGAATAGCGCTCGCAGCTGGCCGAGCCGTTCTGGTACATGCACGTCCAAAACGTCGACGCCCCGTGCCCCTTGTTGAGTACCAGCCCGATTATTTCCATTTGCCTGATCTTGAGCGTTTCGATGCATGAGATAAAGGCTGACTATCGCAGCCAAGATCTCCAGGACATCTTCGGTAGTGCGAACGGCATCCTGTAACCTTGAGAATATGTCTGGTTAGAGGAAACTGGGACGCTAGAGAATAAAAAGGAATGGGAGTTTGAACACACCAAGACTGCGCTTCATTCGTCACCGCCGGGCTAGGAACGATAAAAGTGTTGACGCGGATGCTTAGCTGGTTCAGGTGAAATGCATGCGTGTACCGTGAGGAGAAATTCTCCGGGACATTGACCGGAAAGATGTTGAGGTTATGAGGAGTGCTGTTGATACGGACGAAGAACTGATAGATAAACTGTGGAGCAGTTTTGAAGAAAAGCTCCCGGACATCGGCCATGGGATTTTCACCTGGATCGTTGTACGCCCAAACTCGATGGCGGAATCGCACCTAGATATGGAAGGTGAGCTGCCAAGGACACCTCACGCATGATTGACTAGGAATTTGAGCAAGGACAGGAAGGGTTGTCTCACTTACTTCGACAGGAACATACTGGTCGTGGGCGCTCAGACCCGTGACCCCGTCAGCCTCAAATGGAATCACTTCCCAAGCTTGGAGGTTGTGGGCGCGGAAGAGGGAAGCGAGCCCGTCGTTATTCAAAGGGCTTCTCCCTTCAGCTCTATAATGCCATACTTGAAGGTGAACAGTTAGCGCTGAGGGGGGTTCTTGTGCGGCCCGGTCCTCAGCTATAACCTCCTCGTAGAGTGGAGGGGGCTGGCCTGACATGTTTCGACGGGGACTAAGAAGTGAGGTGCGCTACGCTAGCCAGGCAAAATAGTCTTGGCCAGGAATTGTTTCCCTCAAGCGGCAAGGATTAGTACGTGATGGATAGTATTTCACAATGGAAAAACGAGAGAATTCTGACACTCTTAACTGAGGCGGAGGAGTTGGGGGACCACGAGCAGAGCCTCATGGAGCGCAGCGGACCATGGCGGACCATCCAGCTACCAGTCCTGCCGCCATTGTCCGCATCTAATGGTTCCGAGGTTCTACGAGGCAGAATTAACGTCACCTGTAGGCAGAAGTGCAGATGTTGGTAGGCCTCCAGCCGATAAGGAAAACCAGCCTCTCTTCCCTGGACCAACAGGTGTGCTCTGGTCTCAGATGGATGCTATCAATCTTTTGCCAATCCAGGTGACTTGCATACAGAAACCCAGAAGCTGATAGGCGCCCAGTCGTTAGGCCAAATGGGCCTCATTTTCGTGGGCCAACAAATGTGCCGCAGTCTTGGATGGGTGGTATCTATCTCCAATCACAAACGCATTGGACTGCACCCCACGGACACGTCGTCTCGGCTGTGAGGAGGCCAGAAATCTGACCTTCTTCCAACCAACGAGCCTGTGGCTTGCGGCAAGGCGTCTCGTCGGCAACTCGGAAACCTAAAGATCCGACAAGGCATATGTCGAGAAAATCCCTCGGTGGTGTGCAAGAAATCTCCCCACAGCAATGCAGTACTTCATCTGAACATACCCAAACGCCAGAACGTGGGGATTTACCAGATCTCTTTTGGCATCGAAATATTCAAGTATCTTTTCCAAATTTATCGGCTCTTCTTTTTCTCGGCTTGCGGTAAAATGTCCGCCGACAATTCATCAAGACTCGATGAACCAGCCGAGAGGATGACTCTCCTTGGTCAGCGCAAACGGGATACTAGCCCAGCAGCGCTCGACGCGACCGTTGCTCTTGCTCGCCAAGGTGACTTCGTCTCCCATCGGCTGGAGGTCCTAATTTCCAAGTGTCAAACCGATGGCGAGATCGACCGTGAGCTGTGGGACGATTTGGAAATCCACCGTCGCTCCGCGAACACGTACATTGATCAGTACCTCGACTCTTTACAGCAGGTACACGAAGGGCGTCGCAATGTCTACGAGGTTGAAGATGTTCATGATGAGGCTCTTCCTACGGGTCTGTATAACAAAGAAATTATGGCGATAAAGGGATGCTAATCTCTCATAGTTGTAGACCTAGCTGTGCGAAACCCAAATTCAGGAGCGTCGTCCATGACGAGAGTTGAGTGGCGGCTCAAAATCTCCAGTGACAGTCTTGCGCGTGACCTGCTAGCCATGCACGAGACTCTCGAGTTTCTCAAGAGGAGAATTCCCAAGCCGAGCAAATGCAGTCGTTCCATCGGCGCGTTGTCGGTTTCCGCATCTATAGTGTGAGTATGAACCCAGATACCCCAATCTCTCTCGTCTTCTCACTCCAGGTGGCAAGGGCTTTCTCTTACATACCTAAACATAACAGGGTGATCATGTGGAGTGACTGGTACCCCGTGGAAGCACTGAGCCTTTTGACATTGAACATGGCCAGCCTTGCGGTCTACTACTCCTCGCCAGTAATGCGGGAATGGCTCAGGACGGAGTCTATCGAGCGCTACCAAGGGAAGGTTGAAGCTTTGCTGAGGCGTCTGAAGAAAAATGAGTTAGACGAAGAGGACCGGGAGGGTCTTTCCGGGATGTGGTGTTGGATGGTAGAACAGTTTAGGAAGTAGAAGTGGGAGGAATGTGTTTTTTGTTGTAGTTGAAGCCCGGCCCCAGTTGGGATAACTGAGGCAAAAGCTCATAGAAGTGGGAGTCAGTGAGACAACTCATAAAGTTAGCCTACATTTCTAGTCACAACGGAGCCCTCCTTGGAGAACGATTTCCATGTCACTTGGCGCTCTTATGTCAATAATCCAATGGTAGAGATCCGACCGCTGTGAAGCTTAACACGCAAGATTAGTTGATGCAAAAACGTTTTAAGCAGGGGCTATACAGCTTCATTTCTAATTGGGAATACGCCTATGGCGTCTTCAATCTAAGTGGCACTCTTCTTCGTCATATCGCTGTACTCACATGCATGCCCTCGTCGAGGGGCTCTAGTAGATGATTATCTCATCCCGTGGCTGCATTTCAGCACCTAGGTCTTCCTAGTGAGAATGGGCTCGTTGCTGGATTATTAATAGGGAGCAGGATATACTCGCTGCTAGGTTATTGGTAGGCAAAAGAGAACACGCACTCGACTGGTCCTCAATTCATAATGGGCTACTTCCTGAATGTGACAGCTCTAATAAGGAAACAACGAAAATCATGCATTCTCAACTGGGTGATAGGTTAGAAAATAGAAGATACAAGTAGAAGAAAACAAACATAAGTAGTCCCGCACCAGCTATTTCAACTTGAACACCCTCTTTGGTGGTTTCTCGTCTTGCTTGAGATCATGAAAAGCCTGGCAATCCAACCCATTTATCACGGCGTAACCCACAATCTCGTGAAACTCTGCATCAATAGGTCTGATCACCATCGGAAACACCACATCCTCAAGCATGACCACTTGATCCCCAACCCTGATATCAGTGACACCCACTCTCCCAACACCAGTAAGCCTCTGCTTCGTGAAGAAAATGGTTTGCAAGGGAATTTGGCTCGCTCGGTTGAAAAAAAATAGATCTTTGTCCCCTGGCTTCTGTTGATCCGGACTCTTGTCCGAGGGCGTATCTCTAGGGCCTGTCCATTCTCCGTCCGCGCCGACCGACGATCTGAACTGCTGGGCAATATGTAATACGGCCTTTACTCGAAAACGGACCTCCTCTTCAAATTTGCAGTCGGCAATTAGGGCCTGGAGTCCTTCGTATCTGGGGTTTGAGGAAGAAGGAATTTGCTTCGCATCGTCGTCGTCAACGGTAACTGGCGAAAACGGGTCAGGGACCTGCGCATCCAGAATCATCCAGTTGAACGCATCTGTGATGTTCCGGCTTGCCTCGTAAAAGGGCGAAGGTGCTCTTTTTGGGGTTCTCAGGTGTTGAATCTGTGCAATCAGATTCTTGAAGTCGCACAAGGAAGGCCAGAAAAGATCAGCCGGTGCCTTCACAAGAGACGCCTGCAATTCGTGGAATCGTGTAACAACTGCGAGTGTTTCTGGACGAAGCCTGGACGGGGTGCTAGATCCAACTTCCCAAGGAGGTTCCCGGTTGCGAAGGCTCACAAGCCTCTGAAAAGCAACCTCAGTCGAATCGAAGATCATGTTAATGGCGCCTTGTAGCGCTACGCGATGAATCGGCCTGTCCATGCTCCAGGTCCAGTGCCTCAGCTCGGACTTGGCTTTTAAGCCAGGCAAAGCTTCTGAGAGGGGGTGACGACGCTGAGGGATGTCCTGTTGCACAATTGCGGGCAGGATAGCCTCCAGCAACAAGAACTGCCGGGCGGAGTGAAGCAGAGACACGCCACCCACACTAAAGACATGGCTTACTGTATCTAGATAGTGACCACGGACCCTGAGAACGCCGCGGTAAATATCTAGAGGTTTCATTTGACGTTTGACGTTTTGCATACCATTCCCATTTGTCCGTGGCCGAAGGCGTCAAGTCGAAGTTGGTGGCACCTTTCGAAAAGTTGGGCACCCATGAGGGTGACTCGGGTGATAGCCTATTTGGATAGAGCCAGAATAGTTTCATGCCAATCTCGAACTTGAGAAGCCAAATAGCCGCCTTCTCGAAGAGGGACTCGGTGGTGAGGGAATAGTCTGGCCTGAAAACTTCTCGCATTGGCGTTCTCATGAAGATATAGCGGCCGAAGATGAGGTCCCGCGAGTCGGAGCATTCGGACAGTTTCGTGTCGGAAAATAGCTCGCTAAGGCTTTTAGGAGGATCATGCAACATTTGTCGCAGGGATAGGATTCCGATCATTTGCTTCAGGGGTTCAATGTACCCCGGATGGGAGCTCCTGCGATCACGCCAAGCCTTATCGACTTCCATCGCTCCAAACTTGGTGGCGAACGAGTTGCATTCATCATCAGATAGATAACTTGCCTTTGTGCAGACTCTGCCAAGGTAGAATGTCGGGTCCGCCTGCGGCAGAGCGAACTCTTGTTGGATCCAGATTCTGCTCCACCATTCTCTGCCATAGAGCGATGTGTGTGCTTCGAACAGATCCTGTTCCGTCATGCCCAGTCTCTCGAGACTAGTTTCAAAGGGTTCCTCCCGGTTCTCCCTGTTGAAGTATTTGAAGAGCGCCGCCTCGGCTTCGCTGGCTTCCCCCAGGTAGATTAGCACCCCTGACGCGAAATGGTATATACTGCTCATCCTGGCTACCTGATCGCTCTTCTCTTGGTCGTCGTCCTGGTTGATGCATATTGCGTCGACCCATAGCATCCGTGAGTCGTTGCGATGCCGGAAAGCGAGCAAGCACGCGTGAAGATTTGGTCTAATGTGCACATTTATACTGTTCACCTGGACGACCTGGGTCGGTTTGACCGAGGGCTTGCCCCAAGTCCATGACACAGCTTCATATACCGGAGATTCGGATTGGTCCTTGACAACCAAGTTGCACACCAGAGGATCGGCAGTGTCCCCCGGAAGTAGCTCTAGTAACCGTATAAGTGAATCGGCGCCATTTAATGGGAGTGCCTCGTAGATTGAGCCAGGAGGTACAGAGTAGCCTTTTGAGCAGCGGCTCGTCAGAGAGCTCGAGCCCTCGGCATGCTGGGCTTCAGCGATCATCGTTGCGGCTTGTTCTGCAATCGGTGACTCCAGGTGTTGATTGGACAAAGTCTCTGGGCCTATTCGTGGGTTAGCAGGCCCGAACAGAAGCCTAAGGTAGTCTCAGAGCTGACTGACTATACTTCCAACTCCCACTTTCAGACCTGCTAGTTAACTCGGCAAGCTGAATCTCCAAGGTTGCTTTGTGTCTCTGCAAGTACAATATGTAGGCTTTTTCATCCATATCATCCTCGGTTCCAATGGAGAATGGTTTCAGCGGCGGCTGAGTCCCGGTCCGCTGAATTGCTGTTGCAGCATATCGAAGCCAGACGTTGAATTCTTTTGCGATATCTGATTTCCCCGGTTCTGAAGGCTCTCGTGACTCAACCTTGAGGAATTTATAGGCTGAGCCATGGGCAACGGTGCCGAGGAAGTTGGTACGCCTTCGGGCATAGAACGATGCGTAGCACGTCGAGCACACTTCAACGTCCAGGAAGTCGAGACAAATGTGCAGCGGCAACGAGGAAATCTTCTGTGCACACATGTTGCACGCATTCCAGCTGTGGGGGCTGGAGACGGCAGAGACATACTTCCATTGAAATGCGATGGTCGCATTTTCGGTATTGCCAGCCCAAGCTAGCACTCTGCCCAGACCCCCCAGCATCACCGACACTTCTGCCATCGAGAGCTCCTGGCATATAGAGATGTACACCTTCGTGTAGCTGATCACCAGTTTTCTCTCCGCGGAGCCAGGGGCAGGATCGTGTTGCAATAGTTGACGGCTTCGTGCAGTGTAGACGCGAGATATCTCCTTGAGGAGGCGCATCGTGGCAGCGTTCCTGGGTCCCTTCAATTTCGAGTATCCCCGAATAGCCTTTCGAGCCAGCTTCCCGGCCTCTTTGAACTTGCCCCGGTGGGCTCCTTGGTGGGCAAGGACTATTGCGAGGGAAGATATCGTGTCGAGCGTATCCTCATGCAACCCCCCGGCTATGTGATCGAGTTCATGCTGTGCCGTCCGGAGGAGCGATTCGGCCATTTCGTATCTACCATTCTTTTGAGACAGTTCCCCCAGGGCCCGTATCATTAGCACTAGAGCGATACTGTCGGGGACCATGTGGCGCGTTATCGCGTCTAACAAATTGTTGGCAATGTCCCCGGCCGGGCTCTCATGACCAGTCTCCTCGTCTCCGGATGTGTCTTGATCGAACGTCTCCCACTTCAGGTAGGGTATGTCCACATCGACCTCGCGCTTGCTTGATGGCTGAAACCTTTTCTGAAAGGGCCTCCGCAGTAGTCGACCTAAGCTCGCGGGGAGCTGACGCAACGCCGTCGCATGTCCCGGCATTCTTTCCAATGACTGAACCAGGCTATGGAATGGAGACGCCGTTTCTAATGAGGAGCAGATGCAAGTTTATGCCGAAGCCACGCCTTAAAACTCAGCAGATGGTTACGTGGCGGGAGTTTATGACGTGTCCTGCGAGCACTCTCAGTGGCTGCTTATGTCGGCACACTATCCTCTCAGAGGAGCTATAGAGGCTCAACCCTGGTCCTCAGCTGAACGACCGCAGCCGGGATTCTAGCACCTGATTGATGGAAGACGATGCATGGCCCGCGTGGTGGAGAGTTGAAAAGCACGTCGCAGCCAATGGCAAGTCAGCTTATGCAGACAAGACTCTGATTAAAAACAGAAGCATCTCTTTGCGTGCGGGAACGGCGAGCACCTACCAGATTCCCAAAGAGGTTGGGAGTGTTGTCATTTGGTAGGCGAATATTCTTCAACCCTTGCTTTATATAGAAGATGTTACTCCGGGACAGTTCATACTGATTCTCGCCCATTCAACGAGAGCTTCTTGGGATCCTAGGAAAGGGCTGTGAAGCTTGTATCTTGGGCGACGTTGAGAGTCTCGATACTGCAAACAATTTCTCCATCGCTGGGCTGCTCTGGCTTGGAAATCTTCAGAACGCGTATAAACTTGGAGCCTGGTGTACAAGGCAAAGGCGGTAGCTAATCTCTTGGAGTGTCGGTGTTTTGCATTCTGAGCTAATACTCATTGGATCCGAATTATTGAACAAGGTTCAGAGAGCGTGATACAACAGAAGAGCCCAAGACTTTATTCAAGCTTTGTTGCTCTTTTTCACCCGTTTCAAAACTGCACGTCTGCCTGGCGAGGCGTTCCGGAATGCACACCCAACGGAGCGGAATAGGGGCCCAAGCTTCGTGACTCGACTACTTTGGTATGGATGTTTTTACACTTTCCCATTGCTTGTAGGATTACGGCTTTTTTCACAGCCTGCCGTTGCTTGGCAGCTTTGGCAAGGAAATCAGAAAAATTCGGCATGCCCGGTCAACCTAGCAAGGCTGTGTCACAGGCTTACAGCCCCAGTTGATGGTCTCCTTGAAGACGTGACCAGGATGTAGAAAGATAGCCAAAGAAATGAAGATAAGACAAAGGAAAAGTCTCAAGTTTAAATTACGAAGAAAATAAGACCCGGCCACATAATGGACCAAGTTCGAGGGACTACCGCTGAAGCATTGTTTCCCTTGTCTTCAGTCTCATTGGAACTTTCTGTTGCTTGCGCGTCTGTACTCTTTGGTGTGGTGTTTTCGCTGCTAGCCGTCGTGCTTGCGCTGGCGGCTGTCGTGTGTACACTAGCAGCTATGATAGTGTGCGCCGTCGAATTCATTGTCCACGTAAACGTCGCACCGCTAATGGGGCTCGTGATGGTACCGGCAAGGTTGGTCATTGTCGTGTGGGTTCCGTTCTTGGGGAACTCGCCCGGCTCGTAGAACTTGGCATCATTGTTACCAGGCAGCGTATAGTTGTACTCTGTATGGCAAGTGCCGTTGTCGAATTTGCACTTAAGCCACTTCTCCCAAGCACCACCCATCAAGGAGTGGAAGAAGGAGTCAACACCGAGGTAGTTTGGGTCCATGTCTGGACAGATGTTCCAGTAGCTAGTCACATGTATCGATTAGCACAAAGCAGGGTGAGGTCAAGGGGGATGACTTACGCAGACAGTGCTGCACTCCAGCTACAACAGACACAAGCCGGGGCGACCTTGGCCTTTAATTCAGCCGGAGACAATCTTTCCCACGCATCCGATGCCCCTCCTTCACAGTCATTCTGCTCCTCCAGCACCTTGCCGACAGTTTCAACAACTTTCGCCTTGTTGCAAGAGCAAGAATTGGGCGCATCAACGGGGGCAGGGTAGAAGGGAAACCCCTCCTCTGGCTGCTCGTCGCAGGTCTTCAAAACCCATTCGACCGTTTCCTGGTACTCGCAGCTATAGACCTGCTTCTCTTAGTATTCATGTTCATCCGCTTCATGTCGGCAGAGACTTGCCTGGTCCCAGCAATGCGTCAGAGCGCAGTCCATTTGGCTGATGCTGCCCGCGCACAAGCAGGTATCTGGAAGGCATTCCTTTTCTCTATCGGGGCAAACCGTTTTCACGCAGTTTGGCTGTTCCGCATCCACTTTTTCGACACACTTTTTCATGCCAGACGGATCTACGCAACGAGCTGGATCGAGATGGCTATATGTGGCTGCCAGTGCTGGAGTAGCCACCAGAAGGCTGGTAAACAAAGGAGCGACTATTTTTTGAAGCATCGTAACGAGTGTAGAAGTTTAATGACGGCCTTGGTACTCAATCAATGTCTACGGTGGACGTTGAGGCGATTATATGCCTCGAAGGATTGAAACGTTTGGGCCTTGAAACTTGACATTGTCCCCTAAATTTGCAAAGGAAATAACCCATTGTCAGAGCGAAACTTCAGTCATTGGCCAAGACTCATAATGGAAGCCAACAGAGCAACGCGCAGACCAAGGTCGCCCCATTTTGCATTACGCCTGAAACACGCCTTCTACCAACACGTTCGGCCATCTCCAGTTTCAGCGGGTGCCCCAGATTACTGAGAAATCTCACCAATGGAAACTGAGAAAAAGTGAAGACGATTTAAGCTTGGTGTCAAATATTGAATCAAGGAACATGACCATAATTGGCGGTAGAGAAGTGGAATTGAGACGCCACCAAATGACAATGGTGCAGCTCTAATCTCAGCCACCCGCGGATCTCAGAGACGAGTCACAACTTGTCCAATTAAAAAATCAGGAGGCTGGAGGCGGGTACAGCCAATCCGCCAAAAGCCGTTTCCCGCGCGGTTGGATGGTGTCGATCCAAGGGACTGGGCGCTTAACTCTTTGCTTTCGAAGGCTCCCATAGGGAATTGTCTCTACTGCTAAAGCACTAGCTCTATCGGCAGCTAACTAGGTGCGGCCACGTTAAGACCTTATCATATCTCAAATACTTAAGCGAGTTCCAGAGCTGCCCATACAGGCCAGTCTATTATTTTGTGCAGAGGTGATTGTTTCTTGCAAGCCCGTTAAATCTATGAATCTTGCCATTATGCATAGCCAGGCTCTCGCCGTCATGTTTGATCGTCAATCTGTGTTATGAGTCGCTACAAAGCCTCGAGTTGAGATCTTAGCCAGTTTCATCCTAACTTTCCACGTGCATACTGTCGTTGGTGAAATGCATGGCATCAATCATCCCATGTTTCGCGAGGTATGCAGGTTCAAAGAAGGTTCATCAAGACCGTTGGGCCCGCATTCCAAGAGTCATCGCCTACTACAACTTGTATTAAGGTTCAACCACCATAGTTCCGGCAAACCTTGTGGTATCCTTTCAATAGAATTTCTATATAGAATTTCTATCTGGTCTCTGTATTCTCTTTTCCAGTTACATGGGTAGACCTAGACCTGGTGAGATTATTTGGCTGACGAGCCCTCACCCTGGAGTTGGTGCGCAACTACTTGAACCGCGATGCAAATCTTACTTGTCAAATATACCTGGTCTCATTGAGCATATTTCAATTTGTTTCGTCTTGCTCTAATACTCAACATCGTTGTATATATAGCTGAGAAATAGAATGGTGTTTGTACAAATGAGCCTCAGCTCTCCTTGCATTTATTTGAGACAAGCCACATGAGACAGCATCGGCACTTTGAGAAACAACAGCCGCATAATGTTTCATTCACGACATGAAACTGCATATTAAGACATTCAATATACCCTCCACAACTTCTCTATATCAGAATGATTATCGTTTGTTTCGTTCCATCAACGATTGTCCCTAGGGTAGGTAGCTGACGACTCCTCTGCGGGGAACACACATCGGTTTCGTCATTGGGCTCTAACCCTGACAGGGGATCCCTTACGCGCGGCGTGGGGTCAGGGAAGCCCACATTGATCGAATCGATGGGATTCTGCTACGTGGGAGGGGAAAATGGGTCGGTCGGGCAACGCTGTGCCGGGACATTTTACGATGGTGGCTGGATCTGGGATGTGATCCATGGATGTTTGTTGTACATACAGATACGGGGTTTACGCCCAACCACCAGAGTGCAGACTGTGACTGTTGGGTGCATGGAAGAATCCTTTTCAGCCTCTTCTCTTATGTGCATTGCTGGAAATAGACGGGTTCGGAAGAGGAGAAGGCATCTACGCATTTCAATGGAGAATCACGGTCTGTTGCGATCCTGTCACGATGCTGTCACTCGCAGTCTTCACTTGAAAATTCACCTTGACGTCTTCTCTCCATGCAGTCAACAAAAGTCACGCCATGATCAGCAAAAGTAACAGGTCCATCAGGCTACGATAAGTATGCATGTTAGTCTCCTCGATCGCTTCAAGCCGTGGGGAAGATGCAAAGTGCGTGGTCGGGACAAACAACAATCTCGATGGATTTCGCCCCTGCCCCCTCTCTCAAAAATTCCTGCCATCGGAGCACGGCAACTGTACTAAGGCATTGTTCCATCATCGGGGAGGGGTTCCTTTGTTGGCCGGGAGCAGGTTGAAGCTGCAGGAGAAGGACTTTTCTCGTATTCTGTACCAAAATAGTTGGAGTTTACTGGGGCACACACCCACAGGTGATGCTGACGTCAAGAGGAGGAGGAGAGGAGTTGAAGGGCATTCTGGAGACAGGAATAATGTGGTAGAGAATTGCAGAGTCTCGATATTTACTAAATACCATTATTTTAAAATTGTTTACAAACAAAATCTCATGATGAATCTCGTGAGTATTTACCGGGAAACGAAAGACTCGAGATCTTGTCATCCATGGATGGGGTTTCTAAGAATAGCGGGCAACACACGATCGGAGCCTGCAGCCTATCGGGCGCACCGACCGCCGCTTTGTAACCTGCATGTGAATTTTTGACAGAGGATGCCAAGTTTCCGTGCCGTTCTGGTCTGGCCGTATTTCCGGCTGGTTGTGAGCTGGCGTCATGATACGATTTGAGCCAAACTTTCTTACGACTGGCGGAAATGCCGTGCTTGGACTCGGACGGTTTGCATCTGTACAGCTCGTCTATATTTCTGCTTTAGAGTTTTCACGCCGTGCGAGTGTGCGCACGTGTAAAATGCACGGCAAAGTCTTGTCCTGTTGCTTGCACCACCAGCAGGGACATCGAGACAAGAGACATTGTCGGCCGGCCAATCTGTTTGTTGTGAGACGATGCACCTGCCGATCAGTTCATGTTACGTTGTACCATTCACGCAGGAACCGAGAGCTGAATGCAGGAACTCGTCTTGTTCAATCTCAGAATGTGTCTCTCCAAGTCCAAGTTTGGGCGTCAAGACGACAAGAGATGACCTAAAACGTCCACATGAAACAAGTCATGCTTAGCGACGTTCATCTCTTTCAGCTCAACCTGCACAGAGAAACAGAACAAGAAACGAAGCCCTCGTAAAGATTCACACGTTGATTCGTTGAATGCTTCAGAGTGGAGATGACTCCTTGTCAAGGATCATGTCGCAGCCGACGGGATACGACGCCGACAAGAGGCTCAGGATGCACAACACCAAGTGAATTGCCGCCTACTCTGCTTACCTGATGAGTGTTAAAATAAACAGGGCAAGGAACAGGGCAAGCCAGCGTCTCGCCCTGCAAGATTCAGCTGGACCAGCCATTTTTACCCGCAGATACGGCGCTTGGAGGGATCGTCCCTCGGCCGACAAGTTGTGTGCGAGATTTTGGTAGAGAGTGGGGAGACAAAAAAGCGACCCATGAGAAGGAAAAACCTCGTGTATGTAAGGCAAAAAAAAGGACACCACCAATGTACGTGGTTTGTCCTGGCCCACAGAAGAGGCCGGCCCCATGGACAACGAGCGCGTCTGTCCCAGGGGAGCCGGACAAGGGTTCCTTGACCAATCACGACGGAAACTGATCTGATCGCAGATCAGAGATGCCCATATTTAGCGGCCGAGTCAGATCATTTCACGCTGGCTGATAGGCTCCAACACGAGCGGCTGCAGTAGCCAACCCCCCTGTTCACGGGCAGTCGAAAAACGAGGAGGCGCCTTTTTAGAAACATTTTTAGAACAACCAAGAAACCGTTGCATGCTCCCGCAGCCTATCAAACGCCAAAGACAAGGATACGCGCGCTTGTCTCCCAGAAAGAGGCTCCGGACCATGCTTGCCTTTTCCCGCCTCATCCGTTAACGTGCCCGTCTCTTAGCTTCTTGGGCCTCGCAACATGGCCGGTCGCGCGTTGGGTATACCGCTTTGGCAGGTCTCCAAGTCCCACCGTAAACTGCACCTCGTCCAACCGTTCCTATTCCTGTCGTCTAGCATGACATCACGCCGAACTGGGGTCATGATGGAGACGCGCCCGTATTGTATCCCAACGACACTGGCTGGGTCGAGCTGTCACCAAACGGACCTATACGAGCGACGCAGAGAAACAACAACATCTGAGGGTGCTGCCCAAGTCACCTGTCTGCTATAAGAGAGGTCCTCCGTTTCCCTCCAAACCGATCTTGTTTCTCCAACCGACTTTCGTTCAAACAAAGCCGCACTCGTTTCATCTTTTACATTCGCTACAGACCAATTTCAGCTTCGCCCTACCAACATGCAGGGCTTTCTTCTGCTCGGCGCCGCAGCCATTGGCCTGGCCAATGCTGCCGCCGTCGAATTCCCCAAGAGGAACTACGACAACGTTCCCGGCAACCCCTACAACAACATTCCCCAGGGCTACACCACCTCGACCGTCTACGAGACGCAGACTTTTACAGTTACTGACTGTCCCGATGATGTCCCCGACTGCCCCAACGCGCCTCACGTCACCACAAAGACCATTGCTGTCTCGACCACCATCTGCCCCATCACCGAGGTCGAGACTCCTCCTGGTTCCGTCTCCGAGGCTTCTACTGCATACGTTCCTCCTACCTCGTCGTCTATCCCATATGGACCTCCTCCCGTGGAAACCAAGCCTACTACCTCTTCGGCTCCTCCTGCTGAGACCCAGCCGAGTTCTTCGGTCCCTCCCGTAGAGTCCGAGTCTTCTTCTCTTCCTCCTGTGGACACAACTCAGTATGGTCCTCCTCCTTCCGAGACTAAGCCTACTTCTTCTGCTCCCGAGACTGTCCCCAGCAAGGAGACTACTCCCTACGCTCCCCCTCCCGCTGGATCTACTGAGGCTACTAGCTCGGTTCCCTCTGTCGAGACTGAGTCTTCTTCGGTTCCTCCCGTTGAGACTAAGCCTACCACTACTGGCAAGCAGAGCACTACTCCCTATGCGCCTCCTCCTGCTGGATCTACTGAGGTTTCTAGCTCTGTCCCCTCCGTTGAGACTGAGTCTACTTCAGTTCCTCCTGTTGAGACCGAGTCGACTTCAGTCCCCCCTGTTGAGACCAAGCCTACCACTACTGGCAAGCAGAGCACTCACTATGGCCCTCCTCCTTCCGAGACCCTGCCTGCTACTTCTGAGGGTACCACCGAGTTGACCACTTCCACTCCCAAGCCCCAGACCACTGGCTGGACCACCTCAACTGTCTACACCACTGAGGTTCATACTGTCACCTCTTGTGCCCCTGAGGTCCCCGACTGCCCCGGAACTCCCCACGTGACCACCAAGACCATTGCTGTCTCAACTACTATCTGCCCCGTCACTGAAACTCAGCCTGTTCCTACCGGCAAGGGCTCAACCGACTACCCTCCTCCTCCTGTCAAGACCACCACCAAGCCCGGCGTCTCTACTGAGGAGATCCCCAGCTCGTCCGAGGGTGTTCCCAGCTCTTCCGAGGTCCCTAGCTCTTCCGAAGGCGTTCCCACCACTTCTGAGGGTGTCCCTACCACCACTGGAAAGTATCCTCCTCCCCCCAAGTCTTCCACCAAGCCCGGTGTTTCTACTGAGGAGGTTCCCACCACTTCCGAGGAGGTTCCCACTTCGTCTGAGGCCGTTCCTACTACCTCTGGCAAGTACCCCCCTCCTCCCAAGTCTTCCACCAAGCCTGGTCACTCCACTGAGGAGGTTCCTACTTCCTCTGAAGAGGTTCCCAGCTCTTCTGAGGGTGTTCCTACTACCTCTGAGGGCGTTCCTACTACCACTGGAAAGTACCCTCCTCCTCCCAAGTCGTCAACCAAGCCTGGTGTCTCTACCGAGGAGGTTCCCACTTCTTCTGAAGAGGTTCCCAGCTCGTCCGAGGAGGTCCCCTCTACCACTGGCAAGACTTCGTCCACTGGCAAGTATCCTCCTCCTCCCAAGACCACTGGCTGGACCACTTCCACTGTCTACACCACCAACGTGTACACTGTGACTTCGTGCCCCCCTGAGGTGCCTGACTGCCCCAACACTGCTCACGTCACGACTGAGACCATCGCTGTTTCCACCACTGTCTGCCCCGTGACCGAGTCTGTCACCGAGACCACTGGCTTTGAGACTGTCACTCGCCCCACTGGCACTGAGACTGTCCCTGAGTCTGAGACCACCGACATCGAGTCTGCTCCTACCACTTCTGGCACTGAGGTCGTTCCCACCACCAAGGCTACCACCAAGGTCACCACCGAGGTCACCACCAAGGTCACCACCGAGGTCACCACCAAGGGACACTCAACCACCGAGTGGACTACCTCGACTGTCTACACCACCAACGTGTACACCATCACTTCTTGCCCTCCTGAGGTTCCTGACTGCCCTGGCACTCCCCATGTCACAACCGAGACTATCGCCGTGTCCACCACTGTCTGCCCTGTGACTTCGACCACTGAGCTGCCTCCTCACTCTACCAAGACGGTTCCTACCAAGCAGGGTACCACTGAGGTTCCTACCACTCTCATCACCTCGACTCCTGGTGTTCCCACCACTCCTGTTCCCACTGGCCACAACACCACAGCTTATCCTCCTCCCGTGCCCAGCGAGTCTAAGGATACCACTGAGGTTCCTCCTCCCAAGCCCACGACCACCGTCAAGACTGGAACTACTAAGGTCCCCCCCAAGCCTTCGACCACTGAGTGGACTACCTCGACCGTGTATACCACCACTGTCAAGACCATCACCTACTGTGGACCCGATGTGCCCTACTGCTCTCAGCCTCCTCATGTCACCACTGAGACCATCGCTGTTTCCACTACGGTTTGCCCTGTGACTTCGACCGAAGAGGTGCCTCCTCCCAAGTCTACCAAGCCCACTGCTCACACCGAGGTGACTCCTCCCAAGACCACCGGTACTACTGAGGTTCCCCCTCCCAAGGGCACCACCGAGGTCCCTCCCCCCAAGGACACTACTACAGTTCCTCCTCCCAAGCCAGTGACCACTACCGGCTGGTCCACCTCTACCGTGTACACCACCACTGTCAAGACCATCACCTACTGTGGACCTGATGTGCCTTACTGCTCTCAGCCTCCTCATGTCACCACTGAGACCGTCGCTGTTTCCACCACTGTCTGCCCCGTCACTTCGACCTACGTCCCCCCTAAGTCCACTGGCCACACCGAGGTCACTCCTCCTAAGCCTACTGGACACACCGAAGTCACTCCTCCCAAGTCTACTGGCCACACTGAGGTTACTCCCCCCAAGACCACTGCCCATGTCAGCGTCGAGACCACCACTCACTTGACCACCTCGACTGTGTACACCACCAAGGTCCGAACTGTCACCTATTGCGGTCCTGAGGTCCCTGACTGCCCCAACACTCCTCACGTCACGACCGAGACCATTGCTCTCTCGACCACCATCTGCCCCGTGACCATCACCCGCGAGGTTACTCCTCCTCCTTACCAGACCACCAACGGTGTTCCTCCTCAGCCCCACACCACCAAGGTCGTCAACCCTCCTCTGCCTGGCAACTACACCCAGACTCTGTACACTACCAAGCACTACACCATCACCAAGTGCCCTCCTGAGACCCCTGACTGCCCCATCGGCTCGGTCACCACCACCATCTATGCCACTGCCACCACCTGCATCCAGAGCTGGCGACCCACCACCAAGGTCACTCAGCCCACCACTGTCATTCCTCCTCCCCACGGCAACAACCTGACCTCTACTCTGTACACTACCAAGCACTACACCATCAGCAAGTGCCACTCTGAGGCTCAGGACTGCACGGTTGGCAAGACCACCACTATCGTTTACGCTACCGGCACCACCAAGATCCAGCCTTCGGTTGAGACTCACTACACTGTCCCTGTTGTCGAGACTGAGACTGTTGTCCCCACCAAGCCTGTTGAGACTAAGCCTGCCGAGACTGAGACTGTCATTCCTACCAAGCCCGTCGAGACCAAGCCTGTCGAGACTAAGCCCGTTGAGACTGAGACTGAGGTTCCCACTAAGCCCGTGGAAACCAAGCCTGTCGAGACCCAGCCTGGTGTTTCCTACTCTGCTCCCCAGCCCGTCAAGACTCAGCCCGCCTACACTCAGCCCACCTACGAGCAGCCTTCCTCCCCGGCCCAGCCCGCCGAGTCCCAGTCCGCTCAGACCTACTCCGCCCCCGACCAGCCCGACGGCTCCTACCCTGCTCCTCTCGCCGCCACCACCGAAGAGTCTGACGACGGCGTCGAGGAGAAGACAGTCCCGGTGACTGGTGCCGCTGGCCGCCTGATGGGTAACGTCGAGGTTGTCCTGGCCGCCGCCGGAGTTGTCGCCCTTCTCCTTTAAAATGTCTTTTGCATACTGCTCTTCGGCTAGAGCTATGACGATTACGACTCTCTCATCATCACATATTGTCTATTCACGGAAATGATTCATCACAAGAGTACATGACGAACGGGTTTCCCAATTTTCCTTTAGATTTATAGTCTATTTCCTTTCCTTCATGTCCAGCCTTGCTTTTTTTTAAAAGATTGTGTCAAATATTATGCCGAGTATCTAGATTAGATTAAATAGCTCTCCTTCATTAATGTCATGAACTTACGGCATCTTTTCTCATCGCATTGCACTGTGACTTGTCTCGATTTGACTTTGAAATCTCTCCCATCTTTAAGACTCCGAAGCCTTGAGCACTTGAGGGCTTGTCTTTAGCTTCGCAGAGTGCTACCCGAGTCTCTGTACTTCTACCGAAGGTGAAGCTATTCCCAGAATCCTCGCGTGTCCGGCTCATTCTCAGAACCAATCAATTCACTCTCCAATGACCAGCGCTGTGATTTGTGAATGCCCTCAAGTGGGGACTCAAGTTGCACCCCCACACCATCGTCTGTCTCACGCCGCCACGATCGAACTATCGACGCCACCATGATCCATTGACAGGTGTGCATCTGCTGTTGCAACCTATAATTACAACGCTGGCATTAAGACCGGTTAGTAGCGTTGGTAAGAATTCTGGTGCTAGAATCTGTCAAAGCCTTCGAGAACCTACTACCGCATTATCTCTTCATCCAAGACCCGAGGCATTGACAAGCGGCCCGAGAGATCCGATCGGAGCTAGATACCGAAAAGGGGACAGGGTTGAAGCACAACCGAAATTACATGATGCATGGAGGTTGGCGCTTCTACGCCCAAGCGAGGTCCACGAACAGATCCACGCTGGGCAATGGCTTCAGGCATTGGCTTTGAATTTGACGCTTGCAAACTCTAGAGTTTTCCTCCACGTGTTAATTGACATTTTTAAAGTTAATCGGACTGTAGCTTCAGTCTATCGTCTATTAGCCGTCGATCGTCAATATCAATTTTCGCTAACAGCGATCTTTCAATGCCTCAAAAACACTGCGTTTCGTTCTTGTTTGTTCCATTGAGAGAAACAGGGTAGCTGTCAAGTTTCTCCTTCATCCCTTTTTCCTACCCTACTGGCATTGCGGGCTAACTCGGAATCGCTTGAACAATGCGAAACGAGATCTCTCCTTTCCCCCGCGCAACCCCTTAGGGACGACCCTTGCATCCTGACCAACCCCTGGCGCCTCACCTAATGCAAGGTACCAGTGTCGGGATGCTTCCCTCTTTTGCGACCTTGGTCGCTTTGCTGCGGCCAAGGTGAATGCCAAGTGCTCATTGACGGATAAGGAGTTGAATGACGTGAGAAATGCCCAATGGATATTTGGAGAGGAAGCGCTTCCAAGTGTTTTGCCGATGCGATATCTACAGACTCGAAAGGATAAATGCGTTCCTCCTATGGCTTCACTCAACTCCTGCAAGCCCTTGCTTTGTATTGAGGCTGACAAGGTATGCTGCGTTGACCGTACTTCGAGAACCAACCGGATGGTGATCCAGGGTCCCATCACAGGCCACTAAATACAAGCTTAAACAAAGTCATGAACCAAGTTTTTCCATCTCCTAACCCCATTATAGTTACTCCCTTGGCGGCACGTCAACGTGTCTCAAGACAAGATGAGATTCGAGCAAAAATCTTTTACTCCTTTGTTTCCGCCGCCCGTACCTGAAACTCGGCTAGCTTATCCAAGCTGGTGGTGGACTCAATCTACTGAATCTTGCCAATTGCCGCGCGCTTGGACTTGCGTTGAGGCTTGATACCCCTGGCGTCTTGGCCCGGCGCTGTCGCCCAAAAGAGTCGCCGTCTCCACGGAGATGAGACGAAACGTGAATTCCACCACTCTGAATTTAGTTTCTCCCTGGCAGACGAAACATGTTCAACTTCTCCGTTTTTTGCAACCTCAGAGGCAAAAACATGTTTCTCAAAGGTATATAAACAGGTCGTTATGGCCGAGTTGAGTGTTGTGTTCTTCAGCTCTGTCTTTGCATCCCAAGTCTCATACATTCTTTTTTTCCCTTTCCATCATTCTTCCATTCTTTTCTTCACTGCGTGAAGCTGGTTTATTCCTCTCTCTAACTACAACAACTTTTTGACCAATTACAATCACTTTTTCACTCTTTCCAACCAAAAACAATCGTCAAGATGTCTTTCAAGTCCGCTGCTGCTCTTGTTGGCGCTTTCGCCGCCACCGCCCTCGCCCACGGCACCGTCACCGGTATCAAGGTCGACGGAACCTACCACGGTGGTTACAAGCTGGACTACTACTACGCCAAGCAGAACGGTGGCAGTGTCCCCGAGATTGCTGCCTGGTCTGCTGAGAACCTGGACAACGGCTTTGTCGCCCCCGATGCCTACAGCACCGTCGACATCAACTGCCACAAGAACAGCGCCCCTGGTGCTACCTCTGTCTCCGTCAAGGCTGGCGGTGAAGTGGCCTTCGAATGGTCAGCCTGGCCAGAATCTCACTTCGGTCCTGTCTTCACCTATGTCGCCAAGTGCGCTGGTGAATGCTCTGCCGCCGACCCTGCTACTCTGAAGTGGGTTAAGATCGACGAGGGTGGCATCGACATCGCTGCTCAGAAGTGGGCTGCCACTGATCTCATCGAGAACAACAACACCTGGGTCACCACTGTCCCTAGCACCCTTGCCTCCGGCAACTACGTCTTCCGCCACGAGATCATCGCCATGCACGGTGCTGGCGAGACCAACGGCGCCCAGAACTACCCCCAGTGCTTCAACATTGAGATCACCGGTGGTGGCTCTGACAACCCTGAGGGTGTCCTGGGTACTGAGCTGTACTCTGCCACTGACGCTGGCATCAAGTTCAACCCCTATGGTGAGATCAAGAGCTACGAGATCCCCGGCCCCGCTCTGTACGGTTCCGGCTCTGGTTCCGGCTCTGGATCTGGCTCCGGCTCCGGCAGCCCTACCAGCGTTACTCCCGCCATCCCTGCCAACACCACCGTCGCCACCCCCGTTGTCCCCGAGCCTGAGACCCCTATCTCTGCTCCTACCAGCCTTGTCACCTCCGTCGTCGCCCCCGCTGAGCCCACTGCCACCTCCGTCCAGGGCAACGCCGCTAGCTCGGCTGCCCCTGAGGCTCCCGTTGCCACCCAGCCCGCCACTGAGGAGCCTTCCGAGCCCTCTGAGCCTACTGAGTCTTCCACTGGCAGCGGCTCTGAGCTCCCCGAGACTTTCACCCTCGACACCTTCATTGACTGGCTCCGCGCCAACGCTGGCTCCAAGAAGGCCCGCCGCCACGCTCGCGCCTTCTTCTAAGCTGCAGCTTTTGAAAGATTTTGAAGCTGGGTTGTCACTTTGACTTCCCGGCTAGGAGAATTTGTTGAAGTGACATGTAAATTACATTTCAGAGACTTTCTGTACATAATTCAGAGCCCAATATACTACTTGCATAGCGTTGTCTATGCTGTACATTATCATAATTTGTTCTCATAGTGTCTGCAAGTGAACTCAAAACTGAACGCTCAGGTGAACATGTCACTCTCCAGGAATTGTCCAAGCCGTGAAGATCGTACAGCCCAAGTTCTGTATCTGTAGTCTCCACGTAAGAAGCTCTGTTTCAGGCCCAACCAGAGGCACAGTACCAGGTCCCAAGAGAGAGCACTGACACAACTGTGTTTTGTTGCTGTTGTAGCTGATGATGTCTTTTTTGAAGACGCCATCGAGGAAAAGAACGTTAGATAAACTTGAATGGCATCACCTAACTTCATAGCAATATTGGCACAATAAACTCATGACCTTTGGCAAACATCATCCTTAAATGCACCTAAAATTCCACTGTATCTCCACTCTCTCTTATGACTCATCTCGTCTAAGCGGTCGGCAGAGGCGACACTCTGTGCCGCCAACATACCTCGATAACCTCCTACTCGGGGGGGGATTTTGAGCCCCCCCCCGAGTACTAGCTGTGGAGCACCTAGTCAACCAGGTAGATATTGGAACCGAACACCCTTTTCAAGCCGACATAGAACACATCACTCCCTGCGATAGGTTACAGACGAAATGCTTGTTGAAATTCTCTAATTAATGAAATGCCACAGGGCTACGCTTATGCGCTCAAGGTATCTTCTCTATCCAAATTCATATCCAAGACGTTGAGTCTTGGCTCGCTAACAAAATCCAACATCTATTGCTTTTCCAAGTTCCCTGCAACCATGGTCTCATCTCTCGACTGCTTCAAGAAAGGCACCAGCTTGGTACCGCCAGTGCCCGTCAACTCCTCTCCAGCCTTTCTTGACGAAGAGCTTGCGAGGTTTTGGGGTCCTTCCTTGCTTCCTTGTCGGGATGGAAGGATGATGTATCTTGTGACGATCTGAATGTGCTTGTTCCGGAACTTGCTCAGTGCGTCGGTTGCAGATGTGAATGCTTCCTGGAGGCGGTGCTGTCCCTCTGTTGTAGGAGGTAGGAGGGCCAGTTCCCGGATGCTTCCCATGCGGGCAATGTGCGTGAGGAAACGGCGGTGAGGACCGGGCATGTACTCCTTGACAATATCGTGGTAGCTCTTCTCGCCCTTGACCTCGGTATTGTTGCCGCTCGTAATGTGCTCGACACCGAGCACGATATCGAAGAACTGGATGAGAGAGCTCTGTCCGTTGCTTCCACCCCGCAAGTGTCTCCATTCACCCTTGCCGTCACCCTCATCGTAGAAGACACCCCTGGGTAGACCAGCAGACTCCATGTTCTTGCTTCCAGCCAAGAAAGGTCGGATCTTGTAGTAAAAAGTCATTGGGTCGCACTTTTCGTACATCCTTTCGAGAAGCACACCAACGCCATCAATGCATTCTTTGAGTTCCTGAAGAGCAGAGACAATGACGTCGTAATCTCTTGTCTTGACAGCCTCAAGAGCCTCCATCATGCGGGGGATGATGCCTCCAGCTCTGGCCTCCATCGCTACACTGATGAGCAGGAACCATGATTCAGACTCGGTTCCGGTAAATGTATGAAGGGTGTCAAGTTTGCTGAGATCGGAAAAGTCGTTGCCTGAGCAGGAAAAGTTCCAGAGGTTGGCGGCGGCGTATGTGAGAACAGGGGGGAGTTCGAGATGCTTCGACACTTCGAGGAAGGGGACTGTGATTTGTGGGGGCAGGATCTAGGAATTGTTAGTATATCACAGTTAAAGACGAGCCACATTTTTTGCTTACCTGTGCGGGCTTCTCGCCACCCCAGACATAGGCATGTGTCAGGAAAGCCATGATAGAATATGCTCTTCTCCACTCTGGTTCTGACCGGAGTCGGTCCGTGGAGAGAACGGGCAGTTGATCAACTGCTCTTCTAATGCCATTTTCGACCAGAGCTGGAAGGTGCTGGATGATGAGCTCCCAAGGCTCATAGTAGGAATCTGGTAGTTGCCTCAGAGGGCTATGCTCTGGGAGAAAGGCATTGCTGGACACAGCAAACTCCTTCAACTCGGCCGTTGGCTTGATCCGAGGGATCTGGTGTGGTACTGCATGAGGCGACATTGTAGCTGGTGTGGTACAAAGGCGATGTTGTGTAAAGTTGTGATACTAGATCAAATCGAGAGCGGGAAGTGGCGTCTTGTCTTTGTTGGACTTGCAAGTGATGGTGTTGAAGAACAATTAACCAAATAAAGCGTCGACATCAGGTCTAAAATAGAGTTGTTTGTTCCCATGGGGCGGTCATTGTTTCCGTCTCCGTGTGTGATCCGCCTTGTTCTCGAACTTTGCCCTGTTTTCACATCCGCCCCGTTCCTTCATCCGCCTTGTTCAGCCGTGTTCTTGCACATCCGTCGCCCGGTTCTCGTAAGAAATGGGTCCCGCATCTTCCGTTCCGGCATCATGCGGGCGATTGAGAATGACATCCATTGACCAATCATCTACTGCATCTTGCTCAAAATGGACATGGTGACGTCCACTTTACGGGGCGCGGAAGACGGAACTTCGGATGTGGGTCTTCCGTGCTTCCGCTCGGGCGTCTTTGAAGATACCGGAAGCGACCGAGATGGGGCTCGACGGAACATAAAGTGATTTCGCAATCCCATGCTTCCAAGGCCCAGTCGTACGATTCCATCATCAGCCATTCTCAAGTCACTCTTACTACCCTTACACTACTACCACGCTCAATTCACAATGGAGTTGTCAGGATTCGTCGATCGTCTACGGAGCGGAGCCTCCCCCAAGTTCCCGCAAGATGCCAATTCGTTAGAGTTTGCCCGTCATCTCGACTCTCAGGACAAGCTAAGCCATCTTCGGGATGAGTTTGTCATCCCCACAAAGAGATCTCTCAAGAAGAAGGCCTTGGATGGTTCGATTCCCTGTAAGTAGCCATGTCGAGTCAAGCCTTGAGACTAGCTGACCCTTTTTAGCCCATGGTGCCTCTTCTAATGGCACTAACGGTACCAATGGTCACAGCAATGGCCACAACGGATCAAGTGACGACTCAGAGCAGTGCCTCTACTTTGTTGGCAACTCTCTTGGTGCTCAACCCAAGGCTGTCCGAGAGTACCTCAACGCTCAGCTCGAGACATGGGCATCCATTGGTGTCAACGGCCACTTCAGCGCAATGGGAAACTCCCCGTTGACGCCCTGGCAAGATATGGCTGAGGATTGTGCTATCAAGTCTGCCGATATCGTTGGAGCTTCTCCTAGTGAGATCGTCATCATGAACACCTTGACAGCCAATCTGCACTTCTTGATGGCCAGCTTCTACAAGCCCAATGAGAAGCGTCACAAGATCATTCTCGAGTGGAAGCCCTTCCCCAGTGACCACTACGCCATTGAGAGCCAGGTTGTCTGGCATGGACTGGACCCTGAGAAGAGCATGGTCAAGATTCACCCTAACGATGATTTCATCATCACGACGGATTTGATCTTGTCTACTATTGATGAGCACGCTGAAGATACTGCTCTGCTTCTCCTTCCTGGCATTCAATACTACTCTGGCCAGCTCTTTGATATCCCCCGAATCACTGCCTACGCCCAAGAACGGGGAATCGTTGTCGGCTGGGATCTCGCTCACGCTGCCGGAAATGTCGAGCTGAAGCTCCACGACTGGAACGTTGACTTTGCCTGCTGGTGCACATACAAGTACATCAACGCTGGCCCCGGTTCCATCGCCGGAGCTTATGTCCACGAGAAGCACGGCAAGGTCGAATTCAAGGATGACTCTGGCAAGCCCACGTACCGACCCCGTCTGATGGGCTGGTACGGAGGTGACAAGAGCGTGCGCTTCAACATGGACAACAAGTTTGTGCCTACTGTCGGTGCGGGAGGTTTCCAGCTTTCCAACCCCTCGGCTATTGATCTGGCTAGCTTGTCCGGTGCCCTCTCCGTCTTCAACAAGACAAAGATGTATGAAATCCGATCAAAGGCTCTCGTTCTGACTGCCTACGCCGAGCATCTCCTCGACCAGATCATCTCTGAGTCATCCGATGAGACACCCCTCTTCCGCATCATCACACCCCGTGATCCCGCACAAAGAGGAACCCAGCTGAGTGTCCTTCTCAGAGAAGGTCTGATGGAGAGAGTGAGTGAGGCCCTGGAGGAGAACGGAGTCATCTGCGATAAGCGAAAGCCCGATGTTATCAGAGTTGCTCCTGTGCCTCTGTACACGAGGTTTGAGGATGTGTGGAAGTTTATGCAGGTGCTGAGGGGGGCACTGAGCCAATGATTTTCACGATACCAAAGACTGTAGTGTTAAAATAATGAGCAAGCAGTAATGATTCACTTGAGATTAGAGAGCTAGGAACCAAGATGAACTGTGATTTCAGGCCTAGCCCTATTGTGCAAGTAAAGTCGTGACATAGTCACCGCTAGAGATACCCATTTTCGAGACATCTAGTGCCCTTGCCTATTCAAATAACGTAGCAAACCGTACGTAGCTACACCCGGAGCTGGCAATAGACCAGACCGCGAAAAGGATCTGTCTTGTCTAACAGTTCGGACCGTTCTGGGTTTCCTCCGCCGATTTCTCCGTCTTCCCTGGTACCTCCACTTTCCGCTCTTGCTCGTCGGATGTGAGTTGTACCTCAAGAATTGGCCCCCAGACCTCCAACCCCTGAAGTCGTAATCTGACAGTTCACACCATCGGCACACCGCATACCATCGCCTTATGCTTCGGTTATCCATGGACAACCAAAATCCCATTAACCAATAATGGCAAACACAACATGCCAATCTCCTTGTCATCATGCACCTTCGGATAGAGAAAAGACCGCATTTTCGGTGGTTGGTATCAACATCTTGTGGGGACCCCTTCTCCGAACTTCCGCTTATCGGTCCGCACTTCGGAAGACAGAATAGGGATCCGAACAACACGAAGACTCGTCATCTCACAGGCATGCAAGTCTATTACCGTTATCTATCACAATCAAAGATGATGCGTCAGATCTATGCCGCCCCCCGCGTCCAGCAAAGCAAACAGGTTCAGTGCCGAACCGGAATCTCCCTCCATGCCCGTCGGCCCGCCCCAATAACTCGGATCAGGAGTTTGCAGCATGGACTCGCTTAAGCCTAGGAAAGCCGAATCGAGATCCCCAAATGGCGGCGATCCGACACCTTGTAGTCCATTATGCTGCAGGAATGACCGGTCCAGGGAGTCTCGTGGCCGGGTGTTGGATCCCGGACTGGCCACCGGATGACTCGGGTCTCTGGCAATAGCCGGGGAGGTTGAATCCGTTCCGGCTTCGGATGGAATTAAGCCAAAGAGTTGGCTCGAGTTCTCGGTTCGTCGTTGCCGCTCTGCTAGTTCTCGCTTTTCGAGGTACTCGAGGGCTGCAGTCAGAAGTGACTGTGCGATAAGGGAGTACTGTCTTGCGTGTGTATCGTGTTTTGAGCAATGATCCAATGCGTGGATGGACATCCGTGTGTACTTTTCTAGTATCCGGCCGAAGCCGCCTAGAAGGCCTATACCGAGGACAAGGGAGCTTGCAAATAGCCATGATCTAGGAAGAGTTAGAAGTGGCTCTCTCACAATCTAAGGTACTCACACTAGAACGGGTACATGTCCAACGAGAATTCCTCGCTGGATCAAGTCCAATATGGGGTCCACCATGAGACTGGCTGCATCGATGCAAGCATCTGCCAGTTTCGATTTGCCTGAAGTCAAGGCAGATCGACCATTTGATGACACCGCCGTATCAGATAATCGTCGGCAAAGCTCGTACATAAGAAATGGTCGAGAGACAAGCATGACGGCGTAATAATATGTCGATAGGACCTGGCATGCTCCGCTCGCTTGGGCTCTGTCCTGAGCCTCAGGATTTGCGATGATATCTTTTAGTTGCTTCAGCCACCGAGATGACCAGTCCCGCAACTGAAGCGATATTCCTTCGGTAAGCTGTAAAGATATCTTCCTTCTGGAGTAGATTTCCGTAACTACTCCCTCAAGGACCAGAAATATCTGAACAGATGCGTTAAGGAGATCGGGGGCTTCGTTCGCGCCTTCGTTCGGATTTTGATAGGGCACGGTGCAATCGACATCAGAAGTTGCAGGTGGCCGTCCCATAGACGTGCTCAAGAAGAGATCCACGACTCGTAAACTCTTCCAAAGACGATCTCGTTGCCTGTGAATGTCGGGACCGAACCGTGCATTGACTTCAGTCCTGTGAATTCCAACAGAGTACGCTGCTCGTACTGCGATGCCGAAGAACAGGAAAGCTCCGTTGATCTGACACGAACAAAGCATGTACAGCGTAATGAGGGTGAAGATTTGAATGCTGGTGACACTGAGATTACCACTCAAATTTGCGTATGCCTTGTCACGGGCGTACTCAAAGTAGTCCTGTGCGATCTCTTCGTTGTCCATCTGCCGTCCAATGGCTAACACGAGAAGATTCACAACAGTAGTCGCATCATCGGGCTTTTGGTCGAGATTTGCCCACAGCATGAGATCCTCTAATAGTCGGCGGTTGTCGAATAAATCCACTAGTCCAGTCGCGACAGACAAATACGTCGACACGGCCGAAGGGATATCATCAGGATTGATGCTCGGAAAACGATTGTCACCAGGAACTCGCCGAGACTGATGTGCAGGCGCGTTCTCGAGCACAGAGTAACGGCTTGTCTGAGGAGCAAAGGCATTCTGGCCAACTCTAGTAGTGACAAGCTGTCGGACAGACTGAAAGAAGGATAGAGGGGCACAATCTCCCACAAAGATGAGTTTTCCTTGAGCATCGCAAACTAGTCGCGCTTCTCTCGGCACTTCAGTCTCGTCCTCAGCATCCATCCCTTGTTGCTGTGCCGATACCGGCCTCGTCAGCTCTGCATCTGCTGGTGTTGATGGAGTTGTATTTCTTGTAGAATGAGCACGGGCATCTCTCTCGGAAGCTGGGGGAGATGTCAGAGATGCCAATGATTGACCATTGCGACGTCGTCGCTGAGGCGAATAGTGACAGGTATGAGGCCTCTGTCGCCTGGAACAGTAGCCACAAGGCAATTTGCCATCGCATTTGACCTTCTCAGTCAGTACATTACAGACACCATAAGTATACAACTTACTTTTCTAGCCTTGCAGCCATCGCAAGCATTGGCGATGCGGCTGCGGATGTACCGCCCTGGCTCTTGTTCCGTAGCATCCACGTCCATGCTTTTTATGAGAGGGCGGATGTTTCGGTGAGAATTTCCTTGTGCCACGAAACGCGGAAGCACTGTGGGCCGAGCTCGGTAGTTGAGTCTCAGCCGACGGAAAGGAGCGGATATGAGAAATTGTTAGTGCAATGCCGAGCCGGCTTAAGAGTGGTGGGTTACCCTAGAGTGAATGACAAGAATGAGAAATGCATGATAATGCAATTGCTGAAAGGTTGACAGTGTCATTACAATATAAACGTTGCATATGAGACACACAGTTCTTCAAGCCTGGTTCTCCTGCAGCCACATGCAAGACGTGGTGGTCAGCCGACATTTCACACTGATTTGACAACTGATGGGGCACATCGACATTGGAAGCCACCAGAAAGAACTTGAGTTTATCTTTAATGTTTCTTTTTCTTAAATTAAAACTGTCATTTTAAGCATTTATGAGCTAGAGTTGTTGCTGTAAAAGTTCCAGTTTTAATGCTACGGACCCAATACCTATGTGTCTTCCCTGGCAGAACATTCGTAGGGACACACACATCTTGGATAATGTTCACATCATGGGACCAATGTTGTAAAGAATGTAGTTTGAATCTCTACAAGTTTTAATAGATGTGCTCTTACTGTCACTAATTACTTCTCTTGGAGACATTACAGAGTTTAAGAAACACAATGCGTCGTTAAATGGCCATTAATCATTCATCAACAACTACACAACTAATCAACAGCTCCAGCCCATTGTCCACAACTATTACAACCTCATTACCATGTACCACCGGGAAGGGCAATCTCAGATCCCTTGAAAGTACCGCTGACCTTTCCAAGCTCCAGAGCAGCGTTAATGACACCACCAAGACCCTCTCCGGCAATCAGACCAGCAGCGACGGCAAATGCGTACATCTCAAAGTTGTTTCGGAACCACTTGCGCCACCACCAAGCCGTGATGGAACCAAACATGACAGCGTTGGCGTAACCACTGTCGGGACCCAGCACCCAGGCGACACCGACAGACATCCAGTTGGGGAGCCATTCGCGATACTTCTCACGGGGGCCGACAAGGTAGAAGTGCTTGAGGACAGCCTGAAGAGCGCAGACGACACCCATGACGATGGCGAAGATGGCCGAAGATCGAGGAATGGGAATCTTGTCCATGGTGACAGCCGTAGCGACAGCCTCCCAAGCACTGACGGAGGGAGCAGCAAAGGGGCAGACATCGGCGGGATCATCGCTAGGCCTAAAGACGCAAGGGTAGGCCGACATGAAGAGGACAAAGATTCCGGGGGCGAGGAAGACGGAGACAAAGGTGCCCATAGCCTGAGCGTAGAACTGCAGCTTGGGAGGAGTCTTGAGCAGGAAACCAACACGGAAATCGCTGACCAGCGAGTTGGCAACATCGGCGGTTCCAGAGGCAATGTTACCGGCGACCAGGTTGATTCTCTGGGAGGCCTTGAGCTCGTAGTGGCCCTTGGTGATGCCACCAAACACAAGCTGCGAAGCCTTGGCTGAGGCAGTGAGAGGGGCGCTGAGACAGTGTCAGAAAGGGGCTCAAGATCATTGGAGGTAAACTTACACATCAGTGACGGCACCGCCGTAGATGGACATGAAGGCAAAAAGCAGACCCAGAATGCAAGCAAGGATAGCCAGGCCAGCGTTCATGTGGAACTGCAGCTCAGCAACGAGACAAGCAACAACCATAAAGACAAGGGCTCCGACGACCCAGATCCAGCTAGGAACCTGGTCACCAGGAAGAGCAAAGTCCTCAACGAGTCCACTGCCCTCGTCGGCCTTGCGAGCCTGCTTCTCAAGGAAGGCAACGTGCTTTCCGCGAGACTGGAGCCTGTTGTTGAGGGAGCGAGCAGACTCGCGCATGGCAAACTTGATACCATCCCAGACAACCTTGGCGTGGAGGAAGAACTCAACCAGACTGTAAACCATGAGGACCATGACACCGGGCCACAGAAGCCAGTATCGAGGAGAAGGGACGAAGCCGGGCTGGTCAACACCAGTCATGATACCGAATCGAGTCAAGCCTTCCCACTTGCCCTCACCAACCACGACACCAATGCACTCTCCGTAGTGGACCAGGAGAGGGCCGATGAGAGCCCAAGCGACGACAGTACCTCCGAACCAAGAGAGGGCGGCATTGAGACCAACCAGGATACCGGAGCCGAAGAAAGCAGGAGTCAACTGGATGTACCAACCCCAGCTCTCAATGGCCATAAGTCCAGACGCAGAGTAGCCTCCCCAGATGTAGAACCTGTTGCGGGTTAGTAACTAGAAGCAAGTTGAGGCTCTGTCGAGACATACCAAGTAAAGATGTGCCAGTTGTGCAGGATACCATCGGCATACTGGCCAACGACAATGATGAGAATGGCAAGGAGAAAGGCCCAGCCCAAAGCCTTGACCTTCTTCATAGCATCAGTAGCACCAGAGCCCACAGCGTGCATGGAGCGGATAGTCATGGCCGTAGCAGTAGGCGTAGGGAAGACGAGGTTCAGCTCCCGAGCGACATTGATGATGAAGAAGCGTCGGAGAGGGACAGCAGCGAAGAGACCGAAGAGGGCGCAGACAAAGGTGATGGTGAGAATGCGACCAAAGTCCTTCTTGGGATCGTCCGACAGGAGGTCAAGACGATACATGGCAGGAAGACCAGCGACGAATACACCTGCCATGCCACCGGCTCCGGTAGCAGAGGCCTGGATGATGGAGTTCTCCTGGGGGCCGAATTTGCCTCCGAGAAAGGGGACATTGGGGAGGGACTTGGTCAACACCAAGATGAAGCCATAACCAAAGATAGCACCGAACATGGTGGCTGGGAATGTAAATCCTGTCTTCAATCCTGTAGAGGCTGTTTTAGTGAAGTTCTTGACGATCTGGAGGTGGTTGCATACCCAGGTAGACGTTGGAGGCGTTGACGAGTGATCCGAGGATGATACCAACCACAACGGCACGAACCGTCAGCGGGTTAGGCTCAGGCTCAACTCCCTTGGGCATAGGAAAACTGGTGAAAAGATCTGTAATCCTGTCATCCTCGCCATCGGTGTCAGACTTGAGGTCGACATCCGAGTGAGGGAACTTTTCGTTGTAGGCCGGCTGGACAACAACGTCCTCCGGGTTGGTGGTTTCGACAGCCATGATGAATAATCAAGCCTCAGCAAGGTATATCTACCGGATGCTTAAGAGACTAATTAAACGCCTGTTGGGAATCTGAGTTTCAAGAAAAGCTGGGGATCAGTTTGCTATTTATCTCCTCGGGCAAGTCCATGGTATCACGGTTGCACCGCAGTTTAAACCCACATGCCTAAGAATACATGCACTCAAGGGTCACACGCAGAAATCACCAACAAACATTGGGGACCTTTTGCAATCCGTCCTACAAGAGGAAGGCTCTCGGCGACCCGGCACGATGGAACTGGCTACAGGATACGCGCTTTCGAAAGGCTCACTCGCCACAGGGAACGGAGATGGGCCACCTCGAAGGACTAGATCGGCGGACCTTATCTGTTCGGTAATTGGCGAATCAGACGGGTCGGCGTCTAAACAGCTTCCTGAACGGGCTATACGTTGTCGGCTCCGAACTTTTGTTCGAAAATCTGTGGTGGGCCCCCCGAGATATCGCTCCACCCCCGGACGCGGGTGGCACCGAGGAGACGGGCGAGGGTCAAGGAAAGAGGAATGACCGGCGTTGGGATTATCACCAGCCTTGTCGTTGGAGGGTTACTTTGCATAGATATGGACATAAGGGTGTTTTCAAGGTTGTTGCAGACCTAAGAGAGTGTGTGTTGAGGCGATGATAATCATTCTAGACTTTTCGCCGTCGCCGCACTACCCTGGTTAGTGGCCTCACTGAAACAGTGATGATCACAACAGATGGAGACTGTTGTTCGGCGGCACTGAGTATTGATTGCATCTTGTATTCCGATATCGCGTCAGAGAGAAACAACGGCCTCTCTCCCAAAATGTCCATCTCCGCGATCCAAAACACTGCTAATCAGACCACTCAGCATTGGAGAACCTATGGATGTCGGCCGTCGGGGAACCTTTGTTGCGCTTGGCGACCCCCTGCGACCCCAGGGCGGAAATGGAACCTTTGTCGGCCGGTTGGTCGCACGCACGCACGCGCAGGTCGCTCGCTACGCTGCGCTACTGAGTAGTACTCCGTACAGCTAGTAGAAAATAAAGGGACCTTTTGAACCCCCCTCCCCATATGTGCTTGCAGGCGTCGCTTCCACCAACCCCTTTGGCAATTGTCCTTTTGCAACAAAGACAAATGCGGAAGTTGTGTTGAGAGAGTGCGGAATAAGGTGCTGACAGATAAACAGGGTTGTCATTCCCGACCACTTTAGTTTGTAATCTGCTCCATATCATGGGTCCAGCGTCACGTGTACAGAATCTTGACTCCATATTTGTCTTTTGACGATATCTTTACAGTAGGTAACAACACCTTATCTGGTACGTTTGGGGTCTTTTGATGTTGCATTCAAATCCACTTTCCTTCAAGCTTAGCCTCGTGAGCCGTCGCATTGCAGATACCCCCTGGAGGAAGACGGATATGCCTGCCAGAGCTACTTCTTGGCGCTCCAGGGTCCACTATCCCTGTCGACTGTGCCGTTTTCTGAATTCAAAAGGGCCAGGTCGGCCGCTTTCTGCACCACCCCGAAACCTTCTACTCTAAAATATCGTCGCGTGCTTTTAGCCTTTTGAGTTTGGATAGCTTCAAGTACCCCAGGTGAGGCTCATTGGGACGACAGCGGATGGGGATCCTCCATCCCGAGTTAGTTTAGACTCTACCTGAAATAAACAATTTCAAACTCCGAGGTCGCCAAAGATGATTCGACATGGTCGTCTTGGCACAATTACCTCAATGATGCTCAAACATTCATGTCATCTCATCAGCTTCGTTTGCGTTGAAGCTGTTGAGTCGCTGGTCCATCACAGCGCGTGTGTCGCTTCATTCGAGAACAGCCACATCTTCACTCACGTTTCAGCCTCATTTAGGTAAACATCATCACCACCCACTGAATGTTTGAGGCGGCCCCAAAATGTCGAACCACAGGCCGGCTATTCCTCGCCTACAAAAGAACCACCACCGGTTGAACGAGCGGGCGCGCGCGCGCAAGGATACGTTATCACGACAGGCAGTGGCAGCATCGGTATCATTCTCGGCACGAAATCCCACGGCGATAAGACACGAATGACCCTCTCGATTTCCACCCAGCACACGATGACCGATGATTTCCTGTCAGATGGATGGAGACAATAAGCAGACGCGCCAAGACGACAAGAGATCCTTCGCAGCGCCATGACAGAGGGAACCGATCAATGGAAGCGAGACCGAACAAAGTGCCCAGGCCCCAGATACCTGACAGTCCCGAGACCGTTTTGGAGCCGCCTGATTGGCTGCCCAGCGAGTGCCCGCGTTTCCACGTACAGATGCGATATCGAGGTCGCCACCAAGCCATTGTCTGTTCCAACGGATCGTTTCCTCACGCGACAAAGAGGTTGTTTACTTTGGAGAGAGATGCCGCAATGATCGCCCCTCATTCTTTGGATTGATGGCTTTGTTTGGTGGAATTGTTTTCAAGAAGTTGGCCTGAGGCTGCGGCTCAGCCCAGAACGAACGAGCTCAGGCTAGCACGAACGGGGGCCAACCACCGAGTCAGATCCATACCGGTATTGTCTTGTTCGCAACCCGATAAGCCGAGCTGACCAAACAATTGTCAAGTCAATTGCCACTGCACTCTTTTCAATCACATCTGATTGCGGCAAACTAGATCTACGGAGGCGATGCTCCGTTCAGGAGATCCGTTTTCAATATGGCGGTGCGATGTTCAAGGACAGTCAAACGGATGGAACTCGACGCCCCGACAAACGCAACCAAACGACTCCCTTCGCATTTCACACCTCTCTCACTCACGGCCCCGACCTTGTGAACTCCACACTGCTCTCAAAAGAAGCCATCAGCTACAACAGCACTGGTCAAGCCTCCGACTGGACTTCCTCCCTCTACAACATGCGAGGATGGCTTTAGGCGTCCTGGGCGCGAGCCTCCACCTCAACTAACAAGCATCATCTCTAGAAGCTGATGAGCTACTGTCACGACCTTGTACGCGAACTCAGTGGATGACAGATGCTTCGAAAGCTGGCTCGGCGGGACAATACGAGCTGAGAGTCTGGCGTTCCTGGACTATCGGCGAGACTGCTCCAGCTATCGTCCGAAGATGCCACCAGCCCCTCAGGGTTTTCAATGTCGCGGTTCGGTGTTCTCGCTTGGCCGAACATGAGCCCGATACCATAGTGAAGGCCAATCGACTCCTCCTCCTTCGAAGCCAAACTCTCGCTCCCGGCAAGGCTCCCCCTTCTGCTGTTGTTGGGTTTTCCGGTATCACCGCTCAGCCGGTCACCGCTCGGGCGCCCGGTAACGAGAATACTGAGCACCTCGACGCGGGTGATAATGCAAACGGCATCTACTTCAAGACGGAGCCTGGAAGCAAGCTGTGTGGCGGCAACGTCATATGGCATGAGAGCATGACGGTCCCAGGCAACATCGCCGCAATCAAAGGCCAAGTCGTTCACAACGACAGGAACTTTCCAAACGACACCGACCCTATCCAAACTCTCCGGCAAGAGCACGCAAAACTTGCCGAAGGGTTCCCCTTCACGCCTCTCTCCTTCACGACCCCAACAGACCAGGATAGCTCTCGGCAACCGGCCCTGGCAAAGCTTTACACGGGCGACTTCAGTGAGAGTATCGACTCCCACTTTCGGTTGAAGATCCCCTTCTTGGGGATTCTTGTCATCCTGAAGAAGTTCAGTACCCGGGTAAATACTTTCCTCTGGGCGTTCCCATATGACCCGATGCCGCAAAACCTCGCCATCCAGGCCGTCCTCGTCTACGAACACCTGAAAGACAAGGATTGAGGAGCCCTACGCGACAATTCGATCGAGGAAGCATCACCCTGTGCCTGATGTGCCTTTGTCGATCTTTATCTTGTATTGGCCTCATTTCCTCCGATTTCACGAAGTCCACAAGCTGAGCAGATACATGCATCCGCTCCGCTTTATCAGTGCCCACTACGCCAAGGATATAGCGGGGAGTAGCTCCCTTTCTATTTCGGACTACAGTCTGGACGCAAAAAGAGTTCTCACTCTTGCTGGCTTCGTTCGCTCAGGGAGCCCAGACATTGCTACAGAACACTGGATCGAGATTCTGCCTCACCAACCTGCGAGGACGACAGAAACCTTCGCGCCGTACCCCGTTCCACTGACTATTATTGGTAAAATACCTGAAGAGGATTTGATTATGCTCTTAGCATGAGTCTATCAAGTATAACCTCATGCTTTGAAGGCTCCTTGCTTAGACAAACCTAAGAGTTGACCAAAAAACTCCAAAGGACCCCAGGTTTCTGCCGACTTGTGGGATACGTGAGCGAGCACAACAACGATACCGACCATCACTTTTGTTTGAAGATGTCTTGCTTGGGGATTCTTGCCATTCCGAAGACCAGATCAATTCTTTTCTCTGGCAGTTCTAATACGACCAGACCCCCTGAAACATGGCATTGTAAGCAGCACTGGTCTATAAACATCTTGAGGATATGGAAGAGGACATTTGGGCTAACCTGAACGCAGAAGCACAACGAAAGAGCCTGTTCTCTTTAACCCCCGGACCAAGGCCAGATCCAACTCGCTGACATGACCGCTATGGTCATGACCTTGCCATGGGATTCCGACGATACTGGCAACGTGCCACAACCATTCCGCAACAAGATGCCGCTAGTGTTCAACTTGAACACAGTCCCAATCGAGCGCCCGGTTGCAGTTGCTTTTGAACTTGGTGGTGGCTCTAAGAGAAGTCACCAGCCGTAGTAACAAAGAAATTAGAACACAGTTATAATACATGTACATATCAAAACTCGTCGAAAAACACACCAATACACCGTCTTGAGTCTGAAAGTTTGAAATGGACGCTGATAAGGTCGCCTGGAAGCGAAGCATACCCACGTTGAATCCATCCGGGGGAGGTGGCTTACCTCTAGACTTCGTACGCAAGTACCTAAATTCTATGCGTATTGTGAGGGGGCCACTGGCTGAGAAGTGACATCGGAGAATCCAAATCCAGAAAGAAGAGCCTCGGTCGGATAGGTGACGTATCCGCAGGGGGCTTAGTTGTAGGAGAAGGTCGATGCACTTTTGCCTGAGGGCGTATGATGCCAAGAGAGAAAAGAAGAACTTAGTCCGGTGTATATGCGCTCTAAGATAGTGATGCCTAGTCTCTTGGCAGTGATTGTACACAGTGGGGCATTGGTCGGTCGCCAAGGAGGGCATCCTTATTAAGTGAAAGATAGAGTTGTACCCAGCGGATTTGTTTAATTACTTATCAGGGCACTTTAAACATTAGACTGCTATATGAAAAGCTTCTGAATGTTAATCTCACATTGCTATCTCATTGTAATGCTCAACGGTGCATGTGCATCGGACCCTCAGCTCATACTGCTGCAAGACTACGATGGTGATCCTTCCAGCCTTCAGAGGTCATGTCACTCGATCAGGGTTCGAACGGGCTTGATGAAATCCTGTGTTCAGATTCTTTGTCGAACGCAAAAGGAGCAGGGCCAGGACTGAAGTGTTCACACCATTCATCCCCCAGGATGAATGGTGTGAGTCCCCGAACATTGAGCGAACAAATGAACATTTCGACATACTCAGTGCTCCTGATCTGCCACAGCCCGTTTACAGGACTACAGGGAGCATGGTGTGGCTTATTAAATACGATTCAACTTCGGGTCTCTCAACTTAGGTATCTCAGCAAGAGCTCTATTCAAGGAAGGAAACGAGTGGTGTTTGAGGGTGCTCGGGTTTCATCAGTGTTCGCCGGCATTGTTGTCAGTGGCCGCCCGTTTGCACTGTTATTGATGACACAGCCTAAATCCGTTTTCACGCGCCAAGAAAAAAGATGTCGCGTCTGCGCGATCTCTGTTTTTCTCACCTTTACTTCCCGTCTCCTCTTTTTCTTCTTCAATCACACCACCTCATCACGACGGAGGCGAACACCACACCACCGCTGCGACCTCATAGGTCATCAAACTTGCTTCTTTTCGCTTTATTAGCTTTGAGGCTTGTAGTGGGCGTCTTTTTGACCTTATTTGAAGACAAGGCAGCTTCTGCTACCCTTGCACAGGTCAACCGCCAGGAGACGCCTCAGAGGTTCGCCGCTTGGTCTTGACATCGAACTAACCGCCATCATCGCGACCAGCAGTCTTCTACTGCCTTCATTCATCCGCTCTTGCATCACGGGATCATATCATCTTTGCGTTTCCGCTTGACTATTTGGGATAGAACAGAGGCAGACACGTCGCTGCATCGCATGAGACTTGCGCATTTGCTTTCTTAGTACTGCGATCTCCGAACCAGTCAACTCCGGTGTAGACTTCCGACCGACGAGCAGTCTGCACGAGATGATGAGCGGCTTCAAGGCTCAGCAGCAAAACCCGACTCCCACCCCCACCCTTGTTGGAGGGAAGGCCTTTTGGAAGGCATGTGCCATCATGCTGGATGGCCCGCATGGGTATATCGTCGGCGGGAAGAAGCTTGGTGTCCAAGGTCCAGACATGGAAACCACGCTCGTATTCAATAAAAACCAGGATAGCACTGCTTGGATGGGGTTTACCATGGAGTTCCCGCTAGGCCCAGCCAACGATGGGGGTTTTGGCATTTCTCACAAACGTGAGTAGCTTGTATTTCGTACAGCCTTGTGTCCACGGTCGCTAATCTCACGATAGTGGAACGAAAGAATGCCGGGCTACAAGTCCCAAAGATCACCGACATGCGAACAATCCGAGTCAAGTTTCCCCGTGGTCATATCACCTACTCTGTCGACCCTCTGGATGACAAGATGAAGGGGTTGTTCCCCGGCGCAACCCGCCGACTTTCTTTTGTCCAGGTCTGGCTGCAAGATGGAAGCGAGGTCGGTGTCGAAGGCTATGGCCTCCCCTTTAGCAACCCTAGCCACCCTAGCGAAGGGTGGCTTAATAGGCTGGAACCGATTGTCGGAGACAAGACGCTGGTCGACATTATTGACCAGAGACACTTCACATTTGTTGTTCACAAGCCATGCGATGTGTTGCGACGTGATTGGCACGAAAACGAAATGCCGCCACCATTCTGTTACCCGTATGGTACAGTTCACGACTGGGACCTCGAGCGGTTCGACAGCCTCATCTGCAGCAACCAAGGATACCAATTTTGGCCCTCGTGGTCGTTCGACGACCAGAATGCACACACCGCAGCATTGGTTCACTCTCAAGTTCAGGACATCCGGTGGCTATGCCATGCAGCCGAACAGATCGTGCAGCAGCGGTTCCTGGCCTGTTTCGTGACGACCAAGGACGGCGAGAACGTTGGGGACAAGACACCTAGCTCCTTTGCCATTGTTTCGCTGACGAGCGAGTTCCTCAATCGGTACGACACCCCCTGGCGCCACCTCATTCGGGATGGGTTTCTCAAACTTGAGCTCTACAACAACCCTGAGGATGGAAGGCACACATCAGTTTGCGACGCCAAGATCGTGGACCGTCCGACAAAAATTGATGCCGTCAGGTCTGCCCACGCTACCAAAAATGAGTTGGTATTGCAGATACGCCGTGCCGGAACGAGCAGTGATTCTCGACGCCCTGGCTTTGCTATGCACAGCTCTGATAGTCGAGGCGAAGGAAGCAAGGCGATGGAAGAGAGCGCTCGTCACTAGAACTGGATCACCCTCCGATTCTGCCCAAACCTTGACGATGTTAAGCGCAAGGTAGACGCTGTCTGCAATCTGCAAAGCGGCCGACCACCCTCCAACTCGATTGCCCTGGATGCCCCCAAGCTGGACAAGTATCCGACAGGCAGATACACGGCAGCGAATGAACTCGAGTTTCGCATGAGTCTTCAGCGGGCGCTAGTTCTCGGGTCAGGTTTCTGGTCAGTCTTGCGAAGATTCAAGGCTGCCCCTGCATCGTCACGCAAGGCCAGTGAAGGCCTTGAAGCCAGCACAGCTAAGTTGAGCCTTGACGAGTCTGTACCGGTCACTCTGCCTTGCGTCCCAGAGGTAAATCTGTTGGACATTCGAGATCCGGCGATGTTGGACGCTTTGATGGCGGAGGTTCTTCCTACCGACCGTCCGCGTTTTAGACAATATTTCTCAAAGAGAGCATTGGGCATTGGCCTCATGACAGCGGTAGGTCATCATACCATTGGCGCAATACATCGATTGCTAACTTTCTGAACAGGGCCCAGGTTTCGGAAAGACGACCGCCCTCTCTGTCGCAGCACTCGGCATTGTAGAAACTCTTGGACCCATTTTCGCGAGCGCCCCAACCAATGTTGCTGTCAATACCTTTGCCACCAGACTTTACGCCGTCAGCTCCGGAGTCGTCGACCGATACAACAAAGGCAAGCGCGAGAAGAATCGCATCCGGCGCAAGCTCGTTATCAGAGGTCATAACGAGGAGGAGCACGAGGCCTTCCAACGCTTGCTGCAACACCCTGATGGTGCCGGCGATGCAGGTTCCCGCCTCTGGAAGAAACCAGGGGCGTGGAGCCTGCATCTGTCCAAGGCCTACTGGCTTTTGGCTTGCCTGCGCTCACCGGCGGTCTCTGACTTGCACCCCAATGACAGCTTTGCTCTGCATCGATTGCGAAGAGACCTAGACGCGGACCACAAGTTTGCTAGGCTCCGTAGCGTCGCCTCTGGTGCAATCAGCTGGGAAGACTATATCAGCGGCAGGATGGTCAACAAGAGCATCATTGAAGGTCTCTTCAACCAAATCTTGGAGGCTGCAGACATTGTCTGCGGCACACCAGCCCAGTCTTGCGGAAAGCTCTATCACGACTGGAAGAACACCAAAGCCAAGGGCTTCGCCATTGATGAGGCTGCCAGCATGACTCGCCCCGACTTGTACTCAGTGTGGGGAAATACCATGATGCCATGTATTCTGGCAGGCGACGAGAAACAGCTTCCACCAGCTGTAATGACCCTTGATGAGAAAGACTCGCAAGGCAACGCCATAAACCGTCTTGGTCGTGAGGCTCGGATATCGCCGCTCGAGTTCTTCATGGGACTTGGCATGCCCGTGTACCGCCTTCGAACCCAGCTGAGGATGGCAAAGGGTCTGTTCGATCTTTCCAAGCGATTTGTCTATCCCGATGTCAACTGTAACTATGGACCAGGGTGCAGAATTGAGCTCGAAGCCCATCGTATCGGTCGGGACCTCGAGGCTTTCGTCTTTGTCAGACATCCCGAGCTGGACGCCGCTCCGACTGGCTCTCTGCAGCCCATCTTTATCCACTGCGAGAACTCTCATTGCCACATCGACCCTATTACAAAGTCCAAGAGCAACAGGGATCAAGTCATTGTCGCGCTGGACTTCATTTTGGAGTTCATCTCGAGCACTTCTGGCAGAGTTGATGCCTCCCAGATTGCAATCATCACCCCGTACACAGCCAACGTGGATGTGATCAAGAGTGTTCGAAGGGGTCCCAAGTACGCTGCCCTGGCTTCAATGAAGCCAGCCAAGACCATTTACTCTTTTCAAGGTCAAGAGAGTGACATCATCATCGCCATCATGGCTACCACGAAGCAAGCCGGTCCCGGTATGACAACCGATGAACATCACCTCAATGTGATGCTTAGCCGCCACAGAAGCGGTTTGATCATTGTTGGAGACATTAACGTTACTGGAAGGCTTGATGATGAGAGAAGTAAGCGACATGGCCACGTTGGCCTGGACAAGTTCCAGGTCGTAGGAGCCAATGGGGAGGTCTCATGGGTGAATGGCACCATGCTCCGTAGTGTACACCAAGCTCTATGGGAGAGTAAGCGTGTTATCACGGTATGAGTTGAGAAGGCGGCTGGGTAGGTGGTCGGCTATGTGGGCTCAAGTTCATGGCCATCCTATAACTTTCTACGTCCTCAGGTTCATCAGATAGTTGCTCTACGCACGTGTTAATGGCTCTCATACTTGCTAGAGAGCAGATCCTAGATCCGTGTCGTCTACTGCCATTGGGTGCTTGTATGGGTGAAAGGTGAGTAAAAAAAACCGATACTAGAACATGCCTGGTATTAATGACGTCTTCAACAGATGTCCTTAGGCACGACCTACCTATTGGCGCAATTATCCCATCCGGGGCCGGGCTTTAACTATAACAAAAAGACATCATGGTTATCGGACACAATGTCAAACAACACAGTGATTAACACATGGTGGGATCAAGACCCAATGCCGCAAGACACAGTGGACGCCAGAAAGGTGACAAGGTTTAGCTGACTCGTGATGAGGATAGTAAAGAAATTTACATGCCATGTGATAAAATAAGTAAAAAGATGCCATAATTAAGGTAATACTTTAGACCTATTTTATTTCATTCTTACTATACTTTATGAACTATTCTTAGGGGAGGCTCAGTTGATATGTTCCCATTGTCTCGTCCCCCCCTGACCCAGGTGTGTAATTTCGTTGACGTGGGTGCGAGTTGCGGACTGGGTATGCGGACTTGGAGCGGGCTTGCGGACTTTCTCGTGATCTGGAACAACCGCATAGCCAATTGTTTTGGTAATCTACGGAACTCTTAAAGTTACTCACATGTTTTACTCGTATCGATGGCTGGTTATAAAAAGGGGTGGTGCTGCACACGGACACTGAGTACACCACCTGCATCACCCACACAACACTGCTTACTCTTTACTTCCAACAACTCAGCAACTATGTCTCCTACAATTCTCATCGCTGGCGCCACTGGAAACACTGGCCGAAATACGACCGAAACCCTGTCGCGACTTATCGACTCCAAGAGCTTCTTCTCGGGCTACAAGATCCTCGCCCAGACCCGTTCCGCCAACGGAGATGCAGCCAAGCAATTGGCCAAGTTGCCAAACGTCGAGGTCGTGGAGATGGCCTGGACCGAGATAAATTTCGATTGGCTCCGCGAGCACAATGTCGTCAGGGCATTCATAGCATCGCACATGCTGCCAACTCAGTTTTCCGAAGAGTCGACATTTCACGTCGCCGCTCTCAAAGCAGGCGTCAAGTACGTCGTTCGGATTTCAACCACGGCTGCAAACGCGCGTCCGGACAGTCTGGCGTACTACCCAAGAACGCACTGGGCGATCGAAAGCTTGCTGGCCTCGCCCGAGTTCAGTGCTATGCAGTGGACTTCGCTGCAGCCCAATGCCTTCACTCCACTCTTCCTGAACACTGCGGTGCAGTTCGTCAAGGACTTCCGCGAGACCGGAAAGCAGGGTATCCTGAGGCTAATGTCAAACGAGGATGCCCCTGTCGCTCCTATCGATGCTGACGAGGTCGGGGCTATCGCCGCTTACTTGTTGGCCGAGGAGGATCCAAGTCGACACAACAAGGCAAAGTACGTCTTGAACGGGCCAGAGGACATCACCGGCAAGCAGCTTGTTGAAATGGTTGAACAAGCCATTGGCACCAAAGTCGAAAACGTCGTTTTCAAGGATGCGACTTTTATTGATCACATGGTTACGGCGGCACCCCCGGAATTTCAGGCTATTATGAAGACGATTGTGCACTCCTTGGATGCAAGCTGGGAAGGAAAGTGTTCGACCTCGACGACGAGCAAGGAGATGTTGGAGTTGGGGCTGCTGAAACTCACACCTACTGAGGCGTTCAAGGCCGCGATTGAGTAGAGAAGACGGCGTCTTGGAAAGATACAGCTTTAAGGCTATTTAAAGCTGTATCTAGTCCAATCTAGTTGATCAGATGCGAAAGTCACCCAGGTTCACTTCATGTTTATTTTCTAGACTGCTTGCCTATACTTTATCCTCCAGATATTCATACCAGCTTTCGATTTCCGGTTATCTTAGGTACCTACCTACCATCAATATCAATCAGGCTCTAGCGTCACGTGGCTTTTCATTCTCATGCATAGCGCAGCCTGATTTGAGAACTGCCTCATTCCCCTCTTCACTCACTTTTCAGCCCCATTTCACAATTGAGGACCTTCGTTGAATGTCTGAAGCCCTCTCAAAATGGCAGATCCCAGCCCACCCACGGGACTATTCCTCGTTTACGAGCCAAAGGATCAAGAACCAGCGGTTGAGTGAGTGAGCGCCCAAGGTGACGCGATGGATACGCTGACATAGGTGCCTGAAGCATTGTCATCATCCATGGCTTGAAAGGTCATGCGTACAAGACATGGACTTCTCCTCTTATGCCCGACGCAGTGGTCGATTTGCAGTCAGACGGAGAAATGATGGCGTCAAGACGAGGACAGGTTCTTCGCAGTGTCACAGGCTTGATGAAACGGGCCTCAGGAAAACGAGGGCCGAGTAGCGCCCCCAAGCCTAAGACGCCAGTTTCAACACTTTTCTGGCCTCGTGATTTGCTACCTGAAGACTGCCCAAATGCTCGCATCCTCACTTACGGATACGACACCAAGATCACCAAGTATACATCTGGTTCAACAAACAAGAATAGTGTCTTTTCGCACAGCAAGGACTTCTTATTCGCGCTCGGGAGAAGCCATACCAAAGATCGCCCTCTAATCTTTTTGGCACATAGCCTTGGCGGAATTGTTGTTAAAGAGGTGACTGCAGACTACCGACCTAAGTTAAGATGAGGAATTAGAGACTAACTATTGAGGGAGATGCTGGCATTATCTTCGACCTCCCCAACCGACGAACTCTGCAATATCGTCAGTTCTACCGTCGCTGTTATTTTCCTAGGCACCCCTCATCGCGGCAGCCCGGATCTGTCTGCCCTTGGCGCCTGGGCTAAATCCGTTCTTAGTGGATTGCGCTTTCAAACGAACTCGGCAATCCTTGATACTCTCGGCCTTAAGACGACAGATCTCGAACGCTCACAGGAAGCATTCTCCGGGCTTTGGTTCAAACACGGCTTTAGAGTCAAGACATTCCAAGAAGGATACCCTATGACCAAAATCAATCTTGGTGTATTGGGAAACAAGGTTGTGCCAGACACATCCTCGTTAATAGGGGACCAGCGAGAACACGCCGAGACACTCCAGGCCAACCATATGGAGATGTGCAGATTTTCTGGACGGGAAGACCCAAACTTTGTCAAGGTCGTGGGAGAGCTTCGATCGGCATATCGCACAATCTTAACTGGCACGATTGATGATCCCTGTACTGACCAGCCTGTTGCGGTTAATTCAGGCATGTTTAATGCAACTAGCGGTCAGGAGTTGACTGCTCAGCAAGCCGCCTGCCTCAAGTCTATCCAGTTCTCCCACATGCATCGTCCTCGCCAGCTCATTGAGGATCCTGCCCCTCAGACAGGACACTGGCTAATCAAAAACGAAACGTACTCCCACTGGCTCCTCGACCGCGATCTCAAAGAACGACCCTGCATCCTCTGGATCAAGGGAAAACCGGGAGCCGGAAAGTCGACAATAATGAAGCAGGCTTTTCGTCATGCCAAGTTCTCTCTCAGCGGCTCCGAATATTGTGTTGCTGGCGTCTTCGTTAGCGCCAAAGGCGAGCCACTGGAGCATTCCTCGATCGGCATCTTTCGGTCCCTTCTACACCAACTTTTACCGCACTATCCGGTTCAACTTCAAGAAGCGGTGCAGATATGGACGGAGCTGGACGAGGAAGCCATTATGTCGAGGCGCGCAGAGGTGATATGGAGGGAACCAGTGCTCAAAAGCCTACTCAACTCAATCCTCGATTACACATCAGGGAAGAGGACTACTATTTTTATCGACGGCCTCGACGAGCTTGACCTTCCTCTTGTGGGATCACACGTGGAGTTCTGGGGGCATTTGCTTACGGGCGAAAACAATGGCCGTGTCCGAGTGTGTTTATCCAGTCGACACCACCCGCAAACATCCCTTCGCTCGGCCTCGGAGCTGATTGCCGAAGATCTCAACGAAAGCGACATTTCAACATATGTCAATCAAAGATTGAAGGCCAGAATTTCAAGGTCAGAATCACATTGGGAGCCTAAACTGCGAAACAAGATGATAGACAACGCCCGCGGCATCTTTCTCTGGGTGACCCTGACTATGGACAGCCTTCTTGCCAAATATGACCAAGGCGAAAGCCTTGAGCTTTTGCTCCGACACATCGATTCAATGCCCTGGGAACTGGAGCACTTGTTCACAAATATGGTGATGTCCATCCGTCCAGAGTCGCGGAGGGTCGCTCTACGGGTATTTCAGTGGGCTCTCATGTCAACAGCACCGTTGAGGCTTCATCAATGGCACCATGTGCTTGCATTTATAAGAGAGCCCGTTCCAGATTCTCTCAAGGAGTGGCGGAGGTCTGTGCACTACACCGAGAGCGACAGTCAGCTTGAGAGGGAGATCAAAGCCTTGTCAGGAGGCTTGCTAGAAGTAAGTGCTTCACGACCAGACGAGGCACCATTAGAGGACGAAGGGAATCTATCAATTCGCGCTGGAGCTGGATCACTTGACCTAGAGCAGGGAGAGACTCGTATTGTGAAAGTCATTCATCAGTCAGTGAGTGAATTCTTCCTCGAAGGTGGTGGATTCCGCTTGCTAGACGCTTCAGCTGCGCGCAACCCGGTTGGCAGCTGCCACGTCACAATTGCGATTACATGCTTTAACTATATCAGTATCCAAGAATTGGATAAGCTGATTGATGCGAGGAGGACCTATCAGAAACAGGAATCTGTCTCCTTATCCGAGTGGGAACTATCGGAGACTAGTCCTGTTGACAGCGAAAATGAGTCTTTTCTCGCCCTCGAGGAGAGGAATCTGGCACAGGACACAACAAACAGTCGGAGGAAAACTTTCGACGAGCACTTGATCATGATTCCCACGGCTGAAACTCACACAACAGTTGCCAGCTGGATAGCAGCGGGAAACATACCGACGAACCCAACAACCGAAGCTGCTCCCCCAATACAATACGCCAACTCTCTCCTTTCCTCAGAATATGTCTCCCACCAGCTTGAAGCCTGGCCTTCTTTGTTATTTTACATTCTTTCGAGCCTCCCAACGCATCTCAAGGTCGCAAAGGATGTGACTTCGCATTCGTCCACTCTCTTCAAATGTCTCGACAACACTGAGCTCTGGGACCGTTTCGTGCTGCTGAAAGAGGACATTCCCCGGGGCACCACGTTCTCCGAATTCATTAATCCCCGCTCGAGGTTGATAAAAGCTCTCGAGGCACGTGCTCGCCGATTCGAAATCTCGCGCCGACCCGTGAGTGCCCGCGGGAAACCCTCTCTATCGTCCCCAGCGCACGAGAGAAGATCACCATCGCCGGTCGCGGTGTCAAGAGCGAGCAGTGTTGCAAGTTTCGCGTCTGCTAGTAGCTATGGGGCCAGGCAGGGGAACCAGTCTGAATCGTGATTTATACAACATCGTTCTACTTTAACTTGGGCAACGCGGTTCATGGCATGTTCATGAGGCTGCCAAGATTCTATCCTCGCCACTGCAATGGTGGTCCTCTTTAATGTGGGCGGCTCAAACGTGGTGACATTCCGTTCTGGGGACCAGTTAAGGTGAGTCTCACAAGATTATGACAGGTTGAGATGTTTATAGCTTGGACCTAGGCATATGGAGGGCACACCAGGCGTCCGGCTGCCTCGTCGCGAAGTTGAGACAGTGGCGATCAAGTCACAACACCCGAGAAGATTGGAGTTGCTGAGGTTGGCAGATGTGCAAGAATGAGGTTGGGGGCGGAAACTCAAGGCAGCTATTAGCGAGTGCGGGCAAATCAGAGCCTCGTGCCACCATCCATAAAGAGCACAATAAGCACGAGATGAGGTGATGACATGCCACCGAGGATAGATGACTTGCCTCTGGCCAGAGAGCTCTCCATAGCTTATAGACTTGTTCGAAATCGGCCAGCCCACCAGATTTGAATGTGTTGGATACCCATCGTGATATTATCTTAACTGATAAGTCTTCGACGTCGACAAACATCTGTGGATAGTAGAAAGGGAGCATCTCTGCGAGCCTGATTTGAAATTTGCAGGCTAAGCGCCGAGGCGTCTGATGCTACCCACCGTTGGGCTTACCATACACACTCCAAAGTGCAGTGGGATTCAGCTGAAAGCCACCCTGGGTGAGAAACATGAGGTCCTGGTTGCCATAGTTGCAGCTGATTGGTGCATTCAAGGGCAGAACCAACAAGGGCACCCAAGCCGGGATATGACTCGTCAGCAGCCTGGTCAACGAGATTATAAGGATCCTCCCCCGGACCTGTGTCCTTGAGTTCTTTTCTTTATACGGAAAATCACCTTGAAATTGTCTCCGAGGTGCAAACACAGAGCATGGGTTTGCTTTCGCCTCTGTTGACGGGCTCTCGCGCCCTATCTTTTCTCAATGAGGAGCCCCCAACCTCAGACAGCCAAGACCCAGCCCCGTCAAAGCTCAAGGTAAAACTCCGCTCGTGGATGTGGCTGGCAGCCACTCAGTGTCAAGATGGCGCAATCCAAAGCATACTCCAACGTCTCGACGACACGTCTGAGGAGCCTGTCCCCGTGATCCTCGACAGAGAAGTGGTGCCGACTACGGGTAAAACCTTCTCGGATGATCCTGAGGCAGGCCCCAAGTCCAATCGCTTGGTGGATCTTGGAAAGGAGATCGACGCGACACTTGGAACGGAGGGAGAAGGTATAGACGACGATATCGAGGTCTTACGGAAAGCAGCGGCAAACACTTATCGAAGCCTATCGCCTCAAGAGAGAGTCGGACCTCTGTCAGAGATCGAAGGCCGATGCTCTGTTCTCTTCATTGCCATATGTCGAGGCCACGACATGGACGCCGAGTATCTCCTGAGAAATCACAAGATCGATCTGACATTCCAATCCTCCAAGAACAAAAGAACAGTTCTCTTCCAAGCAGTTGCTCAGAGAAAAGCCAATCTCGTGTCACGAATCCTCCAACATCCTTTCATGGCGCCCTCACACTACGTCAACCTCGGAGACTCGAGGAAGTTCACAGTGTTGCATCAGATTTCTGGGATGACGAGTGAGCCTGTCGAGGACGGCATTATGCTAAAGATTCTCGATGCGATACTTCAATACGGGCCAAATGTTGACGCCCTGAACGAAGATCTGCAGACGCCATTGCACCAACTCATTGTGCAGGATATTGGCAAAGAGTCAAAGCGCTGCCTGGAACGGCTCCTCGATGCAGATGCCGAGTTCAACACCCAGGATAATGACGGTAGGCTCATACTCTAATGCGTCAGCGCACCAACCCTAACATAGACAGGAAACTCTCCCTTGCATGACGCCTGCAGGAAGAGGAATCACACCGTTATCAAGATGCTGCTTGAACGAGGAGCGGAACTGGACTGCCTCAACGACAACGGTGAAACGCCCCGAGAGCTGTTCAAGCGAGGCGGCCTTGGCGAAGAGGACAAAAAGTTCTTTGCCGAGAACCTTTCCTTTCTTCAAAAGGCACCATTGAGACGCAAGACGGCCGGAAACGTGCCTCAGAAGCCTGCCGAGTACTCTGAAGATATCAGGAGGATCTGCGACAACTTCCCCGTCTACTTCAGATATCAATGGGCGGGACTCAAGCCAAAACCGGATGGAAGTACTTCCATGTCATGGACTCCGACAGGTATCAAGGTGTCTCACGTTCTGTATCGCAAGAAGAGTGACAGTAAGCGATTGGAAGACGATTCTGCTCAAGAGGAGTCAGAAAAGGAGAGCACCAACGACGGATCTTCTATCGAGGAGCCAGCCGATGGAGGCACATCCTTTCTTGCGGACTGCGAGGCCAATTTCGCATCAGAGGTCTGGGAGCGGTTGGTGAAGGAAGATGCGGATATCAGCATTGAGAAGACACCAGAATCACCACAAGAAGACCGAGACAAGCCCAAAGGCGAGAGTCAACAAGATAGGGGACCGGTGGGTAGGGAAGACAGTATCCGGGTTGAATTGACAGAGGATCAGTTCAAGCAGAATGTCAGAGAGAGTTCTTGGAGATGGATCAACTTCAACTCAAACAACGTAAGTTTATCTGAGCTTGGCGCATAACACAGCGCTAACATGTAGTAGATGACTTGGATAAAGGTAGGGATACCGAAGTCATATAATCCTCCTATCTTTTTGATGCTAATTTACGTATTTTAGGATTTTCTCATCACCAACATCAGGACCTCTGACGGTGCCGAGGTCGATGCTCAAGCCTGGCAGTTCTTCGAGAGCAACATCAGAGTTCGAGAAACTAACGACCTTTGCTCTCGGGTCAGGAAGCCACATGCGCGGGTGAGAGAGGCAATTTTCAGTCCCGTAGCTTTACTTACCTGTTATGCAGGTCGCCGAGAAGCCAAGTCCCAAAGTGAATCGGCTTGCAGGAGAGGAAAAGACGCCGGCAAAGTCGGAGAAGGCTACCAAGCCGCCACTTGGACCTGAAAAGAGGATATCGTGGGCAAATGCAGAATGCTTCATCAAGCCGAGTAGCATGGTATCGCTAGTAGTACGACGAAACAGCCCGCTGGCACTAAATAAACATTGCTAATATGTTACAGATACCATTTCTTGATATCGAGACACTCCACGATCCAGAAACAGAGACGGATAAGGGTGAGATCCTCCGCAAGAGATATGAGCAGCTTGAACGGACATACTCGCCCTTCACCGGTATGCTCGGAGCGCAACGACCACAGACACTGGACCAGACAGCCAACCACGTTGAGCAACGAGACAACACGCTGCGTACCAAAGATCAGCAAGTCGTATACCGATGGTTGAAAGGCCGTATCGACAAGACAACCCAGAAATCTCGAAAGGAAGTCCAAGTGGATGAGATACCGAAATGGGCTTTCATCAAGTGGTTATGGTCCCGGATGCAAAGAAAGGGGAAGACGAAAGTCCGCACGACCCTGGAAAAGGCAAAGAAGCCGGCGAACCCGGCACTCCCACCAGCCGCCGATAATAGACATTACGAGAGGCGCAACAAAAGAAGGGCAAACAAAGACAAGGCTAAGAAGATCCAGCAGGATCTCTCTCTGAGCTGGTTGATGGTTCGTCAGCTATGGCTTTGGAAGCTGGATGACAGTAAGCCTCCTTCTTTGACTCCCCTTTCAGTCTCAATGTTGACCTCGGTAAACAGGCACAATCATTACTGCGATACCAGGTCGCCAGAATGAGACCATGGCGGATGACCTATTTGAGACGATCCGTCAAGGCAACCTGGACACGCTTCGGACACCAAGCGACTTGATCAAGCGAATCGTCTTTGAAGCAGTGACACTTGTCAACGAGTTCAAGTGGGCTGGACTTGGCGAGCATGTTCTCGACATTTTTGAGGGCCAGATCGGCTACGAGGTATTATTCTTGCGCCCATAAACAGCGCCCTACTAACCAAAACCACACAGACAGACGAGGAGGCAAAGTTCTTCAAGAGCTTTACAACAAGCGACTGGAGTCCCAGCGAAGTCAACAGCATCATCCGTCAGGCTGCCGACTCCACATGGCGAGTCAAGGATATCAGAGATGAGCTCCGACTCCTTCGCCAACTCTTTGAGACTCAGCTGAAAGTGACCAAAGATGTTGCAGAGATTCTCTGGCCATCCAGACTCCCAGGTCAGCCAACTCTCACGAAAGATACACGAAAAGTCTTGAGGGAGAGTTTTGTGCATGACACCGGCCTTGAAACGCTGATTCAGAGGACGCAGAGGATGGACAGGGATGCATCTACGACACTTGAAGGAGTAAGTTGACTTTTTATCCAGTTCCTTAGTTGATACTAACGGCTGCTTCTAGCTGAGCAACATCATCCAGGCGATGCAAGCCCAAGCATCCCTCAAAGAAGCCGAGGCTGCGCGATTCATGAACTTTATCATCCTCCCATTCACTATCGTTACAGTCATTTTTGTAAGCTCAACTTGCTCGGAACCATTAATGTCAGTGTATTTAACAGTTCAGACTCCCCTCTCATTCTTGACCAGTCTTTTTGCTATAAACACAAATGGTTTCCCTCACAACGAGGAGGGAGAGATAAGATTGACTTCAGGATGGCTTAGCTGGAGAATGGGTAAGTATTCTTCGAGTTTAGAGGATTCTCTACTAACATTGGTCTAGTTGTTGGTGAGATTAGTACACTCATACCACTCGGCTTGCTAGTATTGGTGATCTACTACCACCAGACAGAGAAGAAGAAGTCCAAGTAGCGGACTACCTATGTACACTACAGTATAATTTGGAGTAAGGGAAGGCCTTGATCAATCTTGTGTCGCTTTAGGGACACACTATTTGTTGTTGGCACTAATAATCAATTGCTTCAACACTTTCTTCATAACATCAATTCCTCATCAGCTATCATGTTCAGAGCTTAACGAGGGACAGCAAGGAAAATCACGCCCATATTCGAATCCATCTCCCTAAACAGTGTCGATACTCAAGCCCCAGTCAACTAGCTCCTTGCAGCGATCCAAATACTTCTGTACCTCATCCGCTGTATGCCAAGCGTCGTTATACGCAGCACTCAAGCACAACTCTCCACGAGAAGTGCCAAGGAACAGTCCCAGCCCATTTCCAAGCTCCTCGCCAGTCACCCAAGGGTCGCGAGTGCTGAAGGCACCGTTCTCTGGAGCAACAATGGCATCGGTGCGGCCCATGCTTGAGATAGAAACGGATGGGTGAGCATTGGGAGGGGGCACAGGGAGAGGTCGAGGAGAAGGAGGAAGTTTTGGCGTGCCCAGAGTCCACAAGGTAGGCGTGAGGATGTAGTGCTCCTTGTCTTCCTTAACAGTGTGGTAAAAGTCCTTCATATTCTCTAGAACAGAGAGGAACTCCTCCCGGCGTTGCTTGGGATCGATCTTGGTACCGGCCGCAGGCAAGTCCATGTCAACAATCAGGCTCTGACCCGAGACAGAGTGATAGACGGATGCCGAATGAACAGCGGTGTTGTATGGCTCAGTACATTTATCTCGCTCATTGCGCAGAATGTAGTTAATATATCGGACACGCTTCGTCTCTGAGGGCGGCTCCTGGACGTCTCGCATGACCATGGCAGCAGCAGCGTGGAATACGTGTGTCGGAGTAGCTCCAGCAGTCTTGCAAGCGGAGATAAGACGCTTCGTCTGCTCTTGAGAGAAAGTGAGAGCAAGACGTTGATGACGACCAGGCAGCAAAGGGCCGCCGTTGAAGGGAAGAGCGAGGTGTTCAACGCTTGGATCAGAAGCGACAGCTGCTTTCTGAGCAGTAATGTCCTCAACCCTCTTCTTCTGGTCTTCAGTCAGCTCGGGGGGAACTTGAGCAGCCAGTCGATACGAGGGACTGAGGTTGGCAGTCTCGGAGCCATCAAAGACGGGAATATCAAAAGAGTTACCCTTCTCATAAGCCTCGGCAGCGTGAGTTATGAAGTTGTTGAGCATCATCAGCGTTCCAATTCCATCGATGACGTCGTGAGGCGAGCGAAAAACGAGATCGCGTCGAACAGTTGAAGTCCCGTCAGTAGGAAGGTCCAAGACAAACATGGTTGGGACCTTGGGAGCGGGAGGATCGGAGTTAGCCCATTCGTTGCCAGTTTGACCGGTCGAGATGTGAACAAGAGTTTCCTCAAGCCAAGCATCTTTGTCCGCTTCGCTCTCAAACTGACGGTAGGTCTTTGTCCATTCGCCTGTTTCGACATTCTCAGTGACTTTGGCAGCGAGAGTGGGGTGAGCATATCTTAGAGCAAGCCATGCCTTTCTCAAGGCCTTGTCGACGGCGCCTTCAGCTTGCTCTTGCGAAGCGCTCTCGGGTATTTTGATAGACAGAGAGACATGGCCAGTCATGCCAAAGAACATGCGGCCACTAGCCTCGTAAAGAACCACCATGGTAGCGTAGAACTTCTCGATCTCATCGATGGAGCGGCTCCACACGCCAGGGCTGACCTGGCGCCATGCGAGGTTCGTAGAAGCCATATTTGCGACAGAAGACGATGCCGGATCTTTGAGTAGCAGTTTAAATGAGGAGAAAGGAAGAAGAGGCAATAAAGCGCGGTCTGTCGACAATATAAGAGAATCATCTGGTGTATCCGAGGCATCAATGGTTGGACGAGAGACCCGGGGTTCTCCCGCCGACGGATCGTCGGTCCGCGACTCCGGTTCGTCAGTGAATGGACTCACTATTTCCTGAATAGGAAATAAGAGTTTAAGCTGTGTCATGAAATCTCAAAGAGGAATTAAGGAGTAGTTGCCAAGTAATGGGGTCATGGGGGTCAAGGAAGTTGACTTGAGGGTACAATTGTGGGTGAGTATATATTTAGCCGGTGATAGCCTCCAAGTATCAAGTCTGTTTGCTCTCATGTCCAGTTTCCAGTCTTATTAACATTCATATTGATACAGGTCCAGCTTCGGAATAACGGGGCATCCCAGTAAAGAAAAGTTCAGGCTCATACTACTCCAGGAATTCCCATCGCGTCTAAAGGTGCCTCCTTTTCCTTCAAAACGATACTCGCAGGCCAACTCACAAGATCCTCCCACTCGGACCCTCGAACTTTTTCGATAATAGCTTCCATCAATGGCTGCGCCCAGCCCTCAAAGAACCAATATCTAGACTCTGCCCAAGACAATAATGTGTCGTAATACGCCAAAGTCACCAGAGCCAACGGATGTCCTGAGCCCGCCAAGTCGAGAAAGTCACGCGTGACCATCATTGGCCACATGAACTGGACACGCATCTCTGGTGGACACGACACGGTTGGACGATTAATTGTATCTTCAAGGCATTCGGCAAAACACTGAAGGGTCGTGATTAAAATGAGTTTCGCCTTCGGGTCCAAAGCGTCCGACTCTGCCCGGAGTTTGAGCTCGGGTACACGAGTTAAGAGCCCATGGAACAGTTCGCTCGGCGGATAAGGAACAATAGACCGGCTGAAAAAATCCTTTAGTGGCCCATTAAGAATGCTTTTTCCTTCCGAGGACATCAGGAGAGCACTGATGCCGTTGACAAGAGAAAACATCTCAACCAGTGCCTGAATCGGCATCAAGCATCCGTGTGCTTGATAGTCCTCGCAACTAGGGAAGGCGGCGAATTTGTTGATAACAATAAATATCGCGGCAGCGTATAGTGCATGGCAGTTGGCAGACGTTATTGGCCCCGCGAGGACTTCTCGGATACCTCTAACAGCCAGGTCGTGGTGTTTGGAGGCCAGCAGAACATACGACTGCCGCTTTTCAGGATGAAGATAGGCCAGATGATATGCGGAGAGTGATAAAATCTCTCGCAGAAAGTACGGATGAGAGAGAGCCAGACGAGGCATGTCGTGCAGGAACGTTGACACAACCTGGTCTGAAAAGCAAAGCGTTTTATACGTGACAGTCGAGTAATGAAACATGAGCTCAACGTTGGCAACCCAACAGTCTGCGTCTTCTCGAGGGCTTTCGAACAGGGACCCACAGAGCAATGACGAAAAGTTGAAGCCAGAAGAGCTAGGGTTGGGTGGATGGAGAGACCGGTCGGGTATGTGAATACCTTCATGCTCGCCATCGGGAGATGCAAGGCTACATGGAACCTTGTGCCTCACACAAGCCGAGCATGGAACTTCCTCATCGCACTATAGCCAGTCAGTCGATTCTCTAAACCAGCCTTGAAGGGCAACATACCTTGACTCGTCTCTTCTTGCATCTCGTGCAGCCATTTCGGGATTTCTTGTATCCCGCACGAGTGGATCTAGCTTGCTGCATATTGACACGGACAAATCGAGACTCAAGAAAGAATGATTCAACCACAGAAAACGTAAATGTGGTGACAACAGAGCTCGGTCTCGTACCGAGCTTCGCTTTAAAGGGACACAATCAGCTTACCAAGGTCTGGGCGTTGATGAACCCGAGCAACGCGAACGCGAACCCGAGCTGGAGGTCTCAACGACCAATTACGAGCCAATGAACCCTGTCTCGATCCGGGGCTTCCGGAAGCCAAGGATCATTAGCGTCAGATCCTACCGTTTCTGGCCTTGTGCTGCGTCGAAGCGAACTGAGAGATGGTTGGCTACTTAACATGAACGTTGGTCAGTGTTTGTTTCGAAAGATGATCCGGTAACCCCTGGATCCTCGTGAATAGTCCAAGTCAGGAATAGTTCAGAAAGCATTGAGTTTGGGGAAACGCGTGTTGGACCATTTGGGGTATAGGGTACGTTGAAAAGAACCATGAGCTTGTGAGAACTTCACCCTCATCATCTTTGTCGCGGTAACGAGACAAAGTCAGGGGCTTAGAGCTCTTGTCATGCTCTTTATGAATATTAATTAGTATTTGCCTTTATCCGGTTTATTCTTTTGATCGGCAGAGGGCTCAAAGTTGGCTGCGCAAAACCTGCAGGAGGATGATGCTCGCAACTCTTGGGACAGCATGTGGGCGACTTGTTCCTCCAAGCAAAGACACCGAAAGATCTTGGCGCCCCATTTTATAACCACGTTTCTGGATTTTGTTTCAATTGGACTTGAGAATTTGAGTTTAATTTATTATAGATCCTTCTGATTTGCAAGCTTACTGTGTTGACCCCACAGGCATAGTGTCTTCATAGGTGAACCTAGTACAGATCTTTATGCTCTGCCTTGATCATGTCCGCTCCCTTCTCACCCACCATGTACACCGAGTTCTGAATACGACAATCCGGAATGACAGGAATGACAGATGCGTCAATGACACGCAGCTTTGAGATCCCATGCACCTTCAGCTCCGGGCTCACGACGCCCTGGTCAATGTTCTTGGAAAGACGTGCAGTTCCGCAAGGATGGAAAGCAGTCTGGCAACGGTCGAGAACAGCATGGTGCATCTCCTCGTCATTGTCAAGAGGCATCTCCCAAGGGTACTCGGCCAGAACAATGTCCTTGAAACCTTTACCCTTTGTCAGGACGTCGTAGCTAAACCGAATACCCTCCCTCATCGCAATGATGTCGAGATCGTCGGCGAAGAAGTTGAGGTTGATGTTGGGCTGAACGAGAGGATCGGCAGAGTTGAGCGTCACCTCGCCGGGGTCCGAGACTGGGCGGACGAGATCGACGACGACGCTCAGGTGGCAGCCACTCTTGGGGGTTGGGTAGTGCCACTGAAAGGCGCTGCCGAACATGGCAACAAAGTCGAGTTCGAAATGCGGCTGGCCGTCAGGGCAGAAGGGGTCCTTTCCGCCGTTGGCTGCCTTGCGCTCCCTGTATTGCGCGTCCTTCTCGAGATAATTGTCGATTCTGGGGAAGCCGACCATCTCGAGAAGACCCGATCCCATGGGTCCGGCGTGACCCTTGCTGAAGGCGGACACGGCACCATCATGCTTAGGTCCCGCCCGAAGAAGGTGGTCATCCATACCATAGCCGTCCTTGACCTTGAGAACGAAAGGAACACCGGGGTGATCAAGCAAGTTCTGACCGACGTGTCGGGAATCGACGAGTGTGGTAATACCATGCTTGGAAAGCTCATTCTTGGGGCCGATGCCGCTGAGCATGAGTAGCTTGGGGCTCTCAAAGACACCCTGCGAGAGGATGACCTCGCGGGTGGCGTAGAAGCTCAGTTCAGCGCCAGACGAGTCGATGACGGTGACGCCCTTGCACTCGCGGCTCGCTTCGTCAATGATGAGCTTTTTGGAGTGCACCTCGGCAAGGATAGTAATGTTAGGCTTGTTCTTAACAAACAAGAAACTTCCAGAGCGCTGACCCTTATAGATGGTGTCCACACAGTGAGTGAGCCCAATCATCTCACCATCGTAGATGTTCTCAGTCAAAGTGCCACCACGGTCCTTCCAGGCCTCAGTGAGGAGGTCACGGAAGGGCTGGAGGTCATCTAGAAGCTCCGCATGAGAGATGGGAAGTGGTCCACCCTTTCCAAGCTTCTGAAGATCCTTGGGATAAAGACCAAGATCATCGTGGTAGGTGGCACTCTTGCGAAGGTATGGAACAAGAGGATCCCAAGTCCATTCCTTGCCGCCGTATTCCTCCCACATGTCAAACGTGGGTTTGCAACCGGGGATCCAAGTGAAATAGTTCAGCGATGAACTTCCACCCAGAGCCTTGCCGCGAGTATTGGGTTTCTCGATACGCTCATAGTCATCGCGCTTGACCATGGTGGTCTTGTAAGCCCAGTCGTGCTTGCTGCCACGAAGGCTCATGGCAGACGAGGGCGTAGTAATCTCATGGACGTCTTGCGGGTTGGCGATGCCGGCTTCGACGATGAGGATGCTGACGTTCGGGTTCTCGGCCAGGCGACCTGCGACGACATTGCCGGCTGTGCCGCCTCCGACGACGACAAAGTCGAAATGAGAGCCGTTCTTGACCATGATTGATGATGAATGTTTGAGAGTTGTTTGTGTTGTACTGGTTGATTCGATAGTAGAAGGTCAACTCAGGTCTTCTCCCCGCCTTTTATCTTGCTTCTCGAGCTCTTGACATCTTGATCCCCTCACTTTTGTGAGCCACTGCATCAACATGAAATCAAACTTCCACGTAGCTGCCATTCCATCCACGCGGGGTAGATAACTTCAAGAAGAACAATTGGGTAGATAGTCCTTCCAAAACCAGCGGCCTATGTTTACCTACTCCAGTTATCGCGAGGCTTTGTTACATGTGCGGTAGTAATGGATGCTCAGCTCGGAGCAGAGTTTCATCATGATGCCGTCTCAACTCCTCACTTCATGCATAGTCTAAACTCAAGCCAGGTTTCTCCTCCATTATCATCTCGGGCTTCGGCAAGGAGTATAGCCCGTATCGGGGAGCCGGATAGCCGTCGGCCGCCCTTGGCCGGTAGTTGACCCACAATTCCGGCGATGCCGGATGGGGGCCCGTGTTTTGATTGGCATTCATCGGGCTCTGGCCTGCCGAAGGTGAGCTTGGCTCTTTTGGGTAGTACTACTCTACGAATAAACAACCTAGCAATAGAGACATGATCCTCTTCGTCCTCATGCCGACTTCCTACCCTTGCTGCCAGCACATCAGCAACGTCTTGTCTGACATGCCGCCATTCCGTCTTGATTGAAAGCATCAGCTACGTCACTTCTACCATTTCCGGCAGAGGACAACCGTTGTAGGCACTTCCAGGGAATGAATCAGATCGAGGCGATTAGTTATAAAGATGACCGCAGCTGTCATGTTAAGAAGCTTCATTCCAAGCTCCAGTATTAGCTTGAATCCAACCCCCCTTTCCAATCTCCACCAAAAGCTACCTTGAACGTTCACCACCATGGCCCCAGTCTACACCCTGGCCGAAGGTAAGCCCCCAAGTCTCAGGGTCGCAGGACATAAAACTCACTGTCCTACAGGGTGCCCCCAGCCTAGCAACGCAACCAGTGTCCAGTTGCGGAATGGCTCCGGCGGAGGTCTCGTCCTGCTTCAGGACACACAACTGCTCGAAACCTTGGCACATTTTGCTCGTGAGCGAATTCCTGAGCGGTAAGTGTCCCGGCAAGAATCTTCTACCTCTGGCTAACTCTCCATCAAGTGTCGTCCACGCGAAAGCAGCAGGGTATGCCTTTCAAACTCTCGAAAACCTTTCTCTGACGTGATGAAGCGCATACGGCGAACTCGAAGTTACAGATGACTGCTCCGACCTTACCTCGGCCAGCTTCCTCAGCGCAATTGGCAAGAAGACCAAGTGTCTTCTTCGCATCTCAACTGTTGGGCCTGAGCGAGGATCCGCTGATACAGTCCGAGACGTACACGGTTGGGCAATGAAGCTCTACACTGACGATGGCAACCTTGATTTCGTGTTCAACAACACTGTACGTGATCCTTCCCACAGAAGCAGATTAGAGGTTGACGAAGAAAGCCTGTCTTCTTTATCAGAGATCCTGTCAAGTTTCCGTCTCTGAACCGGTCTCACAAGCGGCATCCCAAGACCAACATGCCGAATGCTGATATGGTATGTCCTGATTTGAAACGGTGACTCTTGCTCGATACTGACATGGCAGTAGTTCTGGGAGTATGTTAGGATGATACACGCCGGACGCCGGGCGCAACTAACATTCTACTAGCTTCCATGTCGGCAATCCAGAAGGCATCCACGAGCTGATGCATCTGTTCAGCGACCGCGGCACTCCTGCTTCTCTCCGCACCATGAACGCCTACAGCGGCCACACTTACAAGTTTACCAAGGAGGTTCGTCTCCCCGATTTCCATCTTATGTACTCACCTAACGGTTGCTATAATAGGATGGCTCTTTCAGCTACATCAAGATGCACATCAAGAGCCAGCTCGGCGTCAAGAACCTTGATCGAAAGACCGCCACGAAAATCGCCGGCGAAAACCCCGATTATCTCGTACACGACCTCTTCGAAGCGATCGAGAAGAAGGACTATCCGAAGTGGGACGTGTTTGTGCAAGTCATGAGTCCCGAGCAGGCAGAGAACTACAAGTGGAACATCTTCGACATGACCAAGGTCTGGCCGCACGGAGACTTTCCTCTTCGCAAGATTGCACAGCTGACTTTGGACGAAAACGTGAGTCTCAGCGCTAGTTGGCTTTGAACGATGATGCTGACTTGATAGCCACGCAACTACTTTGCCGACATTGAGCAAGCTGCCTTCTCCCCTTCGACCATGGTTCCAGGATGGGCTCCATCTGCTGATCCCGGTATGTGGAGTGCCAAAACCAGTAATAACTTGAACCATACATTGACAAGACCCAGTTCTGCAAGCTCGCATGTTCTCGTACCCTGACGCCGCCCGTTACCGACTCGGAACAAACTACCAAATGCTCCCAACAAACGCCGCAAAGTCTCCAGTTTACTGTCCATTTCAACGAGATGGCTTCATGAACTTTGGAACCAACTACGGCGACGACCCAAACTACATCGGCTCCATGCTCAAGCCTACCACCTTCAGGACGACAGCCGCTGGGGGCACGGTTTCGCCTACCTTTACCAACCACGAGAAATGGGTCGGAGAAGTTTCCAACTTCACAACCACTGTCGGACCTGAAGACTTTGAGCAGGCAACTGGGCTCTGGAAGGTTCTAGGGAGGGACAAGGGACACCAGGAGAGATTCATTGACAATCTTGCTGACAATGTGGCAAATGTCAAGAACGACAAGCTCCGCGGCATGGTCTATGGTGAGTCAATACTGCCAATGCTGTATTCTTGCTAATCAATTTGTCCTACAGATCTCTTTTCACGGGTCGACTCGGATCTAGGTGCGCGTATCCGCGAGGCAGTTGAGCTCATCAGGCAATCTTAGCTACCGCTTGATGCGCACCATCCATGGACGCCATAGACAGCGGAAACAAAGGGATGGAGTCTAACGGTGAAGGGATTTGATATAGAGATGAGCTACAGAGGACACAGGCGTGAATATACAGGCGCAATGCAGCGTTAAGTAGAATTGTTGAACATTTCTACCATACGAGGTCCAAGCAAGTATTACTCCGAGGGTATTTCGCACAGAGACCTCAGGTCTTGGTACTCTCACGGCTTTGTTGTTGCCAGTAATTCCCCGGCACAAAATCAAAGACCCAGTAACAGTAACTCTCAATATCAGTCTCCCCTGAGTAGGCTGGGTCCCGGGAGGTTTGACACACCGTCGGCCCGACTCGCTCTTGTTTTTTTTCCTACGCTGCCATTGGCTGTGTAGTCCTTCCATAAGAGGACATAGTCAAGCCATCATCGTCATTCTGATTTTGAGCACAGAACCTCTCTCGCCAATCAGGTCTTAACTGTGACATTTAGGGGGCCAAGGGTGAGACCGAGTAATGAGGAAGCGCATGTACAAGTTGTGAACAGGTAACGAGGCCAGCTGAACCCGAGGCCTGGGTCCGAATCCCGTCACCGCTTTATCTTGGCTTGTCCCAGAAGTCGACTCACGGTGAAGCCCCAAGCCATTGATGCACCTCGTACCATGGTCAATGCATATTGATCTTTCCTTTTTATTATTGAGGGGGTATTTGGGATAGTAATGAATCCGGCGTCCACTCCTCATCGAATGCGTCAAATCCGTTGCTTTCAGTGCGACAAAGAATATTCAACAGGCATCGTTCAACTCCGTACCGCACACCGCCAGTCATAGAGGCCATTACCCCCGTCATATTCCGGATGTACTCCATGTTGAGTCCCGCTCTTGCACTGGCGTCAAAGGTAGAGAACAGTGCCGTGTAGAGATTGTCGATGGATCCGTGCCACTGAGGTCTCGCTGAATCGAGGAACATGTTCAAGTACGAGACCAACTGAGCGTCGTAAGATCTGTGACCAGATAGGTCTGTAGCAGGACTGAAGTTGGAGGTGGACTGCTGTAGCAGGATGCAGATAAAAAACAGACATGCCAGCCTCGTAAACTCGGACTTGGTGCAGGCATCCTGTCGTATCGAACCGGCTTCATTTTGTCTCAAGTGTAGCTTCAGTAGACCCAGGGCTTCCTGGATGGCTGGAAATTGGCTTGTCCCGTGAGCGTAAACATCTGGCGAATTGACTCTAAAGGTCCCTACATCCTGTACAAATGACAACAGCCATAAGCAGCGGATACGATGAAGATTGACCGTGTCGCCCAGGATGGGATGCAGGTGGGCGTCCAAATGTTGGCTGGAGAGCTCCTCGATCTGATTGGAGCAGTCAAACCACGACGGCTTGGACATGAGGGATACCCTGGTAGGTGTCAGCTATTATGAGAAACGAGTATGGAGTGGTCGTCTTGCAGGAATGTCGTGAGTCCGAGCCGCCAATTGCTCTGAAGTGCTTCTATCCCACCACGAGCCTGGATCAAGTTTGAGAGGCCATTGTAATGGACGTGCCACTCCGCCTCGGTTCCCCAATATCTCTATAAAATAATACGTCAGTACCCAAATGGAAAATCTTCAATCTCTGCCATACCTCATAAGTCAGCAGGCGCAAGACAGCGGCCAGCACATCATCACTTAGAGCGCGTTGCGGATCATCCATCCAGACCTGGACAATCCGCACCGCTTCAGCCTTAAACTTGAGCGCCTCCTTTGATTGGCGGAGACCCTGCATGCGAGCCAAGTGGGCAGCTGAATGAGCCATGATGGCGTTGAAAGATGCCGCGTTGGACAGGTCGAGAGGACACCAGACGTCGCGCATCGGGTTGAAGGCCTGGCTGTGCACGTCGTCGAACATCATTGTCGCATATGTGCTCAACCCTATAGATTGTATTAGATCCAACTGATACACTGCTGAACGTCACTCACAGTGATGGAGAAGCTTGTGGTGTTGGGTGGTGAGCAGGACTGGAAACTGATCAAAGGGATCCAATCGAGCTGATCCCAGGGCGAGATTCATCCCAGACATTGCTTGACCAGGCACTCCGTTCATCATCGAGTCCATATCAGTCTCAAACATGGCAGGATCAAACATTCCTCCGCCAGCTAAAACGGTGCTCTCCGGGCCCGTGTCGGTCGTCTCGGTTGAGGGCTGTGAGTCGGCCGCCTCGCTCGTTGAAGGTGTTGGCAGCAACACATGCTGAGGCCGGTGTTCTCGTTGCCGCTTGGCGAGATCCTTCTTATGCCTACGCTGCCTCCAATGCTCGCGCATGGCATGGCTTCGGGCGCCATGCTGATGAGGTGTAACGAAGGCATATTCTTTCTGTGGAGGGCTGGGCTTCTGCGGGTTTGGCGGTGTCATGGCTCTAACAAGCCGCGCAGGCTTAGAAGAGAAGGTGGAGGATAACCCTTCAACGGCGGCCTGTGGCGGTATTTATGTAGGCTTGTGAAAAGAGGGCTGGATGTCTTGGTATGAAAGTTTAGCTAACCTGTCAGGGGTACAGAGGTACATGTCAACGTTAAGATGCGGGGCAAGCCCTGAGCCTGTGACAAGGCATGACAACGGAGAAGCCCTAACTAATTGTTTGTTACTAAATGTGCAACTTTTAGACCTTAATCTGACTTCTAATAACGAATCGGTAAGCGCCCTATTCAGCGTGTAGCAAATTAGTCCGACACTCATCCGCGTGTTTTACATCAGACCAGAAATGAGCCTCAAGCATCGATGTCACCGCATTAAACTTGTCATAAGGATGCGCTTGAGCAAAGTCACCGCGCTTTTCGCACAACGCAAAAAGCAGGTCATATTCGCCAGGTAAGAGACCCTGGAGATGAAGTCCCCAGAATATGACAATAGCCCTGTCAGCCTCCAAAGATGCTGCCAGTCGGGAGTTTGCGGAGGTGTGACTGGCTTATTCTCGCAGTCATCCCACTCTGAGAAGGTCTTGAAGAGACCAGGTTCAGGTGTGATGCGTTTTCGTCCTTCATCTCGGTTCCCCGCATACTTCTCCACGTAGCTAGGAGAGGCCATGGACCGAACCTGGCTCTCCGAACGTTGAAAGACGTCTGTTACTTGTATGGTAGGTGCCGGGGCGGGGTTGGAGGTAAATGCGGTAACTGTAGAGGCAGGGCCGGTAGTTGTCGAGTGAGCCGTCGGGAATATGGGGTTGGAGACTGGCGCCGTTGAGGCAGGGGCAGTCACTGTCGAGGTAGAAAGAGAAAACGAGAAAGAAACGGTAGGGAGCGAGGCGTTGATAGGAGATACCGTGGCAGCAGAGGTAGAGGGAGTCGAACCAGTGGTGAGAGCCTGGCTAGTGGGAGGAGCGTCAACCACCAAAGGGTTGTCGGAGGTCCCGTACCCGTCGCTGTGGCCTTAGGAGAAGGGCTGGAAAAGCTCAGCAAGCTGAGAGAGATCGAGCTCGGTCTTCAGCCGGGCGACGGCCGCCCCAACACGCAGTAGCACCACCCCAGCAGGGGACTGTTCTGTGGGTGATTGTACGGGGTCCGGAAGTAGCTGGAGGACATGGCCTTCGATCTCGCCAATATCCCCGTCCTTTCGCAAGTTGTTGGCAGCAGCCTTAAGAATGATAAGATCCTTAAGCCTCGCCTCTTGGTTCGAAGGGGGGGTAGAGGGCGTCGACATGGGCGTTCCATGCCGTAGGGGTTCTGGCCAGGGGACGGGTAGGTTGACAAAAGATGAAGATACTTACGAATGACCTACTCTAAGGATAATACTAAAAATGCATTAAATAAGATATAAATTTTATAAACGACTTTGAGAGTATTACATCTTTTTATGATTATTCTTTTATAATCATTCGAGTAGAGTCGTCTATATATGACATTCGTTCTGTCGTTCTGCCAGTTGTTTTGCATCACTATCTCTAACACGAGAGGATCCGTCCCGGTTCCACGATGCGCGCGTGAGGATGTTGGGAACGGCGCTTGGGGGTTGAGATGGGCTTCGTTCTCCAACAGCATGTCTTGGTAGTAGTACAGCCTGTCATCGCCAACCTGAAGTTCAACTTTGTCCAACACGCCAAGATGCATCAGTCATTCCCTTCTGCACGGCATCTTTTGGTCCCAGGTCTCCGCCACGTGCGGGAAAACAAAATGTTGTAGAGGGAGCGTGGGGCTGAGGTCTGGACGCAAGGACCAAGCTCTCAGAGGCAAAGAGTCCATATCAAGTTCAGGGACGAACTCATGCGTCCAGATGGTCCCAGAATTGAAGTCCGGACCAAATTGCGAGGTGGCGTTTGGCCCAAGGACATACTGCAGCCCTCCAAGCACTTGCGTTTCATCCATTATGGACTGAATTGGATTGAAGCTCAGCTTGGCAATGGGCGTTGGGAGGGCTATAATGCGCTTGTTGGTGTTGTCGCGATGCAGAGATGGAAGACCGAGGATGGTGATGCTCGGCATGTCAACAAGAGCGTTCTGTGTGGGCGACAGCGGCTTGCACCCAGTGATACCATGGGGGTGGGCCATAGATGTCCCATTCATCATGAATGGGAAGTAGTCTACCCGGGACGTCACTGGCAGCTCAGGGCGGAGACTTGTGGCCTTGAGAACCAGGGCCCGGACGCCTGATTCATTCAGAGCGTTGTTCTCGACTCTGAAACCAGCTGCATCCTCTAATGTCAGAGAGAAACATCTTGTGAATGAGCCTGAAGGGATGTATGTACTGGTGGGATTTCGCCGGGTTCATGTTCGTTGATTATGTTCTGTAGGTAGGATAAGATCGAAAGAAGGAAAAGGCATGGAAACATCTCAAAGTGCAAACCTAAGAACCGTGTATGACTGGACTGTGTGTCACTACTGAACTTCTGGCGTTTAGAAGAGTTATATCTAAAGATGTAAAGATTCTTGAATACTTATTATCCTAAAATAAGGCTTAAATATGTACCGAAAGAGGATAATCCTTAGACTATGTTTTTGTCCTTGTACCTTGTCATCATACAATCTCTTGGCCAGAACGTGTGCGAACGTGATATCCGAATCTTCCTCGGAATCTGGGATTACGGTGCCCTTAGGCAGAGGAGAAAAGAGGATATCGTCTTGGTCTTCTTGGGAGTCTGGAATAACGGCATCCCTACTAAGAGGGAGCCGGGGAGAGACATCGTCAGGAGTTGTTGGCTCCCACTCCATCTCTACCTCTGAAGAGGAGGGGGCCTGGGCGCCAGGGGGGGGGGGGGAAGGCGATGACCATTGTAGGTCGAAGGTCGGGGCGCGGAAGAGGAGAAGGGACGGCAGGGGGGAGACGAGCGGCCTCTCTGGCCATCTTGCGGTCCCAAGCCTAAATCGAGCACGTTAATATCATGTGGATAACGAAAGAACAAATCATAAATTGATGAGACTTACAAGATGCGATTGGTTGCTGTAGTGCTTCTTGGCTGCAACCTTGTCGGTGTGGTTCCAAATGCCACGACACTCCATCCCAGGGATTAGGCAGCTGCGGCCTCCTTTCAGCTCCTCAAAGGTGAGGCTCCAGTTGGGATCGGAACTGGTGAGTTGGGCGACAACGGCGCCCAAATTCTCTTCGCGAGCAAGCTCGCAGAGAAGCTCCAGCCTGTCCTCAGCGTCGTTCTCAATGACGGAAACTAAATATAAATTAATATGCTATACTCTATGTATCTCAAGACTTTCGGAATCCTACCTGGCATCTCGCGGCGAAGAGGAAAAGGCCCAGAGGGCACCTCAATCAGAGATTGGGAGAATGCCTGCAGCGGAAGGGGAGTTGGAGGAGCGGGCTACTGACGGGATTCACAATCCGTAAACGGAAAGGGCACAGCGGCGCTGGTGACATCAACGAATGTTTTCGACATTGTAAAAAAAGTTTGGGGGAGGCCGATAGTGAAAAGAGAAGATGCATTCGTGAAGGTGGCCATTTTGCATCGAAGAAAGTCTCATGTGATGGGTAGGCACCTAGTTCGGGAAGGAGCAACCGTCCTTGGGTGAAAAGTGGAGACGCACGTGGGGTGCGACAAGAGTGAAGAAATGAATAAAGCGCCAGAACGACAGAAATCCTTAGCTATTACTCATCATAAAGATAGGCTAGCATAAGTTTAAAATGTGCTAATAAAATCTAAAGATTTAGATCATGTTGTCATTTACTTGTCGGCAAAGTGAACAAGACTTCTGACCCTTTGCTGGTATTACGCCTCATACACTTTGTGAGGCCCGCTGCCGCTTAAATATTTCCCTAGCACTCTCTTTGAAGTCTAAGTAAAGCAGAGTTCTTATTTACTGATGAAAGCGAGAAATACGGGTTGATCTCAGTAAGTGTGTCTTCTCGCTTGCTGAATCAGTAAACACTCAAGGTCTGTCTTGGCGTGGCTGCACTACCCAGATGGCTGGCCTTAAAAGAACCATGAATACGTCTACGAACATATTGTTCATTCTTATAACCCTCCATACCTGGCTCATCGCGCATGTGACCATTGAACCATTGGTATCGACTCTGGTGAGGGAATCCGGTACATCGAGGGACATACAATCATATTTATCTCGTTTCCGAGTAATAGGGTTATGAGATAGGAACAAACCTTCCTGGTATACAGTTGAGGTTGAGTTTCCGGAACCTTAATGGGCCGATCTGGGCCGATACTAACCCCTTTTGCTAACTGGTCGAGGATAGGGTTTTGCGAGCGCATTATCACATATGTGAATGGCCAATAGATTTCCTTCAACTCTATCCAATGGACGTATGCCCAGTGATGTGTCTTTGAGATTGCTTGAATGGTTACAGTGCAGGAAAGTTACTCCGACCAGCTCATATACGGAGAAGAGCAACATATTGTTGAAAGAAATCTCCTTCGCAGGATCTTAGTTTCTCTTTTGCACCTCTTCAAGTAGCCTGGAATTGAATACTTTGGGTTGTTGATCCAGGAAAAAGCCCAGTGACTGGGAGCTGCCACACTGCATACATGTGACATTGCAGTAACACCAGTTGACCTCCCGTAGATAGGAAAGACGTGTGTGACTCCGTCTTCGGCCGACTGCATTGAAGTAGAACAGAAGTATTCCACCTTTTGGCCAATCTAACGCAGCCGAGTACGCTTTGTCGATCATCCCCTAGAAAGCTACATCATGAAGCTTATATCAATCGTTACTTGAATAAGAACCAGACTGCCTAAGTCACTGTGACTTGAGTCTAAATGCAATTATCATGCCATTCTCATCACAACAAGAAATCCGAGATCCGCCTCCCTGAATCCCACTACCCATCGACTGGCTGTAAGTGAAGCTAGTACGAGGTCTATTGCAGAAACATGGCGATATTTTCAAGGAAAGTGAAACATGGCCTTCCACGACCGCAGATCCGAAAGCAGAGAGCTCAGTTTGGGAATGGGATGGTTCAGCTCATCTGTCGGTAGTGACGTTGAGGCTGCTGTGCGTGCCTTGAATCAGCTTCCTATTGGAGCCCGCTTGAACATCTTTGGTGTATCTTGCAGCACATGTCTGCAGCTCGAACGAGACACAGAGCTCCCGCGAGACATTGTAGCTTCTTTCCGCAATGGGGTTGCCTGGTAACCTTGATGAGCATGCTTCATATGGGGTATCGGTAATTTCTTTACGACATGGCGAATATCACCGGGGTTTGAGGAAATCCATTTGCAACGTGGATGCAGATACCCCATTGATATGAGCTTGTTGGATGTACATAAACAAAGCTCAGAGCTGAATCTGACACTCGCCACCTCCATCCTGTACCTGACTAAATCTGGAAGGCCCCTCTCTCGGCATTCTGTCTTTGTCGCCCTGCTTGAAATCTTGCTCGCACAGCATATTTACACACAACTGTCAAGCGGGGTCGTGAGACACAGGCGCGGGGTTGTAAGACACAGATAGCTCATTGATCAACAGCTCGACGGCGCAGATTCTTTGCAGAGATCTCTGATTAGCTAGCTCTGAGACATTGGCAAGCCGATGAGCCGAAACGAGAAAACAACGCCCGTCGGGAGGAACCTAGTGCCCGTGGATAGCTCCCGGCGATCTACACCACTTTTATAAACCATAGGGTTTGGATCCGTCGTCTATATAAACCTCAGAGAGCTTCCAGTCTTTCAATTTCATCAAACCACTCAGATCACCTTTCCTCATCACTTCTTCTTCATCAATCGTGACCCCTTGAGCTTTCACCATGTCTGGCCTTCCCACCGCCCCCGATACCGAGATCGGCTTCCAGCCACCTCCCTCCTTCGCTTCCCCCATCGGACGCGTCGGAAAGGGATTCCTCCCCCCCGTCGTGCCCGTCCCCGGGGAGATTCCCATCCACTTTAACCCCGTCATCGTCCTCCTCATGGGCTACCTCGAGAAGGCTGAGCCCGGAGCCCTAGATGAGGCCGTGTCTACTGCCTATGAGCAGATCCCCGAGTTCATGGACAAGTTGAAGATCCATGATTCTCGCTCCTTCCTCGTCTTTGCCAATGATCTCCTCAAGTGGACTCCCACTGAGAACTTCGAGGGCAAGGATATCTACAACATCCTGTGCATGTTCTACTTTATCATGGACCAACCTCCGATGAAGGGCCTCCAGACTGAGATCAACCCTAATGAGGTTGGTCAGCCACTTACTTGGCTATCGTCTTGGATAGTCGTCTATGCTCAGCTCATCGGCCTCTTCATGGATACACCGGCATCCATCACGCCTGAGTCCCTTCAAACCTTCAAGGACTCACCAAAGTACAACTACGATGAGGCCCTTGTTCCTCCTGGTGGCTTCCGAACTTTCAACGAGTTCTTCTACCGGAGGCTCAAGCCCGGCTCTCGGCCTATTGCCGACCAAAACAACGACAAGGTCATTGTTTACCCGGCTGATTGTACCTACGACAACTCGGTGCCCAACCAGAGCATTGTCAACATTCAGTCCGATGGCCTCATCTACATCAAGAACCTTCCCTGGACCATCAGCTCGCTGCTGCAGGGCAGCCAGTATGCAGAGAGCTTCCATGGCGGTGTCTGGATGCATGCCTTCTTGAACACTTTCAACTACCACCGACAGCACGCACCTGTATCTGGAAAGGTTCTTGAGGTCAAGAACATCCAGGGTGCTTGCTACCTTGAGGTCAACTCCAAGTGTGAGCCGATCCGTGTCATGTGCGGACCGGATGCTCCAGATACCCCTGGCTACCAGGTAATTCTATCAAAATATGTTTATAGTTTAACAAGCTAACATGACCCAGTTCCTCCAAACACGAGGCCTCTGCGTAATTGACAACCCCGTCCTCGGCAAGGTTGCTGTCCTGCCCATCGGTATGGCCCAGGTTTCTTCAGTCAAGATGACTGTCAAGGAGGGAGACAAGCTGCAGAAGGGTGATGAGATCTCGTACTTTGCCTTTGGAGGAAGTGATATCATCTGTGTTTTCCAGCCCCAGGCTGGTCTATCGCCCGACGACTTTGTTGCGTCTACTGGCAACACGTACTCCAAGATGGGTACTGTCCTGGCTCGGGCTCCTTGAGGGTGTATCAAGCGTTCCTTTGATTAAAATGAAAGAATAGATGGCTGCTGGGGTGAAAAGGCTAGCTTTGGGATTATAACTGTATTAAAAACAGCCCCAAGACACAGTTGCTACTCTGTAGTTAGTGCTAAACAGCATGGTGATTTAAATCTCGACTGTGATTAAGCTACAATTTTCGAATGTGTGCTTCAAGCCATGACCTAACTTACTTCGAATGAGTTGGATGCATGGGGCATGTGCATTATCGGCCTCATGGCTCTGTAATAAAACCGAATTGATTAGAAAAGTCGCACAGCAAACTCACAACGCTTTGAGAATGAATATGGGAACGAATGCAAGCAAGAGTAGGCATCAAGCCTTCAGATATTTTTCGAGGCCTCGCTACTCTAGTAACCCGTTATGTACAATATCATGGCTCATAGACACGTTCTATACTCAAACACACAAACTATCAACAAGAAAGACATCATTTTAACCCGCCATAAATCCCACTCTAGTAAACCTTGGTGATGGGGGTCTTGACATAGGGCTTCAGGCTCGTCTTGCCGTTCAGCTCCTCGTAGACGGCCTGCACGAAAGCCTGGGCGACGGCCTTGGCAGCAGCAGGGCTGGTGTGGGTGTGGTCCTTGGGGAAGAAGGCGTTGACGGCGTCCTTGCCCAGCTTCTGGTACATGTTGGTGACGGCCTGGAAGTGGTCGACGTAGGTGACGCTCGACGAGGCCAGGGCCTTGGTGGCGGTCTGCTGGTAGCCCACGAAGCGAGGGGCGGCAGAGTTGAAGGTGCCGGTCTCCCACTGGTTGTTGGGGGTCTGCGAGCTGAGGATGACGGTGGCACCCTTGGCGGTCATGAGCTTGGCGGCCTGGCTGACGTAAAAGACAAAGGTGTAGACGGTCTCGCCGGTGACGTCCGAAATGCAAGTCTCCTTGCCAGCTCCGGGGCAGTCAGAGCGCTTGTTGTCGTTCTTCTCAGGGGAGCCACCGTCGTTGTGACCGAACTCAATGACAACAATGTCTCCAGACTTGACAAGGTTGGCAACCTCCTGGAAGCGACCCTCGTTCCAGTAAGAGCGGGCGGATCGGCCACCAATAGCCTTGTTGACAACAGGGGCAGTCAGGTATTGGCCAATGTAGTTGCCCCAGCCGTCTGTAGATCCGTCGTTGGCACCGTTCTTGGCCATGGTGCTGTCACCACAGAAGTAGACAGTAGGCGCAGCGGCAGCGCTGATGGCACCAAGGGCCAAGGCCGTGAGAGAGGAAATAGTAAACTTCATTTTGACAAGGTGCAGATTATCCAGAGACTGAGCAGAATCGACGAGGGTGACCTTAAAATTGAGGGAGTTCCTTAGGTCGTATATATAACAAACTTAACAATCTATATCAAAATAGCTATAGCCAAAACTCAATAAACATGCGGTCAATGGCGCGTTTACGAAACAAGACAGTGGCATGTCCTGCTCCGTGTCTACTAAATCGGGACATTTCACCCGTAAATGCCAAGGCCCCTATGAGACGTGGGTTGATATTTCCCGCCAGTCAGGGGTTGACGCCTCGACGATCCCGGCAGCCTGACCCTGTCGGAATGAAACTCGACCCGGGGCGGACAAACAAAACGATTGATGGAATCCTGTGAGTGGTCCCGCTGTTACTTTGGGGAAAGGACCTCGTTCCTGAAACTCTGACTTCGGAGCTGTCGGCTTCGTCCGTTGACCTTCTCCTGCCATGGGTTCAATGGTGCGCTTAGTAAAAAGGGTAAAAGCTTAAAATGCCGACTTGGCAGGTGACCAACTATAAAGTCGGACTTGGGGATTGCGCATTTCCTAGGTGGTTTGCGTGCGTGGGATGGTCTCGGGACTCTTTCCAACTCGGGCACTGGGCTCACCTAGTATGAAGCTAAGTCATCTTTAATTGTGTATGTTGAGTAAAAGACGGTGAATTAAACGGACCAGCGCATGGAAATATTCCGTGGGGAAAGGTATTGCCTGAGAGACCTAATTCCGCTCGGCCGGATGAGCAGGGATGTTGTGCCTTTTGAGCGAGGCCTCCTGGTCGACTATGATTCTCGCGGTTTGAAAGGAACACAATTGCATACATGACTTATAACTATGTGTGTGTCAGAAACACGTGCCGATAGTGTTGATGTGGCGACGCTTGCTGTTAAATAGCCAGCTGCACTGGCAATAGTTATGTAATTAAACAATGCTTATTAAGACAATTAGTGTCTTTCAAAGATCATAATATATAAATAGTATTTTTACCACGCATAGAAGTAGACTTCGTTGAACTTATCCGCTCGGGAAGCCCAGACATTGCATGGAGGAACAGTCGAGATGCTGTTGTTTTGTTAGTATCAATAACCTCCGTCAGGCACAATATAAAAGAACGCACTAATAAACGCATTATTAATTTTTCAACGACGTCTTAGTCGTACGCAAGATACAATAACATGCTAAAAAACACATGACAGCATCAAAACCCAATGGTGTAAAACACCATGACCTCTAGTTCATAAGGCTCTTTAGAACGAATGGTTTCTTTCAACACCACGAGCAAATCAATATTACATATATCACGCAGTAAGCTAGTCCTTGTCAGATTTGCTCACTCGAGAAACCTAGGCGTTGCCGCGGAGCACTGAGCTAGATTCTACCTCACTCTATACCGGGGACCTCATAGTGTTTCTCGGTATTAGGATTTAGTTCTTAGCTACTGTGGCTGATCTAGCCATTCTGCTAGGTTGCTGACATAAGGCACAAACTCAAATTCACTTCGACTTTTACACGCCCTAAACTTCTTCCCTTCCCCTCAACGCCTAATCATTAACTATTTAGTTTACCCAAGACCCAGGGCTTTATCTCACAATGGTAAACCGCGGAAAGCCATCGCTTGGCTGTTTCACCTGTAAAGACAGTCGAGTAAAGGTATGCAACCATCCCCTTTCATCTGTCGAGTACCTACATCAACTCTGCATTCCCAGTGCGATCTTCAAAAACCCTCCTGCAAACGCTGCCTGCGCCTAACTGGGCGCTGTTCAGGTTATCCCTCCTCCTGGGAACTGGTGCACCGTCAGCAGAATGCCCTCGTTGCGCAACAGGTCCAAGCCAGAGTCGACAAGCAGAGAAGGAGGCGAGACCTCAACGAGGTGTCTCCCCCCCAGCCATCGCTTGGAAGCCCCTTTACAGTGTGCAACGTGTTCAAGCTCTACGATGACTACTTCCTGAACTCGGGTATGGGCATCTTTGAAGCCCTGCCGGTTCTCGGCTCGGGGAAACACGCCCCCTGTTTCTCCCATGCACTCAACGCCGCGGCTCTAGCCAGCGGGTCAGGGCAGCTACATCAGTCAGATGCCCTGATCCGGGCGAGGCAGTCTTACGGAGACGCCATCCTGATGTTGAGGCGGTCAATGCAGGACTTGACGATAGGTGGTGATGATTCTATCCTAGCGACCCTCTTTGTGCTCGGTTTCTTTGAGGTTTGCGTTCCTGAGGTTATTCTTGTTATCTCTACTAATAGTGTTGCTAGGTCTTGGTTCAGCAATTGCCTCGTGCAGAAGTACAGGGAATTGGTGTAAAATGTCACCCACATGGCAAAGGAGCGCTTGCGATGCTCCTTTCCAGGGTGCAGCGAGGACTAGATACGCAGTTGGACCAGAATCTCTTTATATTCTGCCGCCATATAAAAGTATTTCACCTCCCTTGCCTACTCTTCCTGCAGCTGACACCCCCGTCAAGATCATGGACATCTTTTCCAAAAAAGCAGACCCTGCGTCATTAAGAGCCGAATTCGAAGGCCCGTGGATAGCCTGGCCGGGATTCTACCCCGTTGACCCAATTGTTCAAACGTCAGTCGATCTGCTGGCCGAAATCGAGAGTACAGTGGGATTGAATCACTCCAAAACGCACATTATCAATGTGGCCGACCAAGTTCGGCGCGTCTTGGGAAGTCTTGATCTTGTAGTTTCTCAAGTATCGCCCGATACTAGCTCTCCTGCGTACTTCAACGGACTTTTGAGAAATGACTCTGCTACCTCGGCCGCTATCGCTAAGAGTCTCTACCTTACTGTGCGGTTACACCTCGTCAATGCACTTCTACGATCTTTCGACGCCCTGATTCACGTCGCGGAAGCCGACGATGATCTCCAGTCCCGGATTCCTGAGTGGCTAGTCATCCAACAGGAAGCTGGACTACGCACACTCTGGGAGGAGGTCACGGCTGCGCTGGCACCTAGTGAACAAGCCACCGAGGCCAAGAATGCATCTGGGACTGCATCCCGCATGTTTTGCCTGTCATGGCCTATGGCGGCTATATCACAATCAACTATGGCCAGTGAACAGTGTAAACGTAGAGTGTGGGAACTAATTGATAAGCACAGTGGGCAATAGGGTTCAGTTTATTTGAGAATCAAACATGAGGGATAGCGAGAACGAAACGTTCACTCAATTTATCCCCAGTTCCACGGCTACACGAGGTCGACCTTCTGCTGAGCACCCTCCATCGGTTGAACCCACTCAATCCTTCTCCTGGTAAAGATCTCAGCAACAGGCGCCCTAGCGTTGACACGCTCGTCGCCGTTATCGATCGTGCCGGCCTTCAGATAGACCATGCCCTGCGTGGCAGGCCCGTCTCTCCAGAGAGTAGTGCCGCAGTTGCCGCAGAAGTGGCTGGTGACGGCGTTGCCGGTATTGGAGGCGTTAGTGTACGTCTTGGGAGTTCCGTTCACGACGATGAGCTGCTGCGAGGGGAGGACCCAGTTGAAGCTGCAGAGGGAGCCGGAGATGCGTCGGCAGTCGAGGCAATGACAGAGGGCCTGAAGGTGTTAGTTGGACTTGCAATGCAGGCTAGAACAGGAAACACACTTGGGCAACGGGATCACCAGAGATGGTGTATTTGATGTCGCCGCAAAGACAGCTGCCGCTCATGATGATAGATGGGGCTTGGAGATGAAGGGCTTGAAGAAGAGGCCAGGGAGTAAGATAGAGAAGAAGGCAGAAGGTTATAGAATGAATAGAGGATTAAAATGATTGTAGTATTAGAGGAAGTAAAGGGCGGCTTTATAGCAAGAACCTCTGCTCAGACCATGCCCGAGGAGCCACTTACACGAAGCCATACTGTCAGACTTTTGGCATGTTAGTGGTGGATGCATCTAAACCATTTCGAGATAGCCATGCGATGCTAGAATATAATTGGTCGCTCTGGTTCATTCGGCCTTGTGGTTTCTCCGCCACCAAACAAGTCTCGGCCTGACCGCCTACTCCGAAGTATTAGATCACGACCCGGCATCAAGAGAGAGCATTGAAACATGCGGAATGATATTGGACCTTTCGGGCTCGGAAATTAGCCAACTCCGAATCATGGCGGCTGGTCGGCAGACGGAGGGCTGGGAATGAGCCACGATAATTACAACTAAACCATTTTGGTGCATGTTTGCGATATAGTTTGGGTCGAACCTAGCTCTGGAAGGTCCCGGCCATTTCAAAATACCATTAGTCGTGTTAGAAGAAAAGGTCGAAGCGGTGCATAAGAAGGCCGTGGCAAGTCTTTGTCTTCCTAGCCATCATCAGTGTTCTATCTTCTTCTGCTATTCACAATCAGATTTATTCATCGGGGTATTCCCAATCATGCCCTCTCTATCCTCCATCCAACAGGCCAACTCCCAGGCTGCCAACAAGACTCGAATTGTTGCCGTGATGAGTACGTTAACCCTCAATCTCGGAATAACATGCTAATGCAATATCAGTGGGAGGCACAGGTGGTATCGGAGCCGCGACATGCCGCGAGTTGGTCACCAGTTTCAAGGAACCGACGCTCTACATCGTCGGCCGGAACGAGTCAGCGGCATCTCGCCTCACAAAGGAACTTGAAGCAATCAACTCCTCGGCTGAGGTTCGCTTTATAAAGAGCGATCTCTCCTTGATACGGAACGTGGATAACGTTTGTCACTCCGTGGCTCAAAAGGAGTCGGCGATCGACCTCCTTTTCTTGACCGCGGGTATCTTGAACCCCAAAGGCCGCAACGGTATGCCATCTCCACAGTTATTCGAATCTTGACAACTGAAGAAATGTTTAGATACGGAAGAAGGCCTGGATAAAATGTACAGCCTCATGTACTTTTCTCGCATCCGAGCAGTCGCCAACCTCCTCCCCCTTCTCAAAAACGCCGCCGCCAACGGCCGCCCATCCCGCGTCATCTCAGTCCTCGGGGCAGGGAACGAAGGCAAAATTTTCAAAGACGACCTGCCCATGAGAGACAACTACAGCCTGAAAGCCTGCTCCCGACAGGCGACAGCCATGCATACGCTGTCCCTCGAGTATCTCGCCCGCGGGAACCCCGATGTTTCGTTTCTGCACATCTACCCTGGCCCTGTCCGGGGGACCAATATCATGGAAGGGTTTGGGCAGCCTTTGAAGGGGGTCATTGGGGTTCTGATGCTGCTTGCTGCGCCGTTCAACATGTCTGTGCAGGAGTGTGCGGCGAGACAGCTGTTCTTGATTACCGCTGAGGCTTTTAAGGCAAAGGGAGATGGATCCAGATCGTCCTTGGCTGTGTTTAGGGTTGGCGCTGATAGTGACATTCTTCCCGAGAGTCCGCTTGTGGTTGGGTATCTTGAAGATGGGATGATGGAACGGGTGTGGGCGTTTACGGAGCACACGTTCATGAGTGTCCTAGGTAGCGGCAAGGAATCTTGAACTGGTGACATTCAGGACAGGAACTACAGAATTCAGCATCTGGTTCTGCAGCTATTATGTGTTTATTAGCGTGTTCTTTGATCTTGTATACGACCGAGAAGTCATTGAAAAAGAACTACAGAATCTCAACCAAAGGACCAGTGCGGTCAATTTTGACGCCGAATCGGCTAGGCGTGGTCTATCTTTACGTTAGCAGCAGTCCTAAATAGCCTCAGATGAACTTACCTGGATGTAAAACACCCCATCCTCTAGAACGTACTCATTGTACGTCTCGTCTATCTTGTCCACAACGCGAAACACAATCGTGTTCTTCTCCACAGCCTCAAGGAACCCTTCCCTCAAAACATCATTGGTCCCAAAGCCATCCCCATTCATCCTCGACACGAGAGCCCCAAAGTACCACCTGATCTGATCGCCCATGCCGTACCGCCAATTCTCAACTGCATCAAACCCAGTTGGGATCGAAAGTAACCTCCTTCTGGAGCATGGCGTTGAGTTTTTCCTGTTTCTCTCCGATGCGCTCTTGGCACTTGAGAGTCTCCATGCGCACGCGGTAGCTCATTGGGCCAGGGTCTGCAGGTGCGGCATCGAGTGCCTCCTTCACGAAATCAGTCATGAGGGCGTTGTTAATGTTGATTCCGAGCTTCTCAGTATGAAAGATCATGACCTGCTCGCCATCCGGTGACACTTCGCAGCTGCAGTAATCAGTCTTTTCGTTGGCATCGGCGGCCATAGTGAGAGTGTGGGCGGTGCAGAACTTCCCCCAAATTGTTGACGAATGTTCCAAAGTTGAATATGGCGACTTTGACATAGCTAGCAAAATTCAGCGTCATGGTTCCCGTAAAATTCTAATTTAGGCCGCTTACTCTCTCATCACTTCGCCAGTGTACCTCTCGGCCCAGCTGTCCTCCTCTGCGTACGGCCAGATCTTGTGGGGATCGATGTCAATGATCCATGGCTCTCCAAGGATGTCTGAGATCTCTGTCTCATACTCGGGCTTCTTGGGATCCCACTTCTCTCGGACTAGCAAGTAGTATCTTGTAAGTGCAGCGACGGCGTTTGTGAAGACTTGTGAGACATACTGTCACCACTGGCATATAAAGGAAGCTTCTCGGCAGGTGGAAGAGACATGGTTGCGAATTCTGGTGTGGTGAGATTTTCAGGGTGTTGTTCAGGGTTGATCTGTGTATCCGAATTACAACTAGACATAGGACATGGAGGTCTTTAATAGACAGTCCAACATCTCTAAAGAAGCCTGTCAAGCTCACCATCTCCAACCCCAGTTACAACTAACGCAGCGAGTCAGTTTGCTCAAGGCTGTGCTCAGCTTTACCCACCACGTCTCACTCCACATCCTCATCTCAAGATCACTTCTTGGCGGTACTCAGCACCAATTGCAATCCCCTCGAGTTCCCACAAAGGCGGAAACTCACAAACAAAGTAGAATTAATCCCCAGTTGTCAACTTTGCTGCCCACGTTGACCGGGCGTATGCACTCCTGCATCAAAAGCCAGTCCGATACCCGGCTGTATCATGTCGATCAGGAGGCACAGCTATCTCAAATTTCCTCTCATTTAAGCTTAGAAACGCCACTCACATGAGCTGAAGTGTTGGCTGCTTGGCATTATCACGGCGGTTACACCTAGCTGTCCAATTCCAGGACGGAACACCTGCCAGTGGAGTTGGAACCTCGCTAAACAAAAAGAATAAAAAATAAAAAATAAGTAAAACGTGCTTCGTCCAGGAGATCTGACTTGTCCAGGCTCCTAGTCGTGTGAATCCCCCGCAAGAAAGTCTCGCTCAACGCCTAATCTCACAACCAACAAACCGCTCAACGCCAAGATCCCCATCTAGCGGCTCTGGGGATGACCGACATCCGAGCCTGATCAGCTGCCAAGCCAATACTAGGGCTCGGCCGAGAGCTCCACTGCTGGCTGCCTTGAACTGATCGTGATGGGTAAGGAGAGAGCCTGTGTTGGCGAGGGCATTTCCACCCTCTCCTGTAGCTGAAGAGGCCTCAATCTTCAGGGTCTCACTCGAGTGTCTTCAGAATGTCCCAACATCCAGCTCAGAATTCCACATTTAGAAGCCATTTATTTGTTGAGGTAGTCATGTTATGTGATTTAGACCCTTGGCTAGCTCCTCAGAGAAAAGTGTACTCGATCATAGATCAACAGACAGATGCCACGGCGACATCTTGATCATCAACACTCCTCAGTCGCACGATCAAATACCTATATGCACCACAAGGCGTCATTTGTGGTACACAAGTTTCATGAGCATAGTTACAACCCTCCGGCTTCTAATTGCCGGGAGTGCCACCGCCGGGTACCTGAGCGAGAACACCACATTTGGTAGCACCAACACGTCGACGGCACTCATTTCGTTCCCCGGACTGCGACGCCTCTCCCAAGACAAGTACCATACGTTTTGCAAGAGGCAATTCAAGTCATTTCTCGAGCTTCGCCTTGAATATCACAGACATACGTGCGAGATACATCACAAATACAAAATAGTTCATTCGGCATAAGCAGGAAACTAGATTAAGAAAATGAGCGCTCATCTACAACAGATCATGATCAAATGACATCCCCATCATTCATCATGATCCGTACTAACAATCAAACTCTTCCACTCATCCAAAATCCCAACAGTTGTCTCACACTTGCCCCTAATAAAAGCCTCACAATCCTTGCCCAACACAATCCTAACAGGAACCTCCCTTCCATCCTTCCTCGTAAGCACATCAACAATAACCTGACACCCCTTCTTCACATCTCCCTCCTGCGCGTTATCCTTCTTGTTCAGAACCCTCCTCGTCTGACCCGTGGGCGTGTTCTCATCTTCGTAGGCGGCGATGCGCTGCTTTGTCACGACTTTAACGCCGGGGTTGAGAAAGTTGGTGCGAAAGTATCCGGGCTCGACGACAGTGGCGACGATCTTGAACGGAGCGAGTTCTTCTTTGAGTGACTCTGCGAGTGAACTCACGCAAGCCTTTGTCATGGCGTAGACGCTGTAACTCGCTCCTCCATTCCAACTACCCAAGCTTCCAAAGGTGACAACAGTACCCCTTGTGTCATTCTCTCCAATATCCTGGGCCCTCATACCAGGCAGAAACGCCTTGATAGTATTAAAAGTCCCAAAAACATTGGTGTTGAAGCTGTCATACACCTCCTCAGGCGACGACTCCTCAACTGAGCCCTCAAGAATGAAACCAGCAGCATTGATAAGATAATCGACTCTTCCATGCTTAGCAAAGACGTCCTTTGCAACAGCTTCAACGTCACTCAGAGGTGAGGTGACATCGAAGGAAATCGTGCACGCGCCCGCATCGGCGAGATCTTGGATGCGCGAGGCGTTACGAGCTGTCGCGACGACGATGTGGCCGAGTTTGAGTGCGATGAGGGCGATCTCACGGCCGAAGCCAGATGAGGCGGCGGTGATGAACCAAACAGGAGTAGGAGCCATTGTAGAGATTGGAAAGAAGGCGTTTGTAGGTGATCAAGCTGGGGTGAGTGTGATGGTTTACCTGAATGGCTTCATGGGCGGCTTTATAGAGCTTCAACAGCTCAATTGACATGCGCAGCTGAACATGTTCAATTATCTCCGACTTTAACGGACCAGCGCCTCTTACGGGCATTTGATATATCGCCGACTGATCTGCCCATCTCGTCTTCCTTTCGCGCGACGACAACAAGTTCTGCAGGTGGCTTGACAGGCTATTGGGCCTATCGCCGAAACGTGATCATCGGCCCAGGCTGTGTGGTGGTGATGTCGGCGATAACCACCACACCAGATGCACTATGGATCATCAAAAGCCACTGGAAAGATCCTAACGTTAGAAAGATGTGCAACCAAAGGACATAATTTTGTAAACTCCGGCTCGTAAACGCCTCTCCGAGTCCAAATCCGGTGCTGAGCCGTGACAGCAAGCCATCGGCGATAACCTCAATTGACCACCAAGAGTGCAAATAAACAAGGTATCGAGCATTGCATTACTAGGATAAATCCATACACTAAAACTATCATTCTACACGCATCAACCATGTCAAGCCAAGCCAAGCCGAAGCCCCCCAAACGCCGTAGCCGAAACTCCGGGCTCAAAAAGCACATCATTCATCCAAGGCCATCACGGCAATTTGATACAGGCCAGGCCAGTCAGTGAATCTCAAACACTCTAATCGTTCTCCTCATCGCCAGACCATGTTAGGTTGGCTCTGTTGTCGACGCACACCTGCGCCTCCAGGTCCGACTCCGACACCAATAGTGATCCGGCGAACCTGTCCGCCAGCCATGCCGCCCTGAGGGCTTCCTCCAGTGTGTTCTGTTCGAACACCACCACCGTTCATGTTCATTCGCCTAGCCTGACCTGGTGTCAAGGCCTTATCCAGCTTCAAGTCTGTAGGGGAGCAGGCCATGGGTGGGCTTCTTCTCCGCTCAGCACTACCTCTGCGGAGTCGAGAGATGCCGTTGGCGCTGCTGGCGAGGGCCGCAGGCAGACTAGGCCTGGGTCCAGCTCGGTCGCTGCCTAGTGATCCCACCGATGATACTCTCCTGGCGTTGGATGCAGCTGTGCCCGTCATCATGCTCGCCCTACGAGCCTTTTCCTTCATGGCAGAGTGCAGAGCGTTGCGGAGCTTTCGAGCATCAATAGTGGTCGTCTCCGAGTCCGATCCAGATCCTGGAGGGTTGTTCTCGTCGCTGATGGTCGGCAACAGTCGTGTCGGGCGAGGGATTCCCAGTCCAGATGGCGATGGCGAAAAGTTGCCAGTCTTAGTGACATCTAGTGATCGCAAAGGTGGTGTTCGCTGGGTTTCGGGTGAGTTTGACGACAAGTTCAAGCTCATTGATGGAGGCTTTGGAATAGGGGATCCATCAGGACGAAGGGAGTGTCTAGCACCCTTCGACAGGAATCCTGCCTGGAACCTGCTGGGCTTGGCAGCTCCCAAGCTGCTGACCTCAGGGACCTCGAGACTAGGGCTCGATTCATCGTTCGCAGACTCTTGTGGTTCCTCCTCTTCAAGGTAAGCTGGGACTGCGGGGGCGACGATGGCCTTCTCGGGAGAAGGCTGCGACGGGGACGAGTCGGTGAATTTCTGGGGTGTCTTCTCAAAGTCGGCCAGAGTGCCAGCCTCCGACTCGTCATCTCGCCATCGCACTCCTCCCTTCTTGTTCTTCTTCACCGGGGTAAAGCTGACGCCCTTCTTGGAGGCTCCCAACACCCTACGTCGTCGAGGGGATGCCTTCATCGGGCTCGTAGGAGCACCCTCACTCGGGGCGGCCATGAAGACAGGGGGGGCAATGGGCTTGACGTGGAGAGATGGTGTCTTCTTTCGTTTGGGCGTGCCGCGGCGAGTAGGCGGGAAAATGTCGACCACGGGCATTGAGCCGTCAGGCTTGACAACCTGGCCAGCAGCAGTGTAGCCGGTTTGAAGAAGACGGTTGATGATCTCCTTGGCGCGGGCCACAGCTGACTCCTCGTCCATGCCCATGGTGTCTGAAAGAGAGGCGAGGGTCTCAAACTGAGCAGTGAGGAGCATCTGAACCATGGCTGCATCACCAGCCCTGTCCTGCTCCAGAACCTCGTGGTAGGCTTCGCGGTCAAAGTTGGCCTTGAGGAGCTCGGCTTCACGGGTGACACTGTTAATCTCTCCCATGTCAGCGCCGTCGGTGCTCTGAAGCTGCTTCAAGCTGTGCGATAGAGCTGTATCGATGGCCCGCTCCCAACTGGACTTTTGCAGCGCCTGATGAATGTGGTGGCGGCTGTTCTCCAACTCGACGAGAATACCTGTCGCCGTCTTTCGAATAGCCACAAGGTTCTGCGGCATGGACTCTTCATCGCCTCGCTGGTCGCAGACATTATCAAAGGCAGCGATCCATCCAGAGAGCATGCCGATGCGACGCTCAAAGCTCTTCAACTTCTTCATGTTGCTGATACGCTCCTGACGATCAGTAGCAGAGTTGTCGTAGGCCGCCCGCAGTCTCTGAATACCCTCACGAGCCGTCGAATCTCGCTTCTCGCACTGCTTGCGGAACTTGGCAAAGAAGATCTTTTCCGCGTCCTTCTGCTGCGCCTTGAGCTCGTTGATGAGAGCCATCTGCTCGTCAATCTTGACCAAAAAGTCCTTGACGTGTCTGTTGACGTTAAAGACATTCCGGGTAACCTTGGTCTGGATGTTCTTGGCTCGGTTCGCGTATCGCAGCGTGTTCTGGGTCTCGTCGAAATGCGCGCTCGATGGTGAAACACAAACAATCATGACGGTCTTGCAGTTACCACCAAGGGAGAACTTAAGAAGTCGAGTAAGCTTGCTGTTTCGGTAGGGAACGTGAGCCTTTTGTCGGCGGTCGCAGAGAGCGTTGATGCAGCTTCCAAGAGCAAGAAGAGACTTGTTGATGTTGGCGCCTTCTGTGAGACGCTCGCCGCGGTTCTTGGTGACGGAGGCTCGCTCGGAACCGGCAAGATCAATGATGCTCAGTGTAGCCATAGTGTGAGGCTCGTTGACATCGGCGTTTCGATCCTTTTGAGCAATGTTGATCTGGAGGACGGCGTGGGATCGGGAAGATGTGGCGTTGGCCTCGGTAGGGGACACAGTTCGGTACTCGTTTCCTTGGACAATGATGTCCATGACTTCTTGGACATCCTTGGGATGGTGACTGGTGAGTCCAGAAACCGTCACCGCCTGGTTGCTGTCTTCTCTGAGCATCAGACCGCCCTTGGGCCCACCACCGGGGACCAGCAAGTCACGAATAGTCTCATTGTAAATCTCCAGGTAGCTAAGGCTGAGCTCCGTGGTCTTGTCCTGGCTCCGTTCCTCAATCTTCTCGAACAGTTCTTGCATGGTCATGAAGATGATGCCGGGTTGTTGGGCGGTGCCAGTAATGGTATGGGTCTTGCCGCAGCCGGTGGCGCCGTATGCGAAAACAGTCGCATTGTAGCCGTCGAGCACACTATCGAGCAGGGTTCTAGTGGTTCCTTCGTAAACCTCGGACTGGGTCGTCGTGTCGTCAAAGACTCGGTCAAAGGCAAACACTTGGTCCTTGACCTTCTTGGAGCTAGGGAGGACGGATCGGGAGAACTTTTGGATGGGGTTATGCTCGGGAGGATCAAAGACTCTGTGTCATGTCAGTGCTTGCGAGAGGGGAGAGGTCAAGGTCGCGCGCGTACAAGCAGCGGTCGTCGACGACCTTGATGACGTTTCGAATGCCACGCTGGTGCAGCTTCGGAGCGGGGACGGCGGCGAGAGAGCCATCGCCGAGAAAGACTGTTCCATCATCGTTCTTTTGCCTGCAAAGAGTCAGCGATCGGTGCCCAACACATGGGAACATACTCCATACACTTGCGCAGCTTCGCGAATAGTGAAGGGCCGGACTCGAACTAAGACATGTCAGCAGCAGCTCCAACGCCCCGAAAGCAGGGAACCTACCGGCAACAGTGATTGACGACTGCCCCGTATTGGCCATGATCTCGTTCCTCTGGCCGATTGCGTAGTGTAGATAGCTCCCCTTCCTTCGAGCACTCCTTCACGGATCGAAGAAACGGGAGGAGGAGTCGTTCAAAGTAAACAAAACAGCTCAACGGCAAAGAATACAAGGCTCGCGTATGCCAGTATTTCCGACCATGAAAAAAAAGAAGAAGAAGAAAATGATCGAAACGGACAAAGATGAATTGAGTCCTACCTGTCTGGCTGTTTGTTAGTGTGTTGAAGTGGAAAAGGAAAGCCTTCTTCAATTTGGGATGAATTGCCCGAGCACGGGCTCCAGGTGACGTTTAGTTTGTTTTTGCATCCTTTGGGCGCGGTTGCTGTGGGAACGCTTAGCGCCGTGTGGCTCTCAGGGGTGTGCCGGGGATCCCTGTGCGAGCTCTGAGCGGGTGTGGTCAAGATCAAGGTTCGAGAATACCCTAGAGATGAATGTTTGAATGGGGGTTTCGAGGCATATCTTGAAAGACGGGGTTGAACTTGGTCACTTTCAAGATATTGTCAATTTTCTTAGAGCTCCAAGCTTTTCACTCTTCTCAAGAGGCGTCCCATTGACGAAATATTCACATGTGGTGTTTGTTAACCTTGGCCACTTGAAAGGCCATCACAACAACTTGTGGAACAACAAACATTGATCGTCGCTGAAACAGACCGCTGTTCATAACACAACATCCTTGGACTATTTTCGGAGATGAGAAAGGATGCATGATTGCTCCCCATTAGTTGAACACTAGCATGATAACGATAGCTCTTGTATTCTTTGTCTCCAGATGAGTGAATGCTTCACATCGGGTCGTCGGCACAATGTTCAAGTACACAGACATGCGCAAATCAAGCACCATCACATTAACCGTATAGTTTACAACCCAGGACGCCAACCATGCATATAAGCCTAGAAACCATCACAGCCCCTTACACAAGATTCCACTCCCTCCACAAAGCTCACCACGGAAAACGGGTACCCTAGGCCCCAACCTCTGGTGTGAACTGATACCGTGGTAGAGCAGCCATCCTCTCCTCGGGGCTGACCTCGGCATCGTCGTAAAACATCCTTCCCTTCTTGTCCTTGTCCTTCTTCTTCTTGTCGCCCTCCTCTCCCTCACCCTTCTGTGGTGGCTTGATACCCGCCTCGGCCATGCGGATCAGCTGGTCAATGTCGTCACCAGCAGCGGGTGCTGCACCGTTCCATGCGCCGCCCTGTGTCGGTCGCTGAGGAAGACCAGGAGGAGCGGGAAGGTTGCCTGATGATGGCCTCGCGGGTAGCGAGTTGGGAGAGAAACCGTAGGGTTGCGCAGCCGGTGCTGCTTGTGCAGGATACCCTGGTTGCTCGTAAGGTGCTTGTGATGTTTGATAAGGGGGAGCATTCTGCACATGTTAGCATACGTTGTAAAGAACAGACAGAAAAACTCACAAAGGTAGCCTGGTTCTCGGTCGTCGTCGCAGCCGCATCCACACCTCCATTAGCAGCAATATCCTTCTTCCTCGCGCGAAACTCCTCCAGCCGCTTCTTGAGCTCGCTCGCCGATTCAACCTTGAGCTTCTTTCTGGGGTTGTTCATCGCCTGGCCAGGAAGAGGATTTCCGGTCGCAATCTGCCTGTCTTTTTGCGCCTGCTGGAAGTTCTGGAGGATGCGGTTGCGGTGCTGGTCGAGGATGTCCTGGGGGATACCCTCCATGCCAAAGATCTCGACCTCGAGGCCCTGTCGGTTCGGCAGCGCGTTTTCGACCTGCGAGAGGTTCTCCTTGTGCACCTGGTTCATGTGCACGGAAAGACCTGTGGTGGCGAATTGTCAGCGCGTTGTCTTGACCCTGATGTTATAAAACTGACCTCCCGCAGTGTTGAGTCGACGACCACAGCGGTCGCATTTGAAATGCTTGGCCTTCTGATGAGAGATGAGAAGCTTCAAATCTTCAAAATCACGCTCGCCTGCAATCACATGGTTAGTATCCAGCCATCCAGAATGCTAGGCGCAAGGTTCGTACAGTAGTAGCACCACGGCCGATGGAGGATCTCCTCGATGTCGGGGTGGCCGCGCCTCTTCTTGCCCATCTTTTCGATCGTCGCAGCGAGTTCGCACAGATAATACAAGGGTGCGCGCAATGCAATTCGAGTGCGCAAGAGCGTGCGCCTGATTAGAGTCGATTCACAGTGTCGTAGGCGTGGAACTTGCTGAAGTGAACCAACGCGACAAGAAAGAAGTGGGTAGCTCGTCCGGTAAATGGTCGGCTGAATAAGCTTTGGCTGAGCCACAGAGGCGGTGCACGTCAAACACCACAGCCAGCATCACGACGCGTTATGACAGTCAAGGCTTGTGAACGTTGATTGCAACTTGTGAATTAAATTTGTACGTCTATAAGTGATATTTACCGTAAAGTTCGTGATGCACCACCGCCCATAATTGACTCCATACCATCTCCCATGACCCCATGACCCCCATTACCCATCCATTCCCACCCATCCTGGTCACCCTCATTAGACATCTTGGTATTTTCCCTACCAGCAAGTATCGCGCCAATGAAACCATACATGTCATGAACCAAACATGCCATGGCGCCTCTTCCCATGAATTGAATGCCTCGGGTGGCACCAGCCAAAACGCCCCAGTCCATGCTCCAGAGGGTACAGGTACAAACCAGTTAACAACGCCGTATCCCATCAGATGTCATCAAAATCAAGACCCATTTGACGCCACATGGTCAAACAGCATCAAAGGCCATTGGCCCTGTTGAATGCTGGTCATATCGTTCGTTGAGGGTCCGGCTGTGACGCCTGGGACGCCCGCGCCCGAAGTGGCATCACGTGTGGCGCCTCCGAGCGTCAAGAGTGCCGACGCACTATACCGATCCTGATTATCGGCAATGGCGGTAGTCCAGTCGTGCCAAGTGTTTCCGCGGCCTTGCCATAGCATGTCGGCCGTGGGTTGAGACGCCACTTGCTGTGTCGATTGCGTGGTGAAGGCAAGCAGTGGGTTCGCCTGCGAGGCAGATGTCGGAATTGCTGTTGCTGCTACCGCTGCGGCCGCTGCCTGAGCACTGGTGCTGTAGAACATGGCCTCGGTCTCATAAGCCGATGGAGCCATTGTGCTTTGCGTGTGCTCGTTGTAAGCCAAGGCGGGATATGGTGTCTGCCCGTTGAGGCCTGCGTCTGGAAAGTAGCCTTTCGATGACGGCACCTCCTGGCTTCCTCCGCTTGTAGGCGCGGATTGAACTTGGGGGGCAGTGTAAGCCGAGGCCTGAGCAGGCTCTTGCTTGATCTCGGGCGTCACAGCTGGCTGACTCTCCTTGTTCTCCTTGTTGCGCATGTCATGCTCGATCCAAGCAATGGTGCGGTCAATGATGTTTCTAATCTCAGCACTGAGATTAGGTCCCGAGCCTGGGCGTATGTTAGGGCTGACTGATGAACAAACTGTGAATGTGAATGTATGGAACTTACCGAGCAAGGAACCAACCTCCTCGAGAATGCCGACCCAACCGTTCATCTCCTCCCGTAAAGTGGCAATGGCCTCTGGAGTCGTCTCAAAGCGCCTCTCCCACATGGCCACGAGAAGCATGAAGACTCCAGCCGTGTACATGGAAGTCTGGTACCATGTTGTGTCGAGACACTTGTGCTTCTGAATCTCGAGTTGGCAGTGAAGCATTCTCCTCGAGACATCCTCGCAGATGGCCATGTTCTCAGCCATCATCTTCTTGTCAGTAGTCATAGCCACCGAAGGATGACGCAGACAAAGACGGAACTCGAGCGCCCATGTCTTGCAGTAAAGAGCAGGCATGCGAGTCATCTCAGTCTGTTCAGAATGGTCCATCTTAAGAGAATTAGGCAGCTCATCTTCCCAGTTCTTGATCTGGGTTTCCAGAGCGTTGACCACACTGACATAATTCTGTGGATCCCTCTTGACGCTGTAGACGTTGGAGTACATCTCCAGGTAGATGGGGATGATTTTGAAGCTGACAATGCCTGGCCAGTATCCGCAGGGGATGGAGCGGGACGTATCGACGCCTTCATCCGACAAAAGCTCGTCAGCGATGGGCTCGGGGAAGCCGACGTCGAATTCCTCAACCGTAATGGGCATCGGCCTTCCACGACGCCCGGCAACAGCGATGTAGACAGTCATGATGACCCAGAACGCTCTCTTGCGCAATTCGTGCTGAAGATTCGTAGGCTCGCCAGGCTTCCTCGACTCTCGATGGAGATTCATCTCAAGGGCGCGTTGCAGAGCCAAATTAGCAATGATTGAGACACAACCAGGCTTGGGGAAAGCTCTGGTATGCACCGCAATCATAGCCATGGCCTGGACTGAGGCCAAGTCGCGGGAACATGTCAGCTCAAAGAACTTGCTGAGTGCAAAATGGTAATGTTTGTTGGACGACTCGTTCAGTCGAGTGCACTGATCAGCCTGCTGCCAGTTTCGAGTGCCATAATGAAAGTAGATCATGGCAAACACCATGTGAACAATGACGGATTCGGCCACGGTTGGCTTGAAATTAGGTTCATCGTACATGCGTGTCAACTGTTGACCGTTAGCAGAAACAACAGCGAAGTAATGGAAGATTGGCTCACCAATTGCATAAAGGAGGGCTTGTGAAGGATAGGGAGGAAGGCAGACAGAGTGAGAAAGTACCAATCCGCATAAGTAAAGGCATCGCTGCGTGATGGCATTTCGACATGCTGAGGAGGATTGACGTTCATGATGGACTGCAGAAGGGCTTGAGGGGACTTGTTGTACAACGGTGCAGACACGGCTGCATCAGCTGGAGGCTCGTCCATGTCTGCGGCCTTGAACGAGGCGAGATCAACTGTCATGCCAAGGATGGACAATCGAGTTCCCTTGATGGAGCTCAGAGGGGCACTGTCGCCTCCAACTCCAAGATGACTCTCCTGGGGCCGTGACTCCAAGAGACTTCGAGGGAAGCTGGGCGTGAACTTTGGCTTAGCCGAGTTGTTCTTGACCCATGCGCTTCCAACCTGTGACCATGTGTCGCCCGTATTTGGATCAGGAATCGGATTTCCCATGTCGTCAAAGGACACGCCAGGAGGATACTGCGCGTAGGGGGCCCATTGCCAGGGCTTGACCTCGACGCCATTGTCGCCTAGCAGCTTCTCGAGGTTGCGGATATGTGACAACATGTCGCTCTTTTCCCTCTCCAACTCTTGCAGATATCCTCTGCGCTCGGTGCGCCCTGTGACGCGGTCTGTGACATAACACTCGAGGTTCTGGTTGGTGCAATGGGAACATCCCTCTGGAAGAGCATCGCATCGGATCTTGCGAACCTGCAAAGCGCGCGGTTAGTATCTCGCTGAAGGGGGCCACCCTGGGCCATGACGTACCTTGCACCGGTCGCAAGCTTGTCCCGTACGCGTATACGACTGCAATCGGTTCTTGACAACGCTGGAGAAGTCGTCAGGGCCGCGCTCCAGCCTCGGCAGCTTCACCTTGCCTGGAGCCTGGATGGGGCCGTCGTCTTCGCCGTTGCTGGCGGGTCGCTTCGGAGGTCGTCCGGGCATCTTGGGTTTGGAGCGCGGGGAGATGCCCCTGGAGGAAGAAGGTGAAGTTGTCGCTGACGAGACAGCAGAGGATGAAGCGCTCGTCGCGGACGTAGACGCGGCTGTAGCCTTGGCTTTGGCCTTGGATGTGTAGATCGCGGCGGGCTGGCGCGGGCGCCGCCCAGTGGGTTTCCGTCGAGTCGCAGGTGCCTTTACAGCAAAGGCCTGAGGATTGAAGTCGAAGATGCGAGGATCAGGAGCCCAGGCGAGGGCAGAGCAAGACTGCGCGTCGAATGGCCAGTTAAGAGATCCTGGCTGCGACGGCAACGATAGTGATGAGAAGTTGGTGATGGGAGAACTGAGGCTGCGCTGGGCGACGACATCCATCATCGACACCCAGGATGGGCTGGACTGGCAGTCGAGGGACCTGGAGCTGGTGCTGCTGCTGCTAATGGTCGCGGCGCTAGAGGCTGCTAAGGCTGCTACTGGGTCTTGCACTGCCGGCACTGTACAAGGGACGGGCCCAGCGGGGAATGCGCTATGCATTAGCGGGCTTGGGCGCTGCAGTTCCGGGGTGCTGGTGGAGGCGCAGGGTGGCCACGACGAACCCCCGGTTGCGGGTTGGGTGAGTGGCGATGAAGGGAGTCGACGGATGCTTGTGATCGAGACAAGGCAGCCGAGTCTGGACTCAAGCCGTGGCTGTGTTTCTTTGCGTGTATGAAACAGCTGAAAACTATGACTGGTTTGAGATGGATGATCTGACAGGAGCTGACGGGAGTAAGGCGGTCCTCTAGATGTCTTGTCTTGAAGCCAATGTGTCTCTTGGTTCTGACAACTGAAGTCTGTTCAGCTATAGGTTGATATACGCATCCGTAAAGCACGGCGACGGAGATAGCGATCAACAGATTCATCACTCAACGGCTCTCTTTTGCACAGGAGAGGCCGCAATTCGCTTGGAAGAAGCAGTCAGAACACGTCTCCCCAACAATGGAAGATGTATTAGCCGGCGAGATATCATGCAACGAGTAACGGAGATGCCTTCTAGAAGAAGAACGGCATTGCAGGGCATGCCTCGACATGTACCAGCAGAGTCTCTGGTCCGAGCAGTTGCCAGCCCGGACGCCTCGCCGCCTCAGCTGGCGCCCTGTCTGGGCGTTGCAAGGGGCATTGGATGGATCGCTTACTGTAGAAGGTCTAGGGCTTCCATGGGCAAGCCACATCCAGAGAACGGGAAAGCAAAGGAATCATGATTCTGTGGCTGGAATCGAGAGAGCCCGGAGATTCCGTAAACTTGGACGCTCTCGGATGAGGTGCTTGATGACGAGGTATGGAGCTGGATCAAAGGAAGAATTAACGGGTAGTCCTCAACTGCAATTCTGTAATGAGCAAGATCAGAGCTGCAGAGGAAACCTGCTTCAACCTTCCATGCAAGCCAGGTCTCTCAACCCCTCGTCTGCGACCTACCTTACCAAAGTATGATCCATGCCCCATGTCATGCTGCATTGGAGCCAGCCAGCCCTACCGACTGCGCGGTGCCCTGCATCTGCTTCTCTTTGGTCGCCTCGTCTCGTGCCTTGCTGAACGTCGGGTTTATTGTCCCGCTCCCGCTACAGCATCTGTCAACCTTGTACGGAGGTCTCTCTCAAAAGTTTTGTCCAGGAGCTAATAGCGCCAAGGCCGCTTATCCCTGTCGGTACCTGAGGTACTTTGGAGCAAATCTTTTCAGTTACTTACTCCCTAAAGCTATAGGGAGGGCTATTGGAGCCCAGGGGGAAATCTAGTGAAGCTTAGAGAGCTATATCCTTAGAAGATAGGGGCTTCAAAAGCAAAGAAAGAGGACCATAAGTACCGATGTAACTGTGCTTGGAAAATGGCCTCTGATTGGCTCGTGTATTTGTGTGGCTTGAGGGCCAGGACAAAACTTTTGAGATAGACCTCCGTATCCGTAAACCAGACCTCCCCGCCAGCTGTCTGTCCTGTAGTAAGCCCGTGGCGCCGGCCTAGGGTCGGCGATTATGGGAGGCAAACGGTATTAGCGGAAGTCTGCTGGTCGAGATGGTGGTGAGACGGAGGATGGCACAGAGCAAGGTCGCATATCTCGGCTCTGTTGTATAACGGGGTGACGTAAAACTGCAAAGTCAAAGAAGAGGATAATTGAGAGTTCTCTCTGTTCATCTGGGACGGAACGAGGGAGAGCCGAGATTCGTGACGTGGTTGAGAGATTTGAGCCTTCATTTGAGTGTGTTAGTGCTCAGACAAGAGACAACAGAACTTGAAATGCCATGTTAGTGGAACAGTGTGTATACAGTGCGAAACATGTGACGGTCTAGACTGTACACCACCCCGCCGCACCGTCCATCTCGAACCTTACCCCTCCACACCAAAAGATCGAGCCTTTACTTTGCGCGACAGCTTTGCGACGAGATAACGAGACGGACGATTAGACCTACGACTACGACGACGACGACAACGTCCCGCGCTATACCACATCGAGGCTTACAGCAAGGCCAGCCGAACTTTTGTTGCGCACTCCTCGGATCGTCCAAACGTCTCCTCAGCCTCCCCTCCCACCATGTCTCTCGAAACCGTGACTGTCGAGCATCTGCCAGCCTCGCACAAGGTCCACGTTGCCCTATTCCGTGACGTACGGAATGCGGCCTTTTTGCACCAGCAGCTCCTCGGTCGGAATCCGGCCTTTGAGTACGCCTTTATCGATGCCTCCGTGGTGAGTTCCGGTCCCATCACATCAGTCATCAACGCTCGTGCCAAGTCCAAGTCGGAGTACGCGACTTTGACGTCTGGAGCCTGTCGCTGATGCCAGATCCCCAACAGGTCATTTCTAGGCTTCAATTATTATCCGCCGTCTTCAAGGCTACGTCGGCGGCCGTGAATGGTGCCTTGAGGACCCCCAACGTTCACTCCGAGATTGTCTCTTGTATGAGCTCTTCTAATAACGTACTATAACCTCTGTCGACAAATTTGCCCGAGACTGACCCGAATTCAGATTGCCGATGCGTACCGCCGATATGGCATCTCCCCTTCAACCAAGGACCTCATTGTGGTCAAGGTCACCTTTCCAGCAGACAATGGCACAGAGCCCCTGACCCATGACCAAATTTGGGAACATCTCAAGACCAATGTCGAGGGAGAAGCATCACCTATCACAGATGAGCAGATCGCTACTACCAGTGACGTAGCTAAAGTGCGCAAGTATTACAAGCTGAACGGCTTGAAGTGGCTCGATGAGATCAAGGACAACAATGTCAGGCATAGGGAGATGGAGTCGCTCGTCATCAGTGCAATGGCTCTACGTGGAGTCTGAATACGATATTCACCCTGTCACAATGCATTCTCGCCAAGGAGTAACACGTAAGTCATATCTTCATCTATGCTTTGTCTATCTCAAGCATCGAGATCCTAAGCGCCCCGGACTCCTGATCGCTACCCATGATGCAAAAAAACATGATATCAAATCCTTTTCTTTTCCCTTTTTCCTTTCTTACGCCAAGCCGACAACGCTCTTGCATCGTCGGACCAACTCGGACCACAGGGCATCCCGGCTGCCCTTGGTACGCTGGACGGCGTCCTTGTTCTCGTGTGCTCGTCGAAGGAGATACTTCATGCACTCGCCAGTAGTTCCCCAGACGAGGTACTTGTAAGCGGGCAGGACCTTGGTCTTGTCCGCCTGGCCGGCCTCGACTAGCTCGCAGCTGACCTCATCGGCCATGCCCTGAAGCTGGGCAAAAGCAATGTCCGACTTGGCGCGGCCAGCGTCGCAGATGGCACGGCTTCGGCGAACAGACTCGGCGTTGTGCGACGCAATGACGAGGCTGGTGGCGGGGTACTCACCCTCACCCTTGACATCAGCATTCCACTGGCGGGTGAGGACACTGGCGGCGAGAGAGTCGTAGCAGGCGTCGGTCTCCTCCTTGGTGTCGTGGAAGAGCTCACGGGGGTCCGAGTTCAGGTAGGCGCCGCGGACAAGCTTGACACCCAGGGCAAAGTTCTCGACCTGGGCGAGAGCAAGGTGTCGGGACAGGACTTCGGGGCAGTTCTTCTTGTAAGCCTGGTATGTGCCAAAGATGACAGCCTCACCAAGGCCCTTGTTGTACTTGCGGGTGAACTCGAGAGTCCAGTCGTCGATGCCGTCCTGGAGCATGTCCTGCTCGGCGTCAAAGAGGAGTCGGACACCTCGCTCCTGGGCAAGCTGGCAGATGGAGTCGATGGACTTGTACAGGGCAGGGCTGGGAGGAAGGCGATCCTTGAGCTGATACAGAGCGATGCTGCCGGCGCCAGTGAACTTGAGAGCGACAAAGTCACCAGGCTCAGCCATTCGGACCGTCTCGAGAGTACCCTGGGCCCACGGCACGATCTCGTCTCGAATGCATTCCTCCGTCTCCATGGCACCGTTCTTGAGGGCACCGGCCTGGTCCTCGGTAAGGACGACCTCACGGGCATAGTTGAGAATCACACCAGTGAAGCCAATGTTTTTGAGTCCAGCAATAGTGGCCTTGATCTCGGCGGGGTTCTCGCCGGCGCAGAACTGGGCATAGAAGGTCTTCTTGAGGAAGTATCGGAGGACGGGGTTCGTGTCCGAATTGAGGATGGAGTTTGTGGTGTTGGCCAGGACGTTCATGATGCGCAGCGAGGGAGGCAGAAGAACAGGCGATGACGAAACGATCATGGTGGCCAGAGATCGCACGATCATGCTCAAGGGCAGGACGGAGAGGGGCGCACGACCGGTACCGACGGGAGGAGGGATAGGGTCGGGGATGGGGTGCTCGGCGAGTGTGGAGGTGCGTCGCTCAGAGGAGTGGATGTGACGACGGGTAGCCACATTGGCCTTGTTGATGGTTGTGATGGCGATGCATGGTCGGATGGTAGCGATGTTAGAGGATGCCGCCCAACGCAGGGGCTGGCAAGTCCCTCGCCGAAGGGCCAAGCTCATTATATCTTCTGGTGTTGTTGAAAGGAAGTTGGAGGTTGCTAAGTGTTGGGGGAATGGATCGGTTTGGAGGGATCCAAGAGAGGGCGAAGCTGACGGTGAATTGGTGTTTGTTTACGAGTGACGGTGCGTTGGAGGTGGCAGCAGATATAAGTTTGGATCTGATAGGTTGATAAGGTAGGTAGCTCTCGTCGAGAGATAACAGGGCGTCAATGGGAGATAAGTTTATTTTTACCTTTGGACCAAAGTTTCTGTCCAAGTAGTGCGAGGGACAATGAACGGGTGGCAGACCTTAAGTACTTGTATCCATGAGCCGTACCTGAGCGGCGTGCGCAACGACGGAGGTGGCGCTATCTCCAGCCATGGTATGGATATCTCTAGTCATTGTCCCAGTGCCAGTCCCATTCCAGGCATTTCCCAGCTTCTGAGTCTAGCTCCCAGCTTCATTAGCCCCTGCTTCTCCGCAAACGCCGAACCGGGCCGTGTGCAATTGGCAAGGACAGGGCCGAGAGAGGTTACCGGGACGGGGTGAATGACCAACCAAACCGACGATGCCTTCAAAGCAAAGCAAACGGAGCTTATCAGCCATCACGTGGCGAGGTCGACGCCATGCAAAACATGGTAAAGAGCGTAAAGAGGGTCCAAGATGTAAAGGCCGAATCTAGCCGTTGCGTGGGGGAGTCTAAGAGAGGTGAGTGCTGATTGGGCGGGAAGCGCCGGGGACAATGTTGAATGCGAAAGACGCCTTCAAACTGGGGGACATCATGGGGACAGCACGAGACGTGATGAGGCGCCGATGCCGCAACAGGCCGATACAGTTGTCGAGTCAATTGGTGATGATGATCTCGGGATAGGTAGGTACACACATGACTAAGGCATATTGTGGGAAGCTGAGATTTGCATTTACATTTGTTGATAGGAATTCCTAACCTAGAAATGATCGTATAGTACACGTTATGCTCTGCACACACAGAAACACAGACATCGTGATATCAATGTCTTGGCCATCGTGGGCCTCCAAGTGGTGATAGTGGAGAGGGGCTCTCGGCCGGCAGATAAGGCTCGATGCAACCCCCTTGTGCCGAGATGATGGCGGCTCTGCTTCTCAATCTCTGGCCTGGACCGGGCTAGTCGGAGTTCCATCAACCAATTCTGCAAAGCTTTGCTCGTCATGCCTCCTCATCTCCTCATTGACATGGCTCCACAAAGACCGAGCAAAGCCGCTCGCCGTCGGCCACGGGAGAGGCGCCCACACCAAACAAGAGGCCACGCCGGGCTCCACCCCGGCAATGGCTGGGTCCTTGTGCCTTCGCCTCTGCTTCCCCCAGTCTTCCTTTTCATCCCCCAAAAAGTCCGGGCCGCCGGGCTCAAGATGCTGGTTGGTCGTCCTCGTGATCACTGTGGGACTGACCAGAACCTCGTCCACCACGGCGCCGAAGGAACTCGACGTATCCGATCGGTCTCCCTCGGGCTAAGCCGACGAGGTCCTGGATGCCACCGTAGACGAGTCCAAACATGAGCCCGTACCTGGCGGTCCGGGCGGCCGTTGTGAATGACAAGCGATCTAGACGCGAGAGGCCGAACATCGGCGCTTGTTAGCTAAAAACTGGTTCCACCACCTCTTGTCCACGTCGCAATATCTACCCGTCGCTTTCCATGCTCCACGGGAGGCGGCGCAAGAGGCCCTGCACGAGCTCGTGCCCCCATTCTCAGATTCCCCATATGGGGTTTCTGTGAATAAGGTGCAATCCCGTTCGTCCACATTGCAAAAGGTTCGGGAAGAAAAGAAAGAACAAGGGCATCAAGGGATTGACCACTTACGCCAGAGAGAAAATGCGCCAGCCACTGTCAGGGTGGCTATGGTGGTGGAAAACATGTCGCTCGCCCCGCGATATCGATCAACCGTGCTCTCGAGGGACAGGGCCATCATGCTCCAGAGGCCCGTCTTGAGGCCCATGCGGAAGCCCTCGCGTATGCCGCCCTGCATGGCGTGGTAATTCTTGCTCTTGTGGTAGAAATACCACCCCGTCGTCGTGTCTGGCATCTTGTGGGCGTGCTCGGCCCGGAACCGCAGCTGCGCCATCTGCCCACCCTGCGTGGCCCCCAGGGAGAAGCCGATGAGGGCTGACGATATCGTTCCCAGCATCAGCCGTGTCGGCGTTGGCACGGAGAGGCGAGGGAAGGCATCCTGGGGGAAGGCTGAGGGAGGTTCAAGGTCAGATGGCAATGCTGCGGAAGAGGGAGCCCAGCCGGGCCGAGGAGATGCTGGAGTAGTCATTGGATGTATCTGAGTTTGAGGGTCGATCTCTGTCTCTGTCTCGTCCAATCTCGAGGCCGAGCTTGTTGCGAGGCTCGGTGTTTGAGACTGCTGATTTTCGAGTGGGCCTTTTGACTCTCTCTTCAAGTCACGCGGGAAGAGGGATGATGCGTGTGGCCGGAGTTGGCGATTCCGGCGGTATTTCTCGCTAAGGACCCAGTAATGACACACGAGAGGCTGAGGTTTGTAATAAATGCTGGTAGAGCTGGGAAGCCCCCATGTCGTTTCTTCTCGTTCGAGATGCAGAGTCGACGTTGCTCCAGCTCCATCGGATGGGAAGAGGCTCTTTTTGACAGTGTGTGTAACAAGAGGCACGGTATTTTGCACGGCTTGGCTCTTGGCTGCAGGCGGTTCATGCTCAAGACGTTGCAATCACAAGTCAAAGGGTCAATTGTTTTGAACTGGACAGTTATTATTGGATTGCTTTCTTCCATTACTCTTCTTCCAATGCTTCCCTACGCACCCCCACCCAAAGCTCACATCTCAACCAGAGCTGTCCTTGCAAGTGTTGCCATCATCTGTCATGCTTTGCTGTCAAAGACCCTGGACGAGATGACGTAGCAGAGGCATGTGCTCTCTAGCAATTGACACGCAATCAATCATTTTTCGTCATTTAAAGGCCTAGGATTATGATATACAATCATGATCCTTGTTGAGGCTCTGCCTGTTGTCACTGTGCATCAGGCAGCACCACATCTATGAAGGACCCTCACTCTACGCGTAGCCACGTGACCTCGCGCACACAGTTCGCGACAAAGATGCCCCTCATCAGAACCAAGATGAAGCGGCGGCATCCTCCAGACCGCCGATATCAGCTTACTCCCTCCGCAGATCGATAAGATGGTGAGAATCCCTCGCCCGTCCGATGCTTTTGTCGATCTATTCGAAAGCTAACCCTTGATAGGAGCCTGAGGAGATCGGTGACGCCCACATCTCGGTGCGCTTCAAGCACGGCATCCATACCATCTACCTCTTTGTCGACTCCCTTGAGCCCTTCTCCAGCGTCACCAACCAGCTCCTCGATGTTCTGACCGAGAGATACCCCAACGGACTGACCACGTCAATCGCGCCCCCAAAGACGACCTCCGTCACCGAAGGCGCAATACTCGCCTATGGCGCGCTCAAGAATGCCAACGACCCCACTGCGGGATGGAAGAAGCTCAGGATCGGGAATGGGGACACACCGAACAAGCTGGGGTTGAAGAACAATAGTCTGATTGCCTTTGCGGTGGTGGATGACGAAGACGAGGATCCCGTGTTTGAAGTCGAGTGGCCTAGAGAGGATGAGGAGCTGTATGAGCAGCAGTGAAACCACTGAGCATAGGGACAAGTCATCACCACCCACTTGCCGAAACAACCCATGGACCCTCGGGATCGGTTTACGTTTGCGCCTCAAATCCATTGATGATCCCACGTTCCGATAATCGAGATTGTTCCGGGAAGCGATGAGGCGGCACAGTAAGTTCTCGGAGCCGCCATGGTTGAGGGCAAAGATAGAGCCCCTCAAACCAGAGGAGCACCCCTCCTGACTAGGATTCAATTGCGATCTCGAGTCATTTGCATCACAAGTTGGCGCATAGAGTCGCGAAAGGACCGGCTAGAGAACTAGAGTACTTGAGCGTCGCAATCAACACGCGGCGGTGTCGCATTCCAAAGACCAAACAAAGACCATTCCCATCTCCTCCAATCATCTGATCTTGGCATGAGTCGACCGACAAATAAAGGGCCTCCCCGTACTCCTTAGTCGTGCGCAAAAAAGGGGTTCTGGTCTGGACCATCTCGAGGTGGGACGTCGTCTGACTAAGCCCAAAATAGTTTCACGTGTCGCCCTCCGGAACCCTTCCACACCTGCTATTCTTGGCAGTACCTTGAAGACCACTTCACTCCTTTATTGTTCCCTTCGTGTCTTTGCGCCGTCGCATTCAACGCCTCGTTGCCTCTGAAAACATTTTCAACGTGGCTCTCGTATGACGTTGGCTACATGATTGTCGTGGCTTACCTTCGCCATGGCCTGCGCCTTGTGGTGCCGCTGGCGGTAGCAATCACCGTCTACCTGTATCTTTTCCCAGTCATCCAAGGATGCGCATTTCCTGTCGAGTCGAAAGACAGTAAGGAGGCGTTTGAGTTGACAAAGAAGTTTCACTGGCCTTCGAAACCTAGTTCTGACGACCGTGCGAAACTCGCCCCTTTCCGACTGCTTGCGCTCGGCGATCCTCAACTCGAGGGCGACACTTCCATCATCACCAACTACCTGGGGACGTTTCCTCACGTCAAACAAATCTACAAGCATGTGACCTTTCAGACCAAGCACTGGTGTTTCCGAGAGCGAGTTCGAAAGATATTGCACGATACGGTCGATTTTTACATGGAAGATATCCCCTACTTTATCGAGTCTCAGCGCAAGCGGTTCGATCTATGGGGCAATGACTTTTACCTGGCGCATATCTACCGTCAGGTCAACTGGTGGTCCAATCCCACGCACGTGAGTGTGCTGGGTGACCTCGTTGGAAGTCAGTGGATCGACGATGTCGAGTTTGAGAAGCGAGGTCGACGGTTCTGGAACCGAACATTCCGTGGCACCGAAAGGGTGCCTGACGATATCGCACGTTACCCGAGCACTGATTACACCCTGTCAGGGCTGTTGGATGGTAGCGAGGGAGAAAAGGTGTGGGCGAAGCGGATATTGAACGTGGCAGGGAACCATGATATTGGATACGCAGGAGACTTGACCGAGGAACGACTGGAGCGCTTCGAACGAGTTTTTGGAAAGGCAAACTACGAACTTCGTTTCGAGCTTCCCATTTCGGATCCCGAGAAGAAGGCTACCATGTGGCATGGAACCGATAACCCCAACTCGGACCGCATCCCACCCGAGCTACGCATTATTGTGGTCAACGACATGAACTTGGATACTCCAGCCAAGTCAGGTCCTCTCCAGGATGCTACCTATGCCTTTATCAACGACGTCATTGGAACCGCGAACTCTGTTAACCACAAGGGACACTTTACCCTCATCCTCACACATGTTCCCCTCTACAAGCCGGCGGGTATCTGCGTGGATTCTCCTTTCTTTTCTTTCCACACCGCAGCAGACGGTGGAGGTCTCAAGGAACAGAACCAGCTCAGCGCGGATGCCAGCAAGGGCTTCCTCGAGGGAATGTGGGGAATGAGCGGAAAGGAGAACGCTGCTGGCGGTGGTTACGGTCGTCCGGGCTTGATGCTCAACGGTCATGACCACGCTGGCTGCGACACGTACCACTTCATCAACCAGACCAACGGCACTGATGCGTCAGAACGACAGTGGCAGACGGTTCGGTGGGAAGAGGCCCAGGAACAAAAGATCCCCGGCACCTCGGGCATCCCTGGACGACGTGAGATCACGGTGAGGAGCATGATGGGAGACTTTGGAGGCAATGCCGGTCTCCTGAGCCTCTGGTTCGACCAGGAAACCTGGGAGTGGAAGTTCGAGTACGCCACGTGCCCCCTGGGCACCCAGCACTTCTGGTGGTTCGTCCACATCGTGGATGCCATTGTACTATTATGGATAGGGTTGTACGGAGTCCTTTCGGCGTTGGAAGCGTGGGGTGTAGATGTAGATGCTCGGTTCTACAGCGGCCTGGCTCGAGTCAAGGCGTGGGTTGTGCGGAGGCTGCCAGGTGGTCGTGGATCTAAAGGCACGACAACAGTAAAAGCGGCATAGGTTTGGATATGGATAGAGTATATACCCTAATTCCTTGCTTAATATGACGCAAGAGTTCTTGTTTCAACGGTTCTGCCTTACGTTGCGTTTCTATTACACGGGTTCCTGTTACCATTCGCTTGGGACTGAGACATTTCTGTTGTCCATGGCGTGAGGTCCAATCGCAATTATGGCCTTCTTTGACAGATGTTGCACCTTATCTAATGTTGTGCCTCACCTGGCTGACTGGCAGTCATGGACTGGTCATGATGCGAGCTCTTTGCTCCTAGTCACCTTGGGTACTGGCTGTTGTTCCTGTTGTTTCGATGACAACGGCGTTGTACGACAGGATCTGGGACGCGCGGCGTGTTGTACAACTTGGTGGTTATACGGACCTTGCATGAGAGTCGCGTTGGCGAGATGGGGGCGTATTCGACACTGAGGCTCAAGGGTGACAAGGGCACATTCGACACTGAACCTTGAGATTCTCATGCCAGATGATGCAGGTCCGGGTCCTATTTGGGACGACCCTGCTCCTGTCAAGCATGTCACTATCATGGTCGGTTGCTTTCCTATTCATGGCCCTGTGTTCATCTCACCTCCTCAGGTCTCATGATCATCTCGGACTGCCTTCAATGCGCCGGGCGCCGTCTTGCTGTGTAACCTCTCCGCCACAATCCTTGTTCTCCGGTCCGCTCCGAGCGGCTGTTTGTCTCTATCGCCATGAAGAGTGTCGCTTGATCTTAGATGAGTTGGCATAAAGAAGCCATTCACGTGCCCTTGGACGTTTACATCTCGCCGAGATGTGATACCTCTCATCGTTGCCTAGCGACCACAGAGTGCTTCCTGATCCGGCAACCACAAACACATCCCGTGGAAGGATGTTTGCTACGACAGCTCTTCACTGTCACCGCGAAATCGGGTGAGTGAAGAACTGTCGTGGGCGAGGAAACAGACCGGATGAGACGGTTTGTGTGAGAGCAACTGACCAGGAATGGCAACTACATAAACCCAGAGCCGGACGACTGGATATCCAGTCACTGCGCAGAGGCATCGGACTCGACTGTGCTTTGACAGGGACAGCTACTTTGAGCGATCCAGCGGCAAAGACGATCTTTACTCTTCCTTCAAGCAGACCTATACGACCATGTATTGTCTCCGCTACCTTACAACACTTTTCTTTTTTACGACTCTATCGCAAGCTGCTCCTCAGAATGATGATGGAAAACTCCAACAAAGGGAGGCTGGAGATATCCCAAAGATGCCGAGAGGCTTTGGCGAAGATGTGGTGACACACCCGGCCGTCTTGGTGACGACGACCAACTACCAGACCATGCCTGCGGGCACTTACACCGAGACCATATCTGAAGGCAAGATTAGGGTGATTGTCGTCGTCGATGCTACTACGACAAGCAAGGCGGAATGTCCGGCAGAGTGTGATTGCTCGAGGATAAAGGACAAGGAAAGCGACGAGTAGGTGTTGAACTCTCACATCATGCATCGCCTTGATGTCTCCCCCGCAATTGATACACCCTACAACACCATAATAAGTGGAGAGAATATTTAGCTGACATTATCAGGTGGTTTCAATGCATCACAAACCCCAACTGCCGCCCATGCAGAGAACCTGGCCTCACATCGACGTCCTCATCGCCCAGTCCTACGCCTACTTGTCCCAGCTACTGTGACTGCACCAAGATCAAGGACAAGGAGAGCGACGAGTAAGTCACCATCATTTAGCGATGCTTCAGAGGGCTCACAAATGCAGGTACTTTCAGTGTATCACCAATCCAAACTGTCGTGCATGTAGGGTCGGAGGTCCACCAAACGTCATGTGAAAGAGATACAGACAAGATTGATACTAGTTTAAAATATGAATTGACGTTCTTGCTGGTTTGAATTCATGGTATTTGCACAGGCTGATTCGCTACCCGATGAATGAAGATTTCCTGGTCCTTGGTATGAACCGATATCCCGTCCCGTTTGACTCAAAGAAATATCCGCGTTGCGCGCTGAAAAATGGAAGCAAGGTTAGATGCTTGTGGGGGTTTCGGATCAATTAACAACAGCAGTCGAAGCACTCGAGACAGCATTCACACGTCTCTCCGCAGAGCCAACAGCAGCACAGGGTAGCAATGCTAGATGACGTTAGTATATCCAGGTATCATTCTATGAGAGGGCATCTTACCAGCCGTATAGACAGCCGTGACTCTTCTCCTCTTGCTGAGGGGGCGGGGCCTGCTGGTATTGCATCTGGTGTTTTGTTAGTGACCGGTCAGAGGGATCACATCACTCTGGCAGACGTACGGGCTGCGGGGGCGGGTAGCCCTGTCCAGGAGGAGGATAGCCCTGAGGCGGGGGATAGTAGCTAGTAAAAAAACGTCAGTAGCTGTATTTATCTAGTGCCATATTGAGGCTATTCACCCTTGTTGGTTCGGATCGTATGGGGCTGACATGGTGAAACGGTTTGACGCGAAAAAGGTGCGATGGTTTTTTCAAGATCAGAGAGGGGGATATCGAGCAAAGAGGGCTAGATATACTCTTGCCTTGCTGCTGCTTGTCTCGGCGTGACTTGGGTCAATGTACAGCGTGACAAACAAGGGGGTCTTCTGATGACCTGTACCCGTATCTTGGCTGTTGACCTTGGCGCAATCAACGACGACCCAGCAGGAGCGCCGACTTAACCGTGGCTTGGCAATGTTACACGTGAAGGGTCAACTTTACACGGGAGACGACTGTGTGGAAAGTGGCTGACGGGAATTAAATCAACGGGCGTATATCCTTACAAGCCCTAGTTGAACGGGGGCTGGTTAGAGACGCTCTGGCAGGCCCGAGATCTGAGATCGGTTAATACGGCACCCGCCAGAGTTATTGTTTACGGCCTCGCGAATAACAATTGCCAAGAGTCGACCTCTGTAATTACGGGCTCCAGCTCGGGCTGTGAAAGTCTTGGGAACCCCACCTGAAATGGGGAGGGTGCCCCTGGACGAGCGGCATGATTCGACAAGGACAAGTCTCGGCAGTGGACTGGTGATTGCGCGTCAGGATGGCTGAGTAAAACTCGACACTGCATCAAGGGTCTGCCTCTGTCTGCTTGGCGTCTCGGCCTCTCCAGATTGTGAGCAGCGGGCAGCGTCCTTGGCAGAAGGGGCATTTGAGTTTGCATCCTCCCTTCGGGATCCAACGTCGGGCCTGCCGGGAAGTTAAAAACCCGCTTTTTGAACAGGAAGCTCCGTCTTGGAAGTTTTTCTTGGCTTGTTTATTTAACTTGGGCCAATCGATAAGGCAGGGTAAACAACGAGCTGAAGTTGGTTGCATGGGAGGCATATGCAGTCAGGATTACTGCGTGAGACGCTAACACTCGATGGACAGCACATCAGCAATGCCCCATGTCATGGGTGTTGAAGCGGAAAATGTGTTCGTTCCTGAGAAGCACATGGTTCTCTCATGACCTCTTGAACCGTGCATCTTGGGTTCTCGGATAACGGTTCCGTCGTGGCATGGGTTGTGCAGAGCGGGTTTGCTGATGCCCAATTCACCTCGTTAGCGGCACCGTACTAACAACGGATGGATGTCTTTCATATTCAAACACATATATAAGTGGTTCCCTTTCCAATTGTTCGTAGTCATCTCTCCGAGTTGGTCAAACCTTTGCTCAATTTCTTGCTACCTCGAAGCCTCAGGCTAGCCATGCCTGATGGCAGATCAGCTCATTCATTGAAGAAGCATGATCGTCGATTGCCTATTCCAAGTGGATAACTATGCGATACAGGCGTCTGTATCCTCAGGATATCACCAAGCCTACTCGCTATATAGTATCTTCCCAGCATATGCGTAGATAGGTAGGTTATTCGAGGAAAGCCTGGACATTGTGGCATGAAAGCATGTAAAGTTTCAGCTAACAGAGTTCATACACAACTGAGCATTCACAACAAATCCTCTCAAGATCTCTGAAAATTAAGTATTCAACTATTTGTAAAGCGAATCTCAGCCTATGTAGGTAGGTGAGGGAAATCATCCGCTCCTCCTGCTATTGAATGAAGCCTCGGGTTCACCATACCCATATCGAGACATACCCTAGAGAGGCAAAGCGCAGTTGGTGGCTTGCAGAGTCAGCCTCACATCAGGCTGTGCTTTTCAACCTCGTCAGGCTGTGAGCGAAACCCCTCAACTTCCTTCCTCCATCTTCATTCTCTGGCAGCAGCATCCATCAATCCATCGCCATGGAGGGCCTGGGCGTGGCTGCAAACGTCATTGCGGTCATTGACCTCTCCGCCAAGGTCACATCAGCGTGCGCTGCGTATTTGAAGGCTGTCAAGAATGCCAAGGCCGATATTGAGCGACTGCAGAGCGAGCTCGGTAACCTCGATGTCGTCCTGCGCGGTGCAGAGAGTCTTGTGAAAGGCCCTAATGCCAGCAAGCTTCAGACGATGGAGCAGTTGAAGAAGGCTCTTTTTGATGCTTCATCTCAACTACAGGGACTTATCATCCAGTTGGAGGAGAAACAGGGAAAGACTCGCAGGGCTATGAGGCGGTTTGGGGTTCGCGCTTTGAAATGGCCCTTTCAAAGCTCCGAAGTCGACAGCATCATCTGCGGCCTCGAAAAGAGCCGGAACAACATCTCGGTGGCTCTGGTCATTGACAATACGGCCCTTCATATTGAGACTCAGTACGTATACCACCCTCTTCCTCTTCTGTGAACCTCAGCATCAACTCTATAAATCATGGCTATTTCCCTTTATGATTGATATACTCATATAAATCTCAGCTCCAATGTCCAACACATCGATTCCAATGTCCAACAAATCGACTCCAATGTCCAGGATATCAGCTCTGGTGTCCAATACATCAGCCGCACGCTTGACATGTCTAGGATTCCCGTGGCGACAGGCGCCGCCTTTGATTCCCAGACGAATGAGCATGATCCAAAGTGCCTTCCCAATACTCGAGTTGAGCTTCGACAAACCATCACCACATGGGCAGAGGACCCCTATAGCGACACCATATTCTGGCTCAACGGCATGGCAGGGACAGGAAAGTCCACAATCTCAAGGACTATCGCCCACTCATTTTCCCAGAAAAAGATGCTCGGAGCGAGTTTCTTCTTCAAAAGAGGCGAGCGAGATCGAGGCAACGCGTCTCGTCTGTTCACAACCCTTGCTGCCCAGCTCATAACTCGGCTGCCCGAGATAGGACCGTCAACCATCAAGGCTATTGAGAGGGAGCCGGATCTCCCAAACAAGTTCATCCAAGAACAGTTTGAAAAACTCATCTTCGATCCGCTCCACGAGTTAGACTACCGCGTGTCTGCCCCGAGAGTTTTCGTTCTTGTCATTGACGCGCTCGACGAATGCGATCGACTTGCTGATGTCCGACTCATCATCAACATATTGACGAAGCTCAGATCTCTGATATCGATCAAGTTGAAAGCCTTTGTGACAAGTCGACCTGAGCTTCCGATCCGTCTTGGCTTCAACAGCATCAAGGGCAAATACAGAGATCTCATCCTGCACGAGATACCCAAGCCTGTCATCGAACACGACATATCCGAGTTCTTTTATCACCAACTTGAGCAAGCTAGGCTTGAGTACAATTGCCAGTCGGATTACAATGACCAGCTCGGACCTGAATGGCCGGGTACACATGCGACTAATGCTCTCATCCAAATGGCTATCCCGCTCTTCATTTTTGCCGCTACTATTTGCCGATTCATTCAAGACCCCTTGTACGACCCCTTGACTCAACTCGGCAAGGTTCTCAGGTACAAATCCTCGGCCCAGGATTCTGAGATGCAGAAACTCGACACGACATACCGCCCAACGCTTGACCAGCTGATTGCTGGTAGGACTGGTCGAGCCAAAGAGAATCTTCTGAGAGACTTCCGAGACGTGGTGGGCGTCATAGTTCTCTTGGCCGAGCCCCTTTCCATCTCAAACCTTTCTCGTCTTATTGACACTCCCAAACCTGTCATAGAGGGCATTCTTCGGCACCTACATTCCGTCCTAAGCGTTCCGAAGTCTTCTCGAGAGCCAGTCAGAATGTTGCATTTGTCCTTCCACGATTTCCTCGTCGATGAGGAGATGCATGAGATCGACCCCTTTTGGATCGACGAGCAACAGATGCACGGCCGAATTGCAACCAAATGCCTGGATTTGCTAAGCTCTGGAAGACACCTGAAGCAGGATATCTGCGACCTGGACTTGCCAGGCACTCGGCGTGCAGATATTAAGCAAGAAGATGTCATCTTGAAGCTCCCAGATCAAGTTCGGTATGCATGTCTGTACTGGACTCATCACTTGGAGGGAAGTGGTTTAAAGATTGCCGATTCACATCCAGCCTTCGGTTTCCTGAAAGAGTACTTCCTCTTCTGGCTCGAGGCACTGGCCATTCTGGGAGAGGCACACAACTGCAGCGCCATGATTGCTTCTATACAGTCTCTCGTTGATGTGGGTTATTTCTAGTTTTTGGACTTCCAAGTACTGACAAGCTTCGTCTAGCCAAAACGTGGAGCAGGACTATCCAGTTTCCTACGAGACGCAGCCCGGTTTGTGGCGAGATTAGACACCATCATCGATCAGTATCCGCTCCAGATATACGCTTCCGGTCTTGTGTTCGCACCAGAAGAGAGCATTATAAAGACAACTTTCCGGAAATGCATACCCGAGTGGATAACGCAGCTGCCTCAAGTTCAACTGGATTGGGATGCGAGCCTACGTGTGATCGAAATCTCGTTGGACAGTAAGAGCGCGATGTGTTTCTTACCAGACAGCAGGGGCCTTCAGACAGCTTCCAGCGGTGGAGTTGTCCAAGTCTGGGATACGATGACAGGAAAACAGATCGACAACGTCAAAACACCTGGCGGGCACCAGATGGTCTTCTCTCGGGATGGAGAATGGTCTCTCTCCACGGAATACAGTAGGTCCATCCTGTTTTGGGTCACTCCTGAAGGGACCTTCAAGCACTGTTTCGAGGAGTCCATAGAATGTCTTGCCTTATCCTCGGATGGGAAGCTAGCTGCATGCGCTTCATTTAATGGCCCAACACTGGTCGTTAAATATGACGAAGGTGAAGCGCAAAGGCGATCCTTTGGGGAAGGGGGAGGAGCACCTCAAATTGCGTTGTCTCCAAACGGAAAACTACTCGCTGTCGCTCGGAACGGCGTGATACAGCTTTGGGACCTTGACTCGGACCAAAAGACGGGGGAGTTTCCAACCGCCCAAGGGATCTGGAAGATTTGCTTCTCTCCGAACAGTGGACTGATTGCCTCTGCCCAGTCGGGTTGGGTTGTGGTGCACGATGTCGGGACTGGCAGGATCCTTCAGTCACTTGGAGGTGAGACTGGCTGGGTCTCGGCGATCGCGTTTGCACCGGATGACCGGCATCTTGCATCAGCTTTAGGCAGAACGGTACGTCTTTGGAACCTCGATACAGGCAAAGAGGCACAGCGATTCGAGCATCCCTGCGACGGCGTCTTAAGCATGGTCTTCTCCCCTGACGGCAGCTTACTAGCAGCATCGTCGCCGAATCAAGGCATGATCCTGCTCTGGGACCCGACAACAAAAAATGATACTCATGGCTCGAACGAGCATGGCGGCCTCATCCGGCATCTTGTGCCCTCGCCACGCGGAGACCAAGTCGCTACGATCTCAGAAGATGGTAGTGTTGGAATCTGGGATCTCGACACTGCACAAAACATCAGGGTGATAGCTCACCCACTCGATGAAAAGATCATTGGAGTGTTCTTCTCCAAGATGCGCAGAAATCAAGTGTGGCTTGTATTCGATTCGAATACAATCAAATGCTATGATTTCGTCCTGGGACGAGATGTTGGGGTGAGCTATTTCGAGGGATACAGGGAGGTCAAGCGAGTGGTGATGTCTCCAGATGGCAGCAACCTTGCCTTGGAGTACCCGGGAGGGGCCAAAATTTGGAACCTCTGGGAAAAGAGAACTCGCCACACGCTGGAGACGGAAGACAAAGGCGTATTTTCTACAGATGGTACATTCTTTGCATCGTCCACAGACAACAAAGCAGTCACAATCTGGGACTTGAAATCTGGGCGCCTCAAGAAAAGGCTGAGGGTTGGTCATCACAACGATCACTACATTGTCATCTCCGCGCTTTCACTTCACCATTCTACCCTGGTTGTGGCGTTTTCCTTATCCAACTCGCCATACACACACTGGGTGACGCTCTGGAATATCAACACTGCAGCTTGTCTGAACAGGATACAAGTTGATGACCGCATCAACTACATGGAGTTCAACGCAGCTGGTTCCCACCTCATCACGGATCTAGGGCAAGTCGAGATTCCGCCACCACACACTAATGATTCTGAAGTAAGGGGCTCAGATCTTCCCCAACACTTTGAGGGGTATGGTGCACTCGGATGGTTTGCATGGATCACATGGAAGTCGAGGCCAATTATGTGGTTGCCACCCAGCCATCGACCTTCAGCGTCTTTACGTACTCAGAGACTATCATTTTTCAACGGTTCAACCGCCGTTCTCGGAACCGTGTTAGGAGATGTGTCTATTCTGAAGTTTGTTGACACACCACCATGGGAAAGCAGAGGAAAATCCAGCTCGCAGCGCCCTCTAGGGTTTATTTAATAGAGTCTCCGGAGATAATAAGAAGTCAATACTTGACCCTGTGCCAATATTGATCTTATGTGCAGCCCGTGGCGTGACACTAGTGTTTTAGAGGCTGACCCTACAGAGTAAGCTTGTACGTAACAAGGCTGGGGCTCCGTCCCGGCTTGTCGGGCGGCTCACGAGAATGGGAATAAGAGGGGAATGTCGATGGAAGCCGAAACGGTGGCCGAGCTGACAGCCAAGAACTCTATTCAGGCTTGGTCTCAGGGGTTTTGTCGGTAGATGTTGGTGGCTATATCTGGGCTTAGGTATTGTTGACATGTCAGCCTCAATTCAGGGGAAATGTGTATTTATTGCTTCTTTACATGATTCAGCCGTCTCTGGAGATTAACAGGGCGTTGATGCCGTTCGGCAACTGCACTCAGAACGGAACGTGGCAGTCGCGAGATGGAACAACAGAATGTCTCCGTGAGTCTGTGAGTCGTGGCGATGTCGGCGAGGGCGTTAGCTTCGGAGTGAGGACCATATTGGCCCAAGAAGGACAAGCATAACGTCAAGACGAAAGATCACTTCATGTCAGGCGATCTAGACTATAGTCTTTCGAACCATGCTCTCAACTCTGCAACGTGTATCCAGCAGCTTCACGATGATCCTCAAGTGACCGACTTTTCCGACAGCCGAACTGGGGCCATATGGAGTTTCCAACCTCGTCGACTGGGTCCGTGGCGCTCTGGGGCTGGCTGACGACCCGGAGCCTGCTGCATTTAAGCATGTCTAAAAACGAATAGTGCGCCAAATAGACCCCGGGATAAACGAAACGTTAGAACCAACAACTCTCAAAAAATTTAGAGACAACAGCTCGGTTCGACCAATATGCGAAAAGCCCACAGCCTGATCAGACCCAGTACGCAAAGCCCACAACCCGGTCCCGACCCAATATGCAAAAAGCCAACAATATGGGGTCTGACCAATACAAGATCCAACAGCCTGGTTTCCCGGCTCGTCAGCCGCCGCGTGGATGTCTTGGCAGGGTCGAGAACACCATCTTTTTTCACAACTGCCGTTGCGCCTCGGCGTGAGGAGAGGCAGAGAGCTATTGACAATAGTTTACGCATGCAGTGTGAGCTGTGGACGGCAGCCAACGGACATCATGAGAGTTTGGGTCTTGGCAGTGACCTTTCTCCGGGGAGACATGGCGAGAACAGAAGCAATAGAGGAAGTTGAGGCGTAACTATTGAATATTCGGGCTTCATGATCGGCCGCCATGTTGAGAGGAGGCAAAAGGAGGTGAGAGGAAACGGAGCAAGTAGAGATTGATTTTGGATTATAAAAGGAGGGTATTCCGACCTCTAGAGAAAGAAATCATCACACACTCACTTCTTCACAATCATCTCTTCTGCCTCTTTCTCTCTTGCTTGCCTGTCCGATCATTCAAAATGAAGTTCCAGACTCTGGTTGTTCTCTTTGCGACTGCCGCTTCGGCCGTCTCCCCGCCTGTGTGCGGTGAGCGACCTGCGGCTTGCGATGCCATGTCCAAGCAGGACAAGAACGCGTGCAAGAAGAAGATTGGTATGTCTTGAAGCATCTCAAGTTTTGCTTCACTTACTGACAGTCTCTAGCTGCCATGGATCTCCAGAAGGAGATGTGCCTGGCTCCTTCTCGCACTGTCACTCGCACCGAGTTTGTTTACCCTACCAACACGGTGACCAAGACTCTGGATCCTATCCCCGTCACTTCGAAGGCCACCAAGACCATCACCAAGAAGGGCCCGGCGTGAGTATCTGCCTCACAAATTTGATCGAGCGCATCTAACTTTGGCAGCATCACTCCTCCCACCATCACTCTCACCAATACCAACACTGAGATCACCACCGAGACCGTCACGGATACTTCCACTGAGACGGACTACATCATTGAGTCCAAGACTGAGACGTCTACTCAGACTGATACCAAGACTGAGACCAAGTAAGAAGAGCAGAGCAAACTGTTGAGCACCTGGCTAATGATCGCAGGACCGAGTCCAAGACGAAGACTGTTGACTTTGTCGCCCCTACTTGTGCTCCCACCTTCAAGCGAGCTCGCCGCGAGGAGGCTCTTCCCACCGACTGCAGTAAGTTTTACCCTTGAAAACTTCCCGGCATCCAACCATACTGACTTCTCCAGGCTGCCTCCTGACCGTCACAAGCGGCCGTGCCCCTGATGCCACCTCCACCGCCACCGTCACCAAACGTGCCACCACCATCACTGTCTACGAGATCAACTCTATCACGGCCACCGTGACCCGCACCGTTACCGAGACCAAGTTCACCAACAGCAAGACTGTCCAGGCTCCCGAGACCACCATCACCGAGACCAAGACCGAGACTCAGACCGACCACGTTCCCACCACCGTCCACACTGCCGTCACCCAGACCAACACTGAGACCAAGACGGAAACCGAGACTGCCACCAAGACCGAGACCCAGACCGACATCGCCACCCAGACTGCCCCCGCCTGCATCAACCCCTCCGCCTGGGTCCAGCCCGGCAGCAGCATCAAGATCCCCAACAGCATCTCCCTCAAGAAGGAAACCCTCAACAAGGGCCTGTTTGAGAAGGCCGACAAGTTCCTGACGAAGTGCTGCGAGAAGTGCTTCTCCGACAAGAACTGCGACTTCTTCAAGGTCAACATCGGCAGCATCAGCTGTGACCTCTACTACACCAAGAACAAGGCCGGCGACTGCCTCCCCGCTCAGTGCCCTCTTGGTTTCACCACTCTCACCCTCGGTAACAAGGACACCAGCACTTACTACCGTGGTCCTTGCTTCAAGTCTACTCCCAAGTAAGTGATGGGATAATGTGCACAGATGAGCGTGGCAGAGCTTCAAGTCGACCGGAGCTTCAAGGATTTTCTACGCTCACCTGTATTTGAGATGACTTTTTGACTTTGGTCGACTATTTGGTGTTTTCTATGTATTTGATTAGTAGTAGTATCAATAATTTCTCATCGTGATGGTTGGTCTTGGCTTCCGGCGAGACTTGTTAACGCGTTTTTACATAATTTTAGACACTTACACATGTGTGACATGAAAAAATTCTCTTATTAAAATATCTCACAATTACCGTTGCTTATGTATCCAGCTTTCTCCCGATCGGTCTTCCTTGCTTCAAGGCCCGCTGCGCTTCAGGCAGCCTTTTAACCAAGTATTGATCCAGTGGTATGTTCTTTGCAGTAATAACCGAGGCTCAGTAGTTTCGCTTGCTACTGATGTCTGACCCAGTGTTTCGCGTGCATTTGCATATATATCATTATCTCCACCTTGGGAGGAGGAGAGGCAACATAAACCATGGCTTAATACGTAGATAATGCCTGCCGCATTGACGCAACTATAAATCTCCCCTGACTTATCTATAACCCCTTTAATCCTGCTCGTCACTAATGAATGACTGGATATATCAACCTGATCTATGAAGACATCTTGTTTGATTTTGAAGATACGGCAAGCAATAGATATGGTGACTGGGTGGCTTGAGAAGGAAATATACAAAGAGTATGAAAGGAATGTTCAATCGTGGTAAGGATAATCTAAAACCTGGTTCTTGATGGGATTGTAAAGGGGTGTTTCGTATTGCAAAGGGGCCTTGCGTATTGCTAACCCTCAAGAGGGGGGATTGTAGTGTATTCCACAATCAAGCCTGGTTAAGGATAGCCCGAAATGTCGCATTCAAGCTGCGTCTCGAGCTACCTTCTCGTCATACACCTCGCGAAGAGTACGTTCCTTCTTTGTAATATCTTCCACACCGCTTCTATCATTGAAAACCTCGTCCATCTCTTCCAAAGTCTTACCATTGGTCTCCGGCACACAGAACCAAACCCAAACCAGAGACAATAGGCAGAACACAGCGAAGAAAACATAAGCTCCAAAGCCAGTCTTTTGAACGAGCGGAGGTGTGATGAGACCGATAATGAAGTTGTTGATCCAGTTTGAACATGTCGAAATGGCCACACCCTTGGCACGTAGGCTTGATGGGAAGACCTCGGCTGGCATAGCCCAAGGGACGGGTCCCCACGAGGCACCAAAGGCAAGCATATAGAAGAGCAGGAACGTGACACTTGTCCAGCCCTCGGCAGTATAGCTTGGCTAGTCGTGTGAAAATTTACCCACCAAGACAGCAATAATAAGGTGCGGGACAAACATCAGGAAGCTGCCAGTAAGCAGGATAGTTCGACGACCAAATCGATCAAGGGTCCACAAGCTCGAGAAGACACCAACCAGCTGTGTGACATTAAGGACACCTGACATGATAAGCTGCATCTCAGAGTCAAGGCCCATGGTGCCAAAGAGCGTAGGAGAGTAATAAATTAAGGCGTTGATCCCAGAAAATACTTGATCTATTGACTATGATGTGTGTGTAAGGAAGAGATCAAGGTCTTAGCCGTAGCTAGGTTAGATGTTAATATCTGATCTATAGCTAGGCAGCCTAGCTTGCCTTCATAGGCAAGTATCATAGGCAAGCTATATAGGCAATTAGCCTAGCAAACTAAATAATAAAGAGATAGAAGGTTCTAGAGAGTAATAATACTCCCCCTAAACGCAGAACCTTCTGTCGTGTCCGTCTATCTATCCTCTTATCGCTGTCTAATCTGGGCTCCCCCGGAGCTTCTTAATTCGTGTAAAATCCTATCTTCCATGGCCTTATTCCTCCGAGGTGGTCATTCCTATTCTCTCGAGTAGACTCTTAAAAGTCACTCGTGCTAATGGCTTGGTTAGGAGATTAGCCAGGTTGTCCTTCGTGTTAACTCTGCGAGTGTCGATGTCACCCACTTCTGTAACTCTTTCTCGCATAAAATGATATCGGATGTCGATGTACTTAGTGCGATTATGATTCTCTGGATTTCTGGTGATCTTTCTCGCGGAGTTATTGTCTATGTATAATGGAATCGTGTCAAAAGTGTATCCCTTAATGTTGAGGTCGTTGAAAAAGTTCCGAATCTATATTGCCTCCTTTGTGGCTTTAGCCGCAGCTGTATACTCTGCATGAGTGGTTGAGAGAGTAACTGTCTTTTGTCGCTGGGCCTTCCATGAAATTGGGGCTCCCCTAAACATAAAGACATATCCCGTGGTGGATCGTCTGGTGTTAAGATATCCTCTATGGTCTGAGTTAATATATCCTTCCACCGTTGAGTCTGCTCGCTTAAATATGAATCCTCGTTTGGTATTCTTCTTTAGATATATTATGATCTATGTGACCGAATTTATATATGTTTTATCCGGGTTGGCGTTATAACGTAAGTATATATTTCCTGCTAGATAAATATCTACTCGAAGTGAGTTTGATATATAGTTCATATTTCCCGATATCTATTGATATCTTTTGACAAACTTATCATCTGATTATCCCTGGGTGTTCTTCTTTAGTTGAGTGGTGGGACTTATTAGAATTCGCGCCCCCGCTGAGTATAGTAGATTAAAACGTCGAAGTACTTGTTAAATATAGTGCCATTGTTTAAGAATGATGCCTTCTTTGGTCTGTCTGATATGTATTCTAAGATAGTGGGTGACCTCCCCCTTATCTTTCATCTCAAAGGCTGCTGTTAGTCGAGCCTTGATCTAAGAGAGTTCATCTGATCCAGGATAGAGAATGAGAATGTCATCCACTTAAACTCCGAGAATGATTTTCTTGTCGTTAAGGATAAAGACATAAGCGTCGAATGTAGATATACGGAAACCCTAGGAGACAAGGGTGGATAAGAGCTTTTCGTACTATGCTCTGGGTGCTTACTTTAGACCGTAGAGGGCTTTCTTGATTTGCCAAACTTTTCCTTTTGGAATTTTCTATCCTGGTGGTGGCTTTAGAAAGACAAGTTCCTTCAGATCCCCATTTAGGAATGCTGTCACTACGTCTATCGCATGTAGTTTCTATCCGAGAATTGCCGCTAACCTAATCAGAATGCGATAGGAAGTTGATTTGATGACTGCCGCGTATGTCTCCTAGAAGTCGTATCTTTCTCGCTGGAGGTACCCTTTGGTAATAAGTCGAGCCTTGTACTTCTTGATCTCTAGGTCCAGTCTGATCTTTTTCTTGTAGACTTATTTGGATGGCAATGGGATGTGTCCGTTGGGGATTTCGGAGATGTCGATTTCCTTTAGACTGCTAGTCTTTATTTGACTTTCCTTTTTATAATTTATAGCACTGGTCTATTCTATGGCGTCAATGCTCCGCATGGCTTCAGCGTATGACTGTGGATCTGGTAGTAGTGTAGTGTTGACTTGCGCGAGAAAGGCTTTCTTGACTCTCTTGTTGTTTCCCCTTCCAAAGTATTCTAGATCGTTATTAATAATATCTGTCTGGTTAGTCTTAGAGATAATCTTATTATCCGATTCGAGGTATTTCTGATTAATTTCTGGAATTTCCTCTTTATTAGAGTTATTGTCTTTATCTGAAATTTTCTCTTCGTTTGGATCTATTATGATCCCCGAGAAGTGATTGATGCCTCTCTTCTCTCTGTTGATAGTATTGTCGTTGTGAATCTAGATTGTGAGTCTTCCTTCTTCTGGGTAAATTTCCATCGTGCCATGTCCTTTAATAAAGACTCCTAGCTGTAAATTTATGTTATGTCTCTGCGCCTAGAGTCGAAGAATTATTGCGATTTGGTTGGCCGTGAGGTGGTTTTTGTTTGAGTTCTTAAATTCCCTGTTTATGTCTCGTGCTTCTTGGCTTTCCTAAATTTCTTTGAGGTTATTTATACTTATAGTGTTTCCCTTAGGTACTTGGTTCTGAATGCTGAATGCTAAGGCATAGAGTCTATATAGTAGATTGTTGGAGGGTGTGTCGATGATTTGAAATTGCTGTCCTCCGATGAAGTGTGTAATGTTTTGATTCTTATTGCTTGTGATTTGTGGTTTCTTCTGTTTGATAACTAGCTCGGGATACTATTTCGGGGCTTCTTTTGGTCTACCTCGCGAGTGAAGTTGATTTAGCCCTTGTTCTTGATAGTTTTCCTTTAGGATAAACTTTCCCTCTTCGTTTCGTTTAAAGGGTATTGTGTTTTATATTTTAAGATATCTTAGTTCCTCGTTTTTGTAAATGCAGAGTTGCTATTGTTTTTTGCTTCCTTGTCGTTCTTGTCTCTTAAGGCATAGAAGGCAGGGCTATCCTCCGTCATAGCGGGCAGTGGTGGTATTGCGGATGCATGCGGAATACTTCCGTTCTGATGCCTTCTTGAATCTCTTCTTGCCTGTTTCGTTCACAGGGTAAACTCTGGTTACTAGTCCATCTTGTCTAATATGGCTGTAATTTGTGTTTCGTTCGATATATTTGTTGTATGGAGTTTTTTTGTTATAGGCATTAGATTTCCCGATATATGGAGTGTACTTTGGGAGGTGGTTGTCTTCCTGTTTGATGCAGAGATGAATTGTCCCATAGGAGTCATAAGGAGATTCTCTATTGTAGGCTAGTCCTCTTTTGTAGTATCTTATGTATTTTTCCTCCTTTTTTACTCCTTGGTTTCTCTTTTTTCGGACTCCTGACTTCTTTTTTGCTGCTCTTCTTCGCGCTGTCTTTCTCTCTCTTTTCTTGTGTGCTTCTTTTAGTTCTTTGATGACTTTATCTCGGTACTCCTCCTTGAGCTTCTGATATCGATGTCTCTTCTTTCGGCAGGGAATATATTTGATGTCTCCGTTAATATCCCAGATGTAGTCATCTCCCACGTAGGCATACGCGTAATAGACTTTGTCGTTATTGTCAATAGTTCTTATCTTGACTTGATTCTTTCTGGGGAATGATATTTCTTTCTTCTTTCTTAATTGCTTATTCTTTTCTTCGTCGCTGGACTCTATGGATCTAATGCTCGACTTATTACCAGAGTCCTTAGTAATATAGTCATTATCGTTGTCTAGTTTCTTCGAAAAAAGAACTTTGGCTGTTTTGAGAAGGTTGATAGAATTGCTATTGGTCCCTTGATTTTGTAGCATGAAGAATCTCGATGTCGTTCTAGGTTTCTTGCTTGTTGGTGTAAAGAATCGTGATGTGGTTTCTTTATTCTCTGGGGGTGTATTGTCGATTTTAGAGTCAGATCCTTTAAAGAATCTTGGTTCTTTGCTTTGTTTTTTGATTTCCTTAGTGACGACTTGTTGTTTGTCCTTATCTTCTTCTTGTTCTAACTCTTCTATTCTATAGAGTGGATCTTTAGGGGATAGTTGTTCGGGGTCTATGTCTCCTATGGTTTTATGTCGCAAATTAGTGTCCTTATATATATTCCTAGTGGGTGAAGGGACCTAAAAATCCTTATCTATCGGGATGTTGTGATTAGTCGGTGTCGAGGGTTCTTTGTTTAATTCTTCTACTAGTAGATTGTCTTCCGATGCCGGGGCATCTTCTTGGGGATTGGTTGGGTGTTCTTTGTTATCTGCGTTTTTTTTCTTAAGTCGTTGTATTATCGATTCTCTGTTATGTGTATCGTTAATTCCTTCGCCTTGATTGACTCGGGCTATGCCTACTCGAAATACTCTGTGCTCGTCGGGATTGAAAATGCGGTAGATAGACTTAGCCTTATATCTGATAAAATGTCCGAGCTATCCTCTCGCGGTATGGAGCTTTGGTTTCCCTATGCGATGGGTTTCTGGAGGAAATGTTATATATATTTGGGATCCCTAGATTGATTCTCTTTCGAAGCTTGGCTGTAGTCCGTATAGTGCTTCCTAGGGTGTGATCTTTTTAAGAGCTCTGGTGGGTGATTGATTCTTGAGCTATATTGAATACTTTATGGCTTTAGGCTAGAGGTTTTTAGGGAGACTTGATGCCCTTATTTCCTCTAGTGCCTTTTCCGTGATGATCTTTGTGATCTGGCTAGTCACTGTGTGTTCTTGGATCATCGGAGCCGCTTTCTCTCTTACGATGCGGTTGACTCGCTTGTGAACTCCCCCCATGTAGTGGGAGTAGGGAATAGTGGGTTTAATAAGAATATCATGCTTGTTTAGCTACTTCTCGATTGGTCTAAGGTAAAATTCTCTATTAAAGCGGTAGCCTCTGATGATAATATTATGTGCCTTTTTAATGCTTTTGTGAACTTTGCGAAAGATCTCTGGAAGTTGCGTCTTGGAGTGAAAGGTTTTATACTACGTGAATCGCTTGGTATTATCCGTAGTAAAATAGACATATTTTGTCCTATTATATCCCTTAATCGGGTATGGTCCCTATGTATTAGAGTGAATGAGGGCTCTAGTATTCTGCGAATGATGTCTGGCCGGATCGCGTGGAATGTGAATAAGAGCTCGTGTGGTTGCATAGATAGGGCAGATTTGATTAATTTGTTTCTGAATTTGTTTCTTGGTGAGTGGAATTCCCTGACTTATCTCTAATAGGTTGATTATGTTTTGGAAACCAAGATGCCCCAGTTGTCTATGCTATTCCCAGATAGGGTTGTTGAAGTTGATGGTCGCTATTACTTTTGCGCTAATAGCGATTCCGGGAGTAGGTGTGGCTAAGTGAATGTAGTATAGACTATCATTCTCGGTAGCATATCTGATCTCAAAGCTGTCTTTCTCGATGGTGATCTTAGCCTTGGACTAGCTCCCCCTGAGCCCTGCCTTTTTGCCTAGTTGGGAGATAGAGATGATGTTGTATCGGGCGTCTGGGGAGTAGGTAGCGTCTGTGATAATGATTTTGGTTCTCGTTCTGTTATGAGAGATCAGCGTGAATCGGGTGTTGCCTCCTCCTTTGATCTGAAGGGTACTCTGCTGGTCGATAGCTGCAATTGTTAGGTTTAGAGGCTTCAATTCCGTGAACCATTTCTTGTTGTTGAAGACATAGATGTCGGCTCCGGAGTTAAGTATTATGGCGTCGGATGCCGACTTCTCTTTCTCTGTTGCTATAATATTGACTTTGCTAATCATCTCTCCTTCGTCTAACTTGATCTATTTGTCGATTTCCGTTCTGATGTCGTTATCTGTCGGGTGTTCCCCCATCTCGGCAATAAGATTAGCATCCGATGCTTGTTCTATCGCACGCATCGGCTTATCGTTGTCGTGTAGAGCTTGTAGGAAAGCTTCCTTGTTTTCCGCTAGATGAGCGAGAGTAACCACCTTGTTGGGTCTCTTTGGAGGGTTTTCGTTGTTCTTTTGCCCTGACTCCTTGTTGTTTGGATTCTGGTTGTTTTTGTCTCTGTTCTGTAGGGCGATTGGCTTTAGTTCGGGGTGGGCTAGCTAGCATTTGTCTTCTGTGTGACCCGTTTTGCTATAGCCGGCAAAGGTATAAATGAGATCCTTTTTCTTTTTGGTGTTCCCGCTCCTAGTGTTGTTGTTCTTTTTGATAAGTGATTTGATTTCTATCTCTTTACTGTGGAGTCTGTCGAAGAAAAACTTAGTGTTCGGCGGGTTGCTTCTATCCTTTGCTCGTTCCTATTCCCATATTTTTCTGAAATTGGTGTATGTCTTGGGTAGACCGTTGAGTATATGTGTGATTATCTGGGCATTATTGTAAGAGGTGAACTTGAGACGCAATATATTATGTTTTAGTTTACGATGCTTGTTGAGATACTCTGTGATAGTGTTAAAGTCGCTGAGTTTGAGGTTTGTGATCTTCTTAAGGATCTTCTGGGTACCCTCTTCGTCTGATAAATCATAACGCTTCCTGATGATCGCTCTATAATCTGTAGCCGTTTTGTAGTCCTTGATTTCTAGGGCGATAGGCATAGATACTCCCGCATTGAAAAGTTGTAAGGCAAGTCTGGACTTTTCTTTGTTCTTTTCCTATCGTTTGTATGCTGCCTGCTACTTTAGAAGAGATCTCGTGGTGTCTACGATAGGGGTAGAGTCTGGTTGTCCTCTATTAGACTGAGCAGACTGGCTTCGTGTGATACGAGGCGCGTCGACGTAGATAATGTAGTGTTCTTCTAGTGGTTCGTTTTTGATGATTTTCTTATTACTGGTAATAATGCCCTAGATGTCGAGGCTTCTGGCGGCTTGCTGAAAGTAGCGATATTACTCTAGGTAGTTGCTTTTCCCTTGTAGCTGATGCTTCCGAATGGTGGCAAAAGCCTTATCCTTCGGGATTATCTTGGGTAGTGTAGCGGAAAGCCGCGTGGTAGTGTGAGGGGTCCTTCTGTTGGGGTGGCGGGTTTCTGGGTCTTGGGTCTGGGGTCTGGGGTTTTTGGGTAGTGCTGGGTCTTGTTCCCAGTGTAAATGGTGAGTCTGTGCTGCTGATAGGTCTTGTTCCTCAGCGTAGACTAAATGGATGTCGCAAGATCGTGTAGTGGTAGATATGGACTATCTTGCGTAGTCCGGGCTCATAACTACTTGATCTATTGACTATGATGTGTGTGTAAGGAAGAGATCAAGGTCTTAGCCGTAGCTAGGTCAGATATTAATATCTGATCTATAGCTAGGCAGCCTAGCTTGCCTTCATAGGCAAGCATCATAGGCAAGCTATATAGGCAATTAGCCTAGCAAACTAAATAATAAAGAGATAGAAGGTTCCAGAGAGTAACAACAAAAATTGTTGGAAGAACATAATACCCGCACCAACGAGCGTCCGGCGCCAGCATCCAGGTTTAAGGCAGTCTACCCAGCTAACAAGCTCTACTCGAATCTTGCTAGCATAGTCGGTGCGCTGAGTGAGCCGAGGGTGCCTCTCTCGGAGAATTCCAGCCTGGAATCGTGCCTCGGCGATGATATCCATCCATTCACGCTGGACTCGGGGGTCGGTTTTGGGGAGGGCTCGCAGTTTGGCAAGGCTGTTTAAGACGTCGTCTTCTCGGTCTTTGGATGCGAGCCAGCGTGGCGAATAAGGCAGGAAGACTGCGCCGAATCCAAGAAGAAGGCCAGGGAGGATTTGCAAAAGGAATGGAAGCTGCCACGACCAATGACTGGTCATATCTTTGGTTCCGTAGGTGATCCAAAATGCGACAACAATTCCGATAACAATCGATAGCTCCTCGAAGACAAGGAGAGAACCCCGGATCTCTGGGGGCGAAATTTCAGAGATATATAGTGGGACAACCATGGAGAGCCTAACAAGTTAGTAGATGTTAGAGCAAAGAAGGATATACTGTGAACTCACTGCCCAATGCCTATGCCGCCAATAAACCGGCCGATGATAAGCATAGTGTAATTAATAGCACCAGTCTGAATGGCCGAACCGATTACAAAGACAACAACAGCAACCATAAGAGACCGCTTGCGAGATATCCAGTCGGCGATCCATCCCTGGTTAATAGCTCCTATGAAGGCACCTAATGTAATCATGGCCGTCATAAGGCCCTTCTTAAAGCCTGCGCCTGGTGCTTCGTCTCTGACTTCGGGGAATCGGTCGAGGAAATGGGCCATGACAAGCGTGACGCTGATTACTCCTTGGTCATAGCCGAATAGGAGGCCACCGATGGCAGAGAAGGCAGCGCACATGGCAACATAGGGAGAGGAGAAGAGGCCACGGAAGCCTGCAACAAAATGTCAGCTCTGAAAGTTCAAGACTTTGAGTTCCCTACCTGACGGGCCATAGGGCTCCACGGCCATGTTCATGTTAACATGCTCCTCCATTGCGATGTCATAGTCATCGCGCTTCCCCTTGACTGGTTCAAGTTTGCCGACCATGATGGAGATTGGCGAGGTGAAGGACGTAGATAATGGAAGAAGCAGGGGAGATGTGAAGGTGCAAGGCTGTAGAGATGATGCCTCAGAATGTGGCCAGAACAAGGTCTTTTATAGTTTCGATCCTTGGTCAATGCCCTCTGATCAACGGCTTTCGACCGAGCCAGTGCACTATGTTTCAACAGCCAATCGAGACTCACGAATTAGACTACTCCTTCTTCTCCACGGTTCCATGGGGGAAAACATGGGGTCTGGGGTTCAGAATTTGGGGTTACGCGAGTTGAGTCAGTTTGTGGGGTGTTTTCCTTGGTGACGTGTGAGTGGAGAATTATCGGGATTGTTGACCTTTTCACGGGGCTATGAGCTTGGACATTCCTTTGGGGCCGGGACCTTTCCCCTCTTTTGCAAAATCTGGACCTTGGAACCGATATTCGGGCCTTTGTCTCCTGACAACGCCGCCACACAGTTATGATATAGTCGGGGCCACCTGCCCTGTGTCAAGACTGACCTCAGGTTATACGTGGAGTAATCGAGGTAAAACATGTCGGCAGCTTGTCTAGTGAGTCCACCGACGACCTCGACCCTCCCTGGCTGTAATGACTCAGTCCAGTGGATGAACGTGTGGTGGTTATGTTGGCTCCAGTCTGACAATCGCAGGCCTGCAAGACACAGCATCTCAAGTGCGTCTGGGGAGAAGGCGAACAATCCCGGGCCTGCCGCCGGTGCGCTTCGACAGGCAAAGTCTGCTCGACAGCGCCCGTTTTTCGCTTCAAGCATTCAACCGAGTAGGACCCGCTCCCCCACGTTCAGACAGGTCATGTTGAGTTGAGATTTCTTACAGGTCACCCAAGGAGGATCAGACATGGGTCCAGTGTCCGCGGCGGTGTAAGTTGTCAAGGTCCTTGGAGCTATTGTTTACTAACCACCCGAAAGTACGGTTTGTGGACGAGACGCAAGATGTTGAGGCCCAGTATTTGTCAGAGAGTCCGTGGCAGATTGGCCATCAAGAGATATCTTTTGCTGACTCGCCGGCGGATCTCGAATTGGCCGGGGCTGACGTTGATGCGGAGCTCGTGAATAGCTCGAGAGAGTTACGTTTGCCCCCTGCAGCCGTCTCACACGACGTTCCAGGACATGGAGTCGACTGCAGTTTCACAACGGTCCCACAGAGTTCCTTGCTGGGGCTGGCCAACGTCGAGGCTGGTGACGTCTTTCCACTTACCAAACCTCATGAAGTCCGGTTGATGGAGTATTACCGAGATTACATGTGCACCTGGGTAAGCAAGGTGGTTCATATCGAGATACCATCTGTGCTGACTATTGGAGTTTGATCTCTGCGACTGTAGGCGC